CAGGATATAGTATACTCTTTATACTAAAGAAAGATAGGAGTCTATAACTTTATATAGATTACAGACTATTAAATATAACTATAATTAAGGATTATTATCTACTTCTACTAATCTATAACATCTAAGATTAAATTTAAGGAGTAAAATAGTTCATAAAGCTAGATATTACTAATATATATAACTATATCTAAATTATAGAAGGCGATGAATAGAAGATAGTATTTAGAATAAAATTTAGATACTTTAAATACTTAGTTATGCTATTTAGGCTCACTAATATACCTACATTATTTTAAAGATTTATTAATAAAGTATTATAAGAATACTTACACTCCTTCATAATAGTATATCTAGATGATATTCTTATCTTCTTAAAAAAGGAGGAAGAATATATAGAATATATTAGTTAAGTACTAAAGAAACTTTAGGAAGTAAATATTAAACTAAAGTTAAAGAAATATAAATTCTATATCTAAGAGACTAAGTTCTTAGGATACTAGATATCTATAGAAGGAATCCACATAGATTAGAATAAGATTAAAGTAATTATAGAATAGCTATAATGAGAGAATATTAAGTATATATAATAGTTTATTAAACTTATTAATTATTACTAATAATTTATTAGAAGATATATAAACATCATGCATCCACTCTTTAAATTACTAAAGAAATTAAATAAATTTAAATAGGATAAAGAATATAACAAGGCTTTTTATTAAATTAAATAGTAAGTTATTAGTACACTAATTCTTATATAAAGTAACCTAGAAAAGGAGAAGACCCTTAAAACTAATATATTAGATTATATAATTAGGATAAGATTAATATAACTAGGAGATAATAGGAAACTATAACTAATTATATTCTACTTATAAAAGTTAATTTAAGTAGAACTTAACTATAATATCTATAATAAAGAACTACTAGCTATAGTAGTAGTATTTAAAGTCTAGAGAGTCTACCTAGAAGGAGTAAAATATACTATTATTATAAAAATAGATTATAAGAACCTCATATTCTTTATAACTATAAAAGAACTAATAAGGAGACAAGCTAGATAGGCTAAAATACTCTTATAGTTTAATTTTAAGATTATTTACTATAAAGGGATAGAGAATGGATAAGCTAATATACTTAGTTAATAACTAGATTATAAATTTTAAGAAAAAACTATTAAAGTAGTAATATTAAAGTAGTAAAAAGATAAGTTATTAATATATAACTATTATACTCTTATAGTAACTATTAAGCTGTAAGAGGACCTACTTATTTAAAAAATTATTAAAGTAATAAAAAAAGATAAAATTATTTAGGAAATACTTAAGAATTTAGTAGAAAATAAATATATAACTACTAATAAGCAAGGGTTAATATACCTATAAGAACTTATCTATATACCTAAGTATATAAGAAGTAAGATTATTACTAGGCACTATAATAACCTAATATATAATTATATAGGGACTAAGAAAATAACTAAAGCTATTTTAAGAAATTATTACTTTCTAAATATAAGATAGAAGGTATAGGGCTATATTTACTAGTATAAGACTTATATCTAAGATAAGCTAGCTAGGCACTAGCTATATAGTAAGGTATAATTACTAGAGATACTATAAAGACTATAGGAATAGATTACTATTAACTTTATTAGATTACTACCAGAGTTAAAAGGGTATGATTACCTAATAATAGTTATTAATAGACTTATAAAATTTATCTATTTAATCCTAATAATAAAGATAATGGCATTATAGCTAGCAAGCCTACTTATAGGGTATATAATTATTAATTATAGAATACTATAGTATATTATATTAGATAGAGATAAATTAATTATAACAAAGTTTTAGTAGTTATTAACAGACTTAATAGGAATTAAGTAAAGACTTATAACTATATAGATATTATCTATAAGCTAATAGATAAATAGAATAGACAAACTAAATAGTAGAATAATATCTATAATATTATATAAATTACTAAGAAGATAATTAGGTAGTCTACCTACTAATAACATAGTTTGTATATAATAACACTATTTACTTAATAATAGGGGAAATACCTTTCTTTACTAATTATAGATATAACCCTATATTAATTAGAAAATCATAGAATAAAGTACCTATAGTGGAAGAAGCCATAGATTTAGTAGATACTATTAATTATTTAAGGACTTAACTCTTAAGGGACATTAAATTTATAAACCTTAAAATAGTAATTTATTATAATAAGAAGCACAGGAGTACTCTAGACCTAAAAAAGGGGGAGAAAGTTTATCTACTCTATTAAAATATTAAAATAAAATAACTAAGTTAGAAACTAGACTATCAGAAAATTAGACTATTTATTATTAATAAAAATTAGGACTAGTTAACTATTAACTATAACTACTAAAAAGTATATTAAAAATTTATCTAGTATTTTATATCTTATTATTAGAACCAGCACTAAAAAATATAAAAATTACTAAAATATTAAAATTAATAATAATACTAAATAAGAGTATAAAATTAAGGAAATCCTAAATTATAAATATGTTAGTAGAAAGCTATACTACCTTATAAAATAGAAGGGCTATAATACCTTAGAAAATATATAGGAGCCTATTAAGAACCTAATAGGCTGCTACTAACTTATTTAATAGTACTATTTAAAGGGAAATTAAAGTTCTCCTAGAAGGAAGGGGGCATCTAATTAATCTCTATTATTATCTAATTAAAATTAGGTTTATTAGAAGTTATAGCTAGCTATTTATTTTTAGCTGTAGGATTAGGCTGCTTAGAAGACTTCTTCTTATCTAAGATCTATAATAGTTTAGTATTATATTCTAACATTTTAAAACCATATTCCTTAAGAAACTTTTATTATTTTTAAAGTTATAAATAATAAGCTAAGGACTTAGTGACTTTCTATAATTTTTCTATTAACTCTTTCTAAATCTTTTCTAAATGCTTTTGTAACTATTAAAGCTTAGGGTAGAGAAGCTCTAACTTATTATTAGTTATAGATAGTTTAGAAGTAATCTTCTTTTTAGCTCTCTTTAAAATATCCTACTCCATTTTAGTATAGAAGTCTTTCTTATATAGCTAACCTTAATAGATATATAATATATACTTTAAATATTAATAAGTTCAATCCATCATGTAAACCTTGCCTAATAATATGTAATAATTATAAGGAAAAGAAGTAATAAAGCTATTTTTAATAATATACTCCTCCTAATAGATATAACTAGTAACTTAGTTATAGGGAAGTTTAGGAATACCTTTAAGGACAGTATTAGTATAATGCTTTAGCATAATGAGTAGGCATAGTTAAGAAATAAAAATACACCTACCTAGGAAAGCACCGCCTTTTAAATTAAGTTTTAAGAATGAAATACTAAGGAAAGAGGAGGTAATATTACAGCACTAATATAGCTATACTAGTATAGGATGGATGTGACAGGTAGAAACCTAAGGATTAATAATTACTAGTTAATCCTAGAGTAATTAGGGCATAATCTAGAGAAATGCTTAATCTAGATAGGGTTTCTATAGAAAAATAGTTTAGTAGTTACTTACTAAATATTAATACTTATATAATAGGGTGCACCTATAAAAGAGTACCTTATATAATATAGTATATAGGTATATAATATAAACTATATACTAGTTATAAATCTATCTACTAGTATATTACTATACTATCTACTATAACTACCTGTGGAGGAACCCTAGATATATAAGGATACTTATTTATTTATACTATATCTAGTACTCTTAATTTAGTTCCTTATATTTAATAATAATATCTTACTTAAGTATAAGTTTACTAGTCTAATTTATTAGTTACTCTCTACTATTAGGTATACATACTTAATAGGCCTTGCTTCTATCTCTACTATTACTATTCTTATATTACCTTTAGATTGCCCTTAATCCTATTTAGATTATTATATTACTATATTATTAAGGCTACCTAGTTAGTAGGCTTTAGGTAAGTATCAGATATAGTCCAGGGACTATATCACCCCATTCCTAAAGTAGTTGACTAGCAGAGAACAGCAGAGACAGATCCCAGGGTGTGACAGCTCCTATTTATTAAGAGAGTAGAATTATCTATAGCTATCCTTAGTTTAATTAATAGGTATAGAGCTATCAACCCCTTAGGTTCTATAGTTCTGTTTTATTAATTAATATATTATCTAGTAATCATAATAAGTAATCTATAGTAGAAGTAGTTTAAAATATAAGAAAATAAAGAGATAGGCTACCTAAGGAAGGTTTCTAGCTAGTAAGATATTATTAACTAGACTATAAGTTACTACTCTAATTAATACTAGGTTATAGGAGTATATAGGATTACTAATAAAAATATATATATATATATTATAAGAATTAGAATAAACTATTTAGCTTCCTCTAAGCTGTTTAGTTCCCCCTATTTCTATTCTGTGTGTGTGGAGTTTAGACAAACTATTATCTAAGTAAGGGGACAGGCCCCTGGTGGGGGTACACTGGTGGCTCAGCACATGACAGGCTAGCTTATTATATTATAGGGAAGATGGTTGTCCATTTCTTAAATATTAGCTATCATTGATAGGTGACATAGCACATGATTGTTTCTTAGACATATAATAAAAGCTAACTCCCTACCTATAATATCAACAAGGTAATGCCATGTAATTAGTTAGTATATAATAGGTTATATATAAGTAGTGCTGCAGTCTATAATAGCCCCTAATTAAGAGGTAAGTGCTAGGTAGTATGAATTATGAAAGGACTTTTCATAGGCTTATTGATAAGCTGGTGAGACACTATAGTAATACCACCTGGAGTTTACTTTTAGTTGATTCATATCATATAGCAAGAGCATTTTACCACATCACTGATAGACTGACCTGCCCCCTGCATCAGCACATCACTGGTATAGCAGGTATTCTACTGCTACACTTGATCGGAATTGTCCAATTGAATATTTCGATAATGGCATGGTTTTTTGCAGACACCACTCTTAAAGGACATAGAATTGAACGACACCACCAGTCGATAAAGACATGATGCCGCGACAAAAGTTCTTTTTCCATTCTAACTCATAAAAAAAGAATCCAGGCATACAGGTAGGTACAAATCAATGTCCCAACCACCATAATACTGGTGATTCAGACCACTTAAACGGTTTCGAGGACCTGCTCCTTGAACTCTCTCTCGACCTTGTGGCCCTTGTCGTCGGTCGTAGATTCACCGTGCAGATTCAGCAGCGCACCCAGATCGAACTTGGGAGCCTTAAGAAGCTTGACCTTGCGAATGTGGACCTAGATTGCAGTTAGTCTCCATCCCGAGTAAGAATAACAGGACCACGAACATTCTGCAAAGGATAGATTCCCTGGGTCGCCTTCTCGATCTCACGACCAATGACCTCGGGAATGAGCTTGTGAGTGAGCTGAGCGAGAGAGCAGCTGGCTGCCTCCCTCTGCATGATTTCGATCATCTTCTTGCGAATGGCACGAATTTGAGAAGAACGAGCATATGTGGTCTTCTTGATCTGGTTCGGGCGTCTCTTGGTGAAGGCGATAGCAAAAAGCCGAAGGAGATAATCATCGGTCGTCTTCACGGTGACATTGGCTTCGATCAGCGACTGCCACTTGCGCACGAGGGATCGCAGTTTGTCGGTTGTGAAATCGAGACCGTGGAAGTTGGTCAAACAGTTCTTGCCCTGAACCTCGTCCACACGAAGCTTAACCTTGCGGAAAGCATGGTCTTCATCGTTCTGCAGGTCAGCGAGCGAGACCTCGAAAATTCGACCCTTCAGGGAGTCATTGGCGTTCTTGAGACCACTGGTGCGGTTGACCAGAGTCTTCCCAACACTATAACCCAGTCAGTATGATTCCCCCTACCATTATAAATCGCCTTTATCCTGCGATTCGACATCATATACGCGTAACATACTCTCTGATCTGGAAAGTGGAAGGCGCCTAATACAGATTAGCTGCGGTCGAATTACACTGCCCAAGTCGACATACCTTGACAGAGTATTCGTCCTTCCTGGAGAAAGGATCAACGGTCCTCTTCTTCACACCCTTCTTGCCCTTCGACAAGCGCTTGTTCCTGTCCCCAGATCAGTACCTGTAAACCACCGTATCCAGACACAGGCTAAAAGCGTGCGTAACAATAGTAAAAGTGAATTGGCATACTTTCCAACCGCCATAACTGCGACTCAAGTCTATCTTGCGAGTATCAAAGACAGACAGGTATATCACACCACGGGCTCTGGTGGAGGGAGTCGAGTCGAGTAACCGCTTTGTTGCTGGTCGGCGGAATAATAAGTTGAAATTGCAATCCCACAGAAAAGTCCGCTAAGCGAGACGTCGGCCCTACCGATCATATTACATAATACATATCTGCCCACAACATCATGTGACATTTTCCTTCATTACCTTAATACGTATCATCTGTACTGTCTATGATAGATGTGGATATGTCATTATGCATCGTCCATCCACAATGATTTGTATCATGGGGACTCCTCTAATAAACTTCTTATTCCAACCAGTGCTCTTTGCTATAGGGGCACCGCATAGTTTGCTGTCATATTTAGCACACACTAGCCTTCTGAGCTCAACGAGACTAGAGAGGTATTATCAACAATATACACATAACTAATCACGTAACTAATACATTTTCAAATGTTTATTAACAATATCTGCAAGAATTTACCCTTCGCCCTCCAGAAAATGTAGTCATAAGACGGTAATTAGATGTAGTCCATCATAAGCCTAGTGATAAGGTCAGTGGAAAGAGCGCAAAGCCCATATATACATACCTTAGATAGTATTTAGTAAAACTAGTAAAACTAAGTACACCGGAGATCGAGTCCATGCCCAGTGCGGAGTGCAACATGCTCTGGCCGCTGGGTACATATCTATGTATTTCACATTCCATAGTCCGCACGATCTAAGTAGACTAGGTAGAGAGTATGGCGCCTTATACAAGAGTAGCCCCACTACTTGCCTCCAGATCTCCAGTGGCATACCGCAGAGCGGCTGGTCATATGACAAGCTCTGTTGAGTATGAAAATGGAAAGTATAATTATGCTATCTGCATGTCAATCACTTGTACATATGTACTTTCGAGCACATCTTGTTTCCAACAACTTCACCATCTCCGAAGGCTTATAATAATCCTCCAAAAAGCTGGCTAGACTGACCAAGTAATACAACAGTCCTCCAGTAGCTACATCTGATTGACCACCATTTTCCACAAGAGAACAATTCGCGACCTGAATAGGACTTGATATTAAAGCATGGTTGGTGCCAAAAGCTTAGACTTTGAGCTATTACAAGGAGATATTGACTGAAATCAACAGGGGAAACGCAAGAAGTCCAGCCGACAGCCACAGCAACCAAAAAAGGTGATCGCATGTGACGTGGCCTTGAGCAATGATACTAATAATTGGAATAGAAAGAACCACTGCCAACTACATTTGCCTGCTTGTTCTGCAATCATGAAAACTCCGTCATTGTCAAATTAGACAAAAAGCTAGGGCTTGGAAATTTATCCTGTAAAGTGTGTGGACAAAGGTTCCAAACAGGAATTAACTGTGAGTGCAGTCACTCCTAATGCACCTGAGATTTCTATTCACTATTCTACTTGCTAGACCTTTCTGCTGCTGTTGATGTATATTCAGATTGGGTGGATGCTTGTGACGCAGTTGCGAAGGATACTGCTAGTAAATTCGATGATGATATACTTGCTGTCCATTCTCCGGAGCACTCATTCCCTACTACCAACCGTGATGTCGGAAATAGTGATATATAATTACTGAATAGGTACTTATCCGCCCTCATGATCGATAGTTTACCAGAGGACTTACGAAGTTTATGGAACAGCTATACGAGACCACTTTCAAGGACCACAATAGTCGAGATTCAACAATTGCTTTAATCGGCCGAGCAGTCGAGACCACTATGAATTTTCAAAGCACATCTGCAAACTGCAACTCTATGTAAGAGCTATGCCGCTACATGCCGAGACACCCGATTCCGGCTAAGCCACATGGCTACATGGTATAATACCGATCACCAAAATCACCTAAACCTGGGATGATATACCTGTCGCATCGATAAGTTAGTGTTCTATCCATTGGGAGAGAATTCAACCGACTTCTTTTCGTTCAAGCCCTGATCAATGAACGCTGTTACTACTCTAAGTTTTGGAAAGCGTTCTGCGAAATCTGCGACCCCAGAGGGACTTGCAATGAGGTTGAGAAATAGTATTCGATCTTCGGGCACACCCTTCGCCTTCAGGATTTCGACAGCAAGCGTTGCAGAGCCTCCTACAAGTCGTCAACATGGGTAGCTTTCAATCATATCGGAAATACAGGACATGACGCACCAGTTGCAAACATCGGATCAAGGAGTAGCACCCAACGGTTGGCGATATCAAGGGGGAGCTTTTCGTAGAAGAGTTTCGGCTTGCAGGTTTCTTCGTCTCTCTGAATCAAAATTTTCCCAATTCGCACCGACCGACAACAATCCCTAAGACCCTGTTCCATTGCTTCTCCGGCCCTCATTATTGAGACTCCGCATATCTTTCCTTCAAATCTGACCCCGAGGTATTCACGGCCCACAGGAGTTGTAACGGATCGCTCGACGACTGGTAGATGATTCAATCCCTCTTCCACCAAAAGTCGGATAATTCTGTTGGAGTAAAAGATAAAATCGGCACGGCTTGTATTTTTATCCCTAATCATACTGCAATTGGTCAGAAGATACGCTTCTCCATATGATCGAGTTTAATGCTCATCAATATCAGTTAGGGCACAGCGTCTGTATTGAGTATTCCTCTTACGTCAGAAGCGCAATTAGTTGCGGAGTTTGTGGCAGCACATGGACATTCTCATAAGATATGTCTTTGGACACTGTTGCTGTAGGCTTCTCGCCTTCAGGCCTATAAATCGGGCCAACACCTTGTGCAGGCGAAGGCGCAGCATTCATTCCAATGCTTGTCATGGTTCTGTCCTCGAGATAGTTAGACAACTGGATAGTGTACAGACAAATAGGGGAGAACTCGAGTGACTTGACGACTCGTCAAATAGAATAATGATGAAGTACAAAACAGATTGTCTTACGAGTACCTCTCCAGAGAGGTGCTAATAGTGTTTTGCAGCAGCAAAGGCGGAGCACTGTGTAAATGGTACTAAGAAAGATGGGGAAAGTGAAAGCTTAGTACTACCTTATATATCAGTACTACAAGGTACCTTACACATACCCTAAGTTACACTCCAATCTACAGGTACCTTACCTTCGGCTTGGTAGGTAGGTAGATCAACCCCAGTTCTGTTATTTCCATTTCAGTCGTGAATCTCCCTCTATTCATACCTACTACTTAGAAGGCACCAGCAATAGAATTCGCAAGTATTATAATACAAATAATAATATTAATACCGTCAGCTTATACTTAACTATGCCTACAAAGACCTCATATTACTGTGTTACCTTAATAATTTTGCCACTCGACAAATACCTAACTACAGGTACCTGCCCAGGCAATAATACCTTAAGGAAACTGTAAGGTAAGCTACCTTACCGTACTAGATTGCCAACCTTACGTAGGTTGTGATAAGGTATCTGATTATTGCACCTTCATCACTCAACTGTAAGTATAGAATACTTACCTTTTGACGGGCACCTTATGGCATACCCGTCCTCCCCACCTTCCTATCCAGCATACTCTCCGGGCTCTTCTCTCATTCAACATGAAAGAAGACACTGAACGGCGTACCGACCTTGTCAGATCCGCCACAGCCAGACATAGAAAGGGTAATCATGCGACGCCGAAAGTTCAAATTGAGTGTAATAAACCTCCAAAATCTTCAAGCCCCACGACCGAAGCATCAGAGAAGCAGTCTCCAGGACAAAAACACGAGCATTTCCCATCTAAGGATGAACCCCCTGTTCTTGAGCCGGTTGATAAGATGCTGTGTCGCTTCCAAGGCCAGAGTGGGAAAAAACACCGTTCTGCTCAAAACAAACGCAGGAAGCTTGACGTCTCTCAGAAAACACAAGGTCGGGACCAAGATGTCTCGCATCGGCTGCATAATTCTGTTTCTCGGATGGCGCCAAGAGACAAGAGAGATTTGAGCGCAGTCGCAGACATGAGTTACACAGACGGAAAGGGCTTTGTCGATCAGAGTGAACTCAAGCTACAAATTGGTGGCCATGATCTTCAGCAAGCGACATCTTACGGTAGTTCTGGGAGAAACGAAGTATCTACCGCAGTGCCTTATTTGCAGTCAATCCGTAAGGAGCAGACGATATCTAAGAGCAAAACACTCTCAATCGCCACAGAGTTTGCTACTTCAAGCTCGCAATTCCAATCTAATTCGAAGGCAGAGACCAGAACACAAATAACTGCGCGAAGGCGATTAGTGGATTCACTTGGTCCCCTGGAGCCGACATTGGAAGATGCGGTGCGAGCATCCAGAGCCAACAACGACAGCGAAGTCGACCCGCTTCCCCACCACAGCCCTCGTAGAGAGTCTGTATTAAACTCTCAGCCAAAACCGAGTCCTCAACCTGTTAAGCTGGTGACTGAAAGCGCGAACAAGGGGACTGCTGAAACATCTGGCCCAGTCTCATCCAGAGTGGGAGGCTGTAGGGTCACTTACGCGCGACAGCGGTCTTTCTTGGATGACACGTCTATCATTGAGAGTCGTCGTCCTTCCGAAATCCCGGCTTCAACAGCGGGCAGCTTTGTTCAAGGGCACCGAGAATACGGACCCGAGATTCTCTCCAGTCATTCGTCGCATCTTGGTGACGGAGAAACAAGCGACAGCGGTCCTGTTCGTGGGATTCACGAGCTTAGGCAAGCTGGAGACAACTCCCGCTTTCGAAGCGCGATTGAATTGATATTCGAAGACATTGAGGATGCATACAATACCACATCTGGTAGATGCAGTAGTTTTGTCCAGCTATGTGAAAAGCTACTGGACCGTCAGTTTGTCCGACGCTTTCTCGAACATGGCTTCCACGAACGACTCGTTGGATGCATAGATGGTCGCCTTGATGTGGTATCTGCATCGTTCGCCCTTTGCGCATGCGGATTGATCAATTCATGCGACAAGTTATCTCACATCTCGTTAATCAGCCACTTGTCAAATGTGCTGGTTCTATCTCCTGTGCTACTGCCCGTGGAACGTGATCTTTTGTCTCTGTCGCAACTACCAACTGCTGAGTTATCAAGATCGGTACAAATGTCCATCAAGCACATTTTACCTCGTTTATCTTCAACCATCAGTGGAGACGAGCCGGCTTTCAAAATATCGCCTCAATTCGTGGCTCTTAGTAGCATCCAGTCTTGCCTAGTAAGTTTGAACAATAAGGGCGGCAGCATTGAACCCATTCCAGCGACTCTGTCAGACCACCTTGTCAAATTGTTAATCCCAGAAAGAGGCAAGACTATCAAATTTCCTGTATCGCGGGAAAGGTTCAGGACACTGGCTTTGATTTTCTCGATACTGGAGTCTTACGCGATCGTAAGCGCAGCAGACCACGATCAAAACTACCCGTCTCTGAGTTCACTTTCTCGGCTTCATGAGATTCTCAATATGAGCCAGTGCAACCAGGGTAGGCAACTTCGCATGTACTATATTCGAGCAATTTTGAACCTCACCAATAACGACCCGAATCTCTGTAACGAATATGCAACACCAGAGCTGGTGAAGGGATTGGTCAACATCGTCATGTCAGAGATTCGCGACGCATCCGACGATAGTTCTACAGGGGAGGACAACTCCTTGAACACGTTAGTCTTAGTCTTGGGGGTCCTTATCAATATGACAGAGAAAAGTGAGTCAGCGAGGGGTCTTTTCCTGCGCCTGACTCTCGATTCGACACCCTTAATCCAATCGCTTTTGGAACGATTTTACGAAAGGGTGAATTCGGTCAGTGAGGTAGGGAAAAGAAGCAAAGAGCATGTCGCTTTCAAATTTGTTCTTCTGATAACAATGTCCATAGGCACATACAGCTCCTACAGTTCATCGCAACGTTACTGTCGGATATCTGTCTATCCTGCTGCTCACGCTTTGTCTCAGCGACGAGGCAATCTCCCAGGTGAGGAGGTCGCTCGACAACAAGGGACTGACCGTAGTTTTATCAACCGCAGGTGAGTTTTTGAAATACTATCGGAAAATTGATTCGGATTTGGATCCGTCCGAGTCACGAAAAAGCCAAAACTCCGGACTTGTGGCGAGATTAGAACATATCATACAGCAGATTCAGCTGCGTGAAAGCACGCCTTTGTAAGTTGTGGATAGGCACAATGGCATGGAAATAGCCAGACCTTTTTGGATTCCCATCTGTATGTCACCCATTAGAGCGCGGATATTATGCTGATGTAAACATCATTTCCCTGCCAGCACAGATCATGTAATGATGAAGGCAAAGGACGCCGCAAACGGGGCTTCAAGGTGATGTAGGTTTGATCGGTGATCGGTGATCGGATGTCGTTTGATATGTTTGTATGTTCCGCGGTTTCTGAGCGACCTTGGTATGCATCTACGTAGTTGAGGATGCTTTGAAGGTGATTTGCCACTTGGGAACATGCACCTTATATAACTAGGTAGACCCCGAGAAAACAGCAGACTAATCGGTGTTTCGATTATTGTAATTTAATCACTACACTTTCTCTCAGACAGTTTATGTCATTGGGACACGGTGCTTATTTCCTCCAGTCTGGCTAGTCGGCGTGATCACTAGACTCAACTTCGCAAGGTTGGGGCATTTTCCCTTGCTCTTACTTCCGGGTGATTCCAATCAAAGCGACGGAGGGGAGGTCAAGAAAACCACGAAACGCAGGGAAATAATATGCCTGCTGCGCCGAAACAGAGGAAGATTGCCATTGTTGGTAGTCGGTCCGTTGGTACGATTCCGTATACGAGCATGCCACCTACTTGCCTGTCGCCCTGCTCAGAGATCTTTTCATTTTGATTGTGTTTCCCGATCTAATTGATCACGCAGGCAAATCGTCTCTTACGGTCCGATTCGTTGAACATCATTTTGTCGAGAGCTATTATCCTACCATTGAGAATACGTTCAGTCGCATCATCAAGTACAACGGTCAGGATTTCGCCACAGAGATCGTTGATACAGCTGGTCAAGTGAGCATACAGGCATGAGCGACTTCAATTAGGCTAACGACTCTATCCCAGGATGAATACAGCATACTTAATTCTAAGCACTTCATCGGAATACACGGGTATATCATTGTTTATTCTGTAGCGTCCCGCCAGTCGTTTGACATGGTGAGGGTTATACGCGACAAAATTCTGAATCATCTTGTAAGCATTCGGCAGGTTGCCAGCATGGCTTTATTTTCCTGTGCTAATCGAAGAGCAGGGAGCGGATCACGTTCCTCTCGTGATTGTTGGAAACAAGAGCGATCTCAAATCGGAACAGCGTCAAGTTTCGCTGGACGAGGGTAGGCAATTGGGCGAAGAGTTTCATTGTGCGTTCACTGAGGCTAGTGCTCGTCTCGACTACAACGTCACGAAAGCGTTTGATTTGATGATCGGCGAGATTGAGAAGTCCCAAAACCCGTCCCAACCAGCAGGCGGCAGCAAGTGCATGCTAATGTAGCGCTACTTGAGGTTCCTGCATTCCTGTCCAATCTTCATACGGGTCTGCGCCTCAATGAGCGGAAATGTAATGAAATATTGAGGTTGTGAATCATCCCCGGTCCCGATGTCCTGCCAGTTCTATGGCCTATCTGTTCTATAATCTCAGTGTTGTACAAGGGGGGTTGGGAAGACTGAGGGTCGGACACTGCTGGAGAGAAGGAAGTATGATGACGGACAACTGGGATTCGAGATGAGGTTTTAGACCAGACCCAGCATCTTGCTTTGTAAAGGCTGAATGAGCTGCACAGTGGAGCGTTTCCAGAATGAGCTCACGCAGGAAGTGCATTCTGGTCTAGGAGATACAGTGGCCCTTTCTTTCTACAGTATACGGGTTGTAATCCAACGAGCGGTTCATGCCACTAGCGAACATAACATACAGCTTCAGCTCTCATATATAGATACCTAGGGGCTTTGCAGACACCCAGATTCCCAGCTGGGGGAACAGCTGGTGGCAGCCACAAGAGTTTAAAAATTACCACAGGGGACGGCTCCTGGCTTGTGCCTTCCGGCCCATAGGAACCTGACATAGAAAGTTAACTACCTAGAGTAGCAGTAATCAACGTTAAGGCACCTGAACATCCCTAAGTAGCAGCCTGATAAAGTAGGTAAATACAGTACATGATACTCTTATGTACTCAAGGTTCTAATTACATAATTATCCCTAGTATCTTACCTTATTTAGTATTGACTTCTCCACCTTATGCACGGATGACTACGCAATACCCCAAGCGAAACGATCCCCTCAATTATTCTCGACCCCTCCAAACCTAATTAGATGACACCGGGTTCGACTGTGTCAAAGCCTTCCCATATTTGTCCTCCATCTGTCTCTTGAATATCTTCTTTCATTAAGTTCTTCTGGTGGATTCCTTCTTGTTATCCCTCCTATTATAGACTTAAGATGCTTGATATTGCCGATTTTGTCTCCGATCGCGGTGGGAATCCGAATAAGATCAAGGAGAGCCAGCGGAAGCGATTTGCACCAGAAAATGTGGTCGATGAAGTGATTACTCTCTATGAGGAGGCTCGTCGAGGTATACATATTTCCCCAGGCAGCACTGCCCAATGGTAGAACGAATTTGTCCTGACGCATAGCAGCGCGTTACGAAGTCATGCAAATAGGATCAGAGCTCAATGCGCTCCAAAAAGAAATCGGAAAGCGAAAGAAGGTCTGTTGCTAAGTGGTTTGAGGCAACCTTACTGTCTATATTTCCCCTCAAACCTACTCCATGCTTTGCTTAATTCTCTTCTGTCAATTATTCGTTTCTAACGCTTAGAGCGGGGTAGAATAAAGAGGATGCGGGTGACTTGATGAAACAGAAGGCCGCTCTGGAAAAACGGAAAAAGGAGGCTGAAGAGCATGCCTCTGAACTGGAAAGCAGGAGAGATCGTAAGATTCGGACAATTGGGAACTATGTTCATGAGTCAGTGCCTGTGAGCAATAATGAGGTGGGTTACTCTTTCAAGATCTTGATACTAGTATCGGAAACTCATATACTTAAAGGATGACAATGTGGTGGTCAGAACGTGGGCCCCGGAAAACGTGGTGGTAGAGAAGCGCAATTGTCTTTCTCATCACGAAGTCCTCACCCGCCTTGATGGGTACGATTCGGAGCGTGGTGTGAAAATTGTTGGCCACCGTGGATATTGTTTGACAGGCTACGGTCTGTTCCTAAACCTGGCTCTTATCAACTATGGTCTTGAATTTCTTTGGCGGAAAGGGTACAAACCGAACCAGCCGCCTCAATTCATGCTCAAAGAGTTGATGGCGAAGACCGCGCAACTCGAGCAGTTTGATGAAGAGCTGTACAAGGTGACTGAGAGCGATGACAAGTCTACCGACAAGTATCTCATAGCCACCTCTGAACAACCGCTGTCTGCCCTGCACGACGGAGAATGGCTCCAGGACAAAGATCTTCCAATCAAGTGAGCAACTCAGCGTTTGACACTGTGTTCATTGCTAAGTATGATAAAGATATGCCGGGTACAGTACATGCTACCGAAAGGAGGCCGGTGCTCATGGAAAAGATGCCTGGGGTATCTTCCGCGTCCATCAATTTGAGAAGGTAACTTCTGATAACCCTGTCATCGTTCGTCTGCTTGCTTGCTCATGCATCCCTAGGTTGAACAATTCGTTCTTACCAAGCCTGAAAACTCATGGCAAGTTTTTGAAGAGATGATGGCCACGTCAGAAGAGTTTTATCAGTCGCTTGGTCTTCCTTACCAGGTCGTCGCTATCGTTTCAGGCGCCTTGAACAATGCCGCGTCGAAGAAATACGACCTCGAGGCCTGGTTCCCGTTCCAGGGTGAATACAAGGAATTAGTTTCTTGTTCCAACTGCACCGACTACCAGGCGCGAGCTCTGGAAATACGCTATGGCACAAAGAAAGCCACTGATGTCAAGAAATCCTATGTCCACGCGCTCAATGCTACGCTATGTGCTACAGAGCGGACGCTTTGTTGCATCCTTGAGAACTATCAAACCGATGACGTATGTGTCGAAAAACGGGCTGTCTCATATGGCATTGATTCGCTAATGAATTATAGGGATTCAATGTGCCCGAGGCTCTGAGAAAATATATCCCCGGCGCTCCCGAATTCTTACCGTACACCAAGGATCTTCCTAAAGACACGACATCCCATAAATCCAAAAGCAGACAGGACATTAAAACTGCAGCTGGCACCGGGGAAGCTACCAAGAAGCTACAGGACCTTCGGGTCTGAATGGGCGTGATTTAGTGGTCCCTTCTTCCCCTGGAATCCAACTCTGCTGATGTGTGATTACTCCCTGAGGTCAGATAGTCATCCATCGGAAATATGAAAAGAATACTCCCCCTTGTAACCCCAAGAATTACCGTGTCATCTGGTACTTATCTTAAATACATTACTATTCAATATATGGACGATAAAATGACTTGGCGGTGCCATAGAGTATCCTGCATATTTGCATTCTAGTTAGGGCTTGCAGCTCGGCGCTATCGGAAATGGGTGTTGTCGACTATTAAACTTAAATATACCGATAAAGAAGGCTTCCTACATATCTGCATCATGGTTCTCAGCGCCCACTGAACTTTTTTCAATTTCAACCCCCGCTGAGCTGCATCCCTTGTTATCGGTCTACTGAGAAAGTGGTGTTCCTGTTATCTTAGGCAAGCCGAAGTGGAGCTTCTAGAGCCTCCCACATGTCTCCGATAGGAGGGGTAAGAACGAGAGCCCCGCCGAGCTCAATGACTCAGATCGGCGAGATGTCGTGATTTACAATCGGTGTCCGATTCCGGCGAGCCTGTTATTATATCGGTCCTAATATTTTTCAAACATTGAATTCACTGTGAATCTTCCCCTTCTAGCTTTAATTGCTCCATCCTCTATCTTCACTATATTGCTTGCTTTTTCATTGATTCCGCTCGGTTATTGTCAAAATGGCGACATCTGCTCGAGACATAAATACACGCCGAGATCTCAACGTCTCTCAGAATACGAACCTTTCCACATCCCCAACGGCATCCTTCCAGTCTGGACCCTCGAGTCACGGAGGGTCTGCATTTGCAGGCCGCACGATTCCTTTACCCAATGCAAAGCATTTAAAACCTTTCGCTACAGAGGACATCAAGGTTTTGCTCTTGGAGAACGTAAACCAAACTGGCCGCGATATTCTTACGGGACAAGGCTATCAAGTCGAGTTCCTCAAATCCTCTCTGCCGGAGGATCAATTAATAGAGAAGATACGGTTCGTTTGGCCGAACCTTTTGTGACTTTCTCCGAGCTGACTGTCTACCTCTTTGAACCAGTGATGTGCATGTGATTGGTATCCGCTCGAAGACAAAGCTCACATCCCGCGTCCTCAAGGAAGCTCGCAATCTAATCGTCATTGGGTGTTTCTGTATTGGGACTAACCAGGTCGACCTTCAATACGCGGCCGAGCATGGCATTGCAGTGTTCAATTCTCCCTTCAGCAACTCTCGAAGTGTGGCCGAATTGGTCATAGCTGAGATTATTGCCCTCGCCCGTCAGCTAGGTGACCGCTCCATGGAGATGCATGGCGGTACTTGGAATAAAGTAAGCGCTAAATGCTGGGAAATCCGTGGGAAGACTTTGGGTACGCCTGTCCTGTTTGAAGTGTGGAGTCGAGACTTATTCTCTTGGTAGGAATCATCGGCTATGGTCATATCGGCGCGCAATTGTCTGTTTTGGCCGAGGCAATGGGCATGTCGGTCATCTTCTACGACGTCTTGAATTTGATGGCACTGGGTACTGCCCAGCAAGTGCCGACGCTGGAAGCCCTTTTGTCCAAGTCTGACTTTGTTACGTGCCATGTCCCTGAACTACCAGAGACGAAGGACATGATAAGCTCACAACAATTCGAGCAAATGAAGCCTGGGGCTTATTTGATCAATGCTTCCCGAGGAAGTGTTGTGGATATTCCCGCCCTCATCCACGCAATGCGTTCTGGTAAGATTGCGGGAGCTGCCCTCGATGTTTACCCGAATGAGCCTGCCGGCAATGGTGACTATTTCAATGATGATCTTAACACTTGGGCCTCGGATCTCCGTGGTCTCAAGAACGTGATATTGACCCCACACATTGGAGGTAGCACCGAAGAAGCGCAGAGTGCCATAGGCGTCGAGGTAGGACAAGCTTTAGTGCGATACGTCAATGAAGGAACAACTCTTGGAGCCGTCAACCTCCCTGAAGTCACTCTTCGTTCACTTACAATGGAGGAACCCAACCATGCCCGGGTAGGTTGAAGTGAAATCTCAGTTACAACATGGTTCGCAGCCGCTGAATTCTCGTTTAGGTCATCTACATTCATCACAACGTCCCTGGAGTTCTGCGCAAAGGTTTGGCTCGATCAACTGTTTTCTGAGGTATTTGACGTTCTAATGTTTGATATAGTGAATGAGATTCTCGGGGACCATAATGTTGATAAACAAATGACTGATAGCAGAGGCGATGTATGTCACGATACCTCAATCGGCACCTTAAAAATTGCAATGCTAAATTTGTGCAGGTGGCCTATCTTATGGCTGATATCAGTAACGTCGACAATGCCACCATCAAGGAATTGTATGAAAGACTAGAAAGCTTGTCCTGTATGTGTGACCGTTTGAGGATTTAAGGGATACGTGGCTGACACCTCTGTTTAATCTAGCCCGAATCATGACCAGAATATTGTACTAGGCTCTTGCACAGCTCAGAAAATATTCACCCAACTTCGGGAATCCTGCAGGACTCCAAGTCCGGACCATGTGTATTGAGGAGTATTGAGGAGGATCCATTTCATGGTTGGACAGTGCCAGTCTTGTGTGCTCAAGAGGACAAAACAGTAAATAGAGAAGGAGATAGAGAAGGCAAAAAGGGGAGATTTTTGAACATCACTGGAATCAACGAACATAGTCTAGTTTGAATTCCTTTGTTGGCATCTCGTCTACAGTCGACCTGCCCTAAACGTGATCATGGATTCCATCCCAACTTCCCACGTACGCTGGCGCGAACAAGTCAAATCTTGTTCCGGATTTGAACACTTTAAACTTCGTCAGTATTAATCAATACAAACTCAATGCATTACTCACCTCCTGCAGTTGTATTTGTACGTTCTGGCTCTCCTCAGATATGCGAAGAAGGTACATACCATAGCTTCCATGAAGCGACAAATGCACTCCTTGCCGGTACTGGTAAGGCAAAAACTTAGAACTGAGACCCACCAGTTCGAGCCGCGGCTGCCTGGGTTTTAGTAAGTCATAGACAGCAGGAGACGTATAATAAACGTTGAATCATTCGGTACCAAGAGCGTCACAGGGTTCAATTGGCAAAGCCTTTCTGCATCAGTTTCTCACAAGGACGAGCTTATCATCGTCGGTACAATGCTCGATCCTCTGTTCGAGCCGCTCGAGAGTCAGGACTCCGGCTTCGTCTTCTTGAAGAATATCGGTCCCAAGGATGACCCTGTTTATGCCCCTCATTAGATTGTTCAAGTTCCAGATCACGCCGATCAACAATGGAACTCGGGCTATTGCCTTTCCTTTCTCGAGAATGTTCACTAGCGTCACTGTAAGTCGGGATGTACGAATCCAGTTTCCCATCAGGCCATCCTCCAAAATGATTGCGTTGACCTCTCTCACGTGTCGCCCTATTTGAATGACCCATGGTCCATGATTGACGAGCAGACGCAGGAGGTTTAGGAGGCAAGCCGCCATCTTTTGAACCCGAGAAGCCTGGAAACGACTCCCCCGCGTTTGAAGACCCATGCGATACAGCATTCCGGCTTTCAAAAGGGCGCTTTGTAGGATGATTTTGAACCACGTGTGCAGGGAGCCGGGCAACGCGTGCAGCACCGGGAATACGGCTATTTCTGTTGTCTGTCGTTGGTCTGGGCCCGGAATTAGTTGCCCAGCCACTGTTTGGACCCATACCCACAGAGCCCCCTGCAGGTGCCGGGGGAATGGCGCCTCGTTGTCCACGGAAACGTCTCCTATCAAATTCATGTGAGTCCTCAAAACTAGGGAGCTCCCCAGGTCGGGCAGGGAATGGCGGGCTGGAAAAATAGGGATGGTTTATTGCATCAATAGCATTGATTCTTTTCCGCCAGTCAAGCTTGAGAAGCTCCTCAAGCAGGGATATGGCCATAGGACTTTGACTGTGACCTGAATCAGATGGCTTTTCATTTAACATTCAGGACAAGTCCTGTTGGGTTCTTGAGTCAATAGAAAGCCAAGGCCTTACTCTTTGAATACCTCACGTAGACTGCCTGGTTTATACCCAAAGCTTTTCACGCCCTCGCAGCCAGGTAGAGAACCCCAACCGGGCATGTTTTCTTCAGTTGGTGTTCCAACAAGATTGAATATCAGCTGGGCTTGGTTGAGATCGCTGCTTCCAGCCAGAATCGGTTTCCCCTTGAACATTTCGCCGAAAACGCACCTACAATGGTTAGGAAGAACAAAAGGCGGGAGCAAGAGAACAGAAGATTTACCCAACACCCCACATATCGATAGCCGTTGTATAACGTCGAAGTTGAAGGAGGAGTTCCGGGGGCCGGTACCACCGTGTAACAACTAATGTGGTATAGTCTCTTTTAGCTTCCCCTCCACCCTTTCCGGGCTGAGGCGGAGGCTCATCATATGGCCGAGCTAAGCCGAAATCCGCAATCTGAAGTACGCCGTTATTGCTTATCAACAAGTTGGCAGCTATAACGGGTCAGCACAAGAATTGCCTTTCTCTGCGTCTTAAAAGCATTTTGGCAGACCTTTCATGTCGCGATGTAGGATGCGGTTCTGTAACCCATAAATTAGAACCGTCTCCAATCATATGGTAAATGGGGAAGGAATACACCGTGCAGGTATTTAAGTCCTTCAAGAAGCTGAAGCATATAGCATTTTATTTGAGGTTCAGTGAAGTTCACTGCCGGGTTCTCCAACAGCCCCGAAAGATCATGCTCCATATAAGGAGTCACCATGTACATGCTTGGTTTTTTACGTCCATCCCCTGTACTAAGTTAGTTTTCTCTCCCTTTCTTGGGGAAATCAACGGCAAACCTTTGCTTCGTTCCACAGCCATCTCCTTTAATTGTAGGATGTTGCGGTGCGATAACATCTTCAGCAGTTTAATTTCACGAAGGGCCGTGATAGGAAACTGGTATAGATTCTATCAGCTTCTGGTAATGTTGTCCATGATCGAATGACCTGACACCATCCTTCTCATTGTGCATGAGAATCTTCTTTAGTGCAACTATAGACCCATCTTTCTTCGAACGTGCCTTGTAAACCTCCCTTTTAGCAATCAGTACTTTGACAAGAGTATTAAAAATCATGCATTACGATACTGACCCAAAGGTACCTTCTCCCAGCTTGCCCAAGAACTCAAAATCGCGGATGCTGGTACAACCTCGGAATCTCGGATTGCCATGGTCATCCCTTTCCAGAGATGCGATAGCCATTTTCATGAAGAATCTGGCTCTTCAAGTGAAGAATAACCTGCGCGACAGAGATTACACAAGGCCGAACGTCCGTGCTCCAAATGATGAACCACTAACACTGTGAGCCATCGGGATATTGTTTGGAGGGAATGAGAAGAGTACCTCGGGAAACCTAGGGACCGAAGAGCCAGTCATATGATGTAGGGAAGTATCATACTATAGTTCGACTGATTAAAAAGATAAGGGGGTTGCAGCTGTGAAAGTTAAGGTATGTATTAACTCAACAGTCGATCTTTAATGATTTTAATGTTTTGATGCATATTAGTAAATCTTTCGGAACTTCATATATAAGGATTTACCATTAGCCCCACAATAATATGCGTGTACCATACTATCGCTTAGGAAACCAATGCTATATACTCCGTAAGCCTCAAGCGCATGGTAAGTAGAGTGATTTCCGCCTTTGCTTAAATCAGTGGTTGAGGTCACGTGGAGCTCCCGTGACCCTTGACTTGGACTTGCCTTTTGGCGACCATCTCTGAAATAGTTCTCATGTCTTGGCACTTATATTGCCTTCACAAGTCTTGAAAGAAGCTTCTGGACGTGTCTGTTTGAGCAAGTATATTCTCGAGCCTTGACTTTTCATAAATATTCTAATTGAGCTTGCTAGCACCAAGATGGCTGCGAACCATCCTATCCACATTCATCCGGCACGGCCGCTTTATCGCTTCACAGCAACTGCCTTAGGTGCCAGCATGTGGTTCTTTGTACGAGCTTTCCCACTCTTATTTCTATATTAAGGAGCATGCTGACTTAATGGTTCCATGACCTCTCAGCTCATGTATCGTGCGAAGAAGGATGGCCCCGCTTTGTTGGGTTGGAAGCATCCTTGGGACCATTGATGACCGTTACATATGAGAATCAACACTATGCCCGTCTCAATTCGCCATGTACAGCCCAATTTTTCAAGATTACCATTTATCGAGCGGGAACGAGCGGCGAGGTTGAAAATCTTCACACACAGTGCGGTCAAATCGCTCCATAGCATTACCGTTGATATCCAATGCTATGTATGTATCCACAACCAAGGCTCATGTTTGCATTTCATCAAGCAGCACTTTATATTGACGGCGCTGCTTACGGTTTCCCGGACGTAGCCGTGTTCTCAAATGACCAATTGCCCGGGAGAGTATGGGGAAGAACTTGCGTTCGGTGACCAACGAAAGTAGAAATGTGCTGATAGCGAGCGCAAAAAGCCAAAGCGCGAAACCCCTGGATACGAATGTCAGCTGCATAGTTTCGATAATCCACTCCGGTGGATCGAAGAGCATGTAGCTTGACACGATTGTGTCAACGACAATTGTGACGATCAGGGGTTCTATCGACTTAGTCAGTTTTAATCCGAACACTCAAGGATGTAACACTCACTGTTCGCCCTCATTGGCATCCGAAATGGTGGTCCCACGCTCAGAACAATGCTCGTAAATATATATTGGAAGATTGAGATCAAAAACAGAGCTGTATTTTCCGAGTTCTCTATATTGCTATTGTCCAAGTCTATTCTTGGAGGCTGAAACCTGTGAATGGTTAAAATCAGGCTTCTGGTGGAGATTCATGTGCATGCTAACATACCATGGTTGCGATTGGACAGTCTTGAACGCCACGAATTGAGTAAGGATGCATATGGATATCTGACCAAGCAGGGGAGTTAACACTTTCCGTGACACAAGATTTGCAGTTGGTCGCTTGCGGGACAGCACAGGATATGGGCCAGTCCAGCCCACTTCAAACCGTTAGCTTTGGAATCAACATGGTATTGAAGCTGGTTTAGAATGCTTACTAAATATTGCAATCGGCAAAATGAGTGCCAGGTCAATGAACAGAAACTGGAACTGTTAGCGAGACTACCCTGAGAAGTGTTTACTATACTCACCTGAAAATCGCCAAGGTTCGATGCTGACGTGTATAGAAAGCTGACACTCGAGAATTGAATTGCGGAGTACAAACTCATGTACTTGAAGCAACAGAAGCTGGTAACCAAAGCAGCGCGGCCTTCCCTGTTGCTGGCTTAGCAAAAGATGTACTTCAAATGAGAGATGGGTAGGCACTGACTTGATCAGTTGTGGAACGCAGGATATATCAAATTGACGACTGGTAAAAGGCGCCGCAACGGATGCTTCGGCATCAGAGAGGGATATACCGACATCTGCGGCTTTCAATGCACCACAGTCATTAGCTCCGTCCCCGCAGAATCCACAACAATAATCCAAGGACTGGAGTCTTTCGACAAGTTCATGCTTCTCATCAGGCGACATTCTGGCGAATACGTTTCCTCGAACAAGCATCTGCGGCAGTGTTAGAGGGAAAGGGGAAACAGTGAACCAGAGAAGACTGCGAATCTCGCTCGAATGCTCACCCTTTTCAAAACAACATCGCTGCCAAAATCCACAACCCATCTGAAGACATCTCCACTGATTGCAAGTGTATACTTATTAATGTTGCACGCGATTGCGGGCACGGACAGATCCACATTTGTCGGAATCAACGAGGGCTAAATTCCATCAGCCGTAAGATCAATTCAAGGGCAGGCAAAGTCAATACCAATAGAGTGCTCGGGTCAAGCTTCAGCGCCGGATCATCAACACATTCCCAGACCAGAGATGCTCCAATATCGTGACGATGACCTACTCTGGTCAACGATTTGCTACAAAGTGACCGCGGTAGACTTACCTTCCGCAAATCTTGGTATGAAACACTGTTCATCCGCTCGAATCAAGCCACACTCTCGGGCCACGCTGACTGCCGTAAGTATATTATCGCCCGTGCACATGACATTTCGTATGCCTGCATTACTGAGCTCTGCTATTGTCCCAGTAGTGCTGGACTTTAATTTATTTTCAAATATAATGAATCCGATGAATTCGAGGTCGCGTTCAACGAGTTCTCGAGTCAACTTCTGGGCTCTCATCCAGCTGAGTTTTGGTTCGTATCTCGCAGCGCACGCAATGACACGGTAACCCTTGTGTGTGTAGTAGCTCAACAATTCATCGAAATCGTGTGGCACTGTCCAACGTTGTCAGTTCATTAGGCGCGCTATAAACACTCAATATGGTGGTAATGATGGTTGACTCACAACTGTCAGGGAGGCAAATGGTCTTCAGACTTTCTGGTGCGCCTTTGACGAAAAAGCTTGCTCCGCCATCTCCAAATTGTCTTACGACGACACTCGCACGGCGCAGTTCCGAGACAAACTCAAAATTCCTGAGAACTCCGAGTTCTATCGGTACCTAAAAAAGCGTGTCGTTGTTTGAATCAGTGATCTGCTGTGCGTCCTAATAGGATTTTCCCATAGAGGAAGCACGCTTACAGTTTGACTGGCCCCTATTTGACCACTGAAGTCGGTTATCTGATTAGGCGGCCTCGCAATGGGTGGCATAATTGTTTCGTACTTAGGACCATGGGGTTCTATAGATTCGCTTCCGTTCTCCTGATAGGACCAGCCAGTGAATTGGAACATCTTCACATCGAGAGGATCTCCCATTAGCTCGCCATCCACTACTCTGAGAGAGTGGCATGTTGCCATAGCGTGGACAATATTTTTGTGTTGTTGAGGACCGACAGAAGCTCCCACGCAATATGAAGATGTGGAGGCCAGAGAAGCCAAATCAGGTTTTAGATCGGTGAATCTGTATTGTCCTAGTGAGCACACATCTATAAGATATATCAAGTGGTGCAGACCTCAAGTCCTGAGTCACAGTTCGCACACCGAGCACATCCAGACCGTCCTCTGTGAGAGTCCCAGTCTTATCGAAACAGACTATATCAAGCTTGCCTGCAACGTTGACCCTGCAGGTTTCTTAGTGAATAAATATCACAGCGGATAGAGAACGGTTTCAAACCTTTGCGGGCTGATACAAAATATCTTGTGACCCTTGAGTCGTGAAAGAGCTAGATTGGTGCCGATTGTCAGAGTAGCTGGTAATGCCGGCGGCACAACGATCGTGATTAGATCAAGTGCCCTAACAATGATTAAATGCCAGGAAAGCTGCGCAATGTAAGCTTAACTCTTGTATCATTTCTTGTGCCAGACTTACACCTAAGCGGACAAAATTGACAAATGATGCTATGAAACCAAAAGTAGCAATTACACCCATCACTGTAATGTAACGAAATGAATCTTTGTAGAACTTGAATCCTGAAGGTTTGGGAAAAAGCATTGAACGGACTAAGGCACCTTTGGTTGTTGAAAAACCAGTTCTCACAGCCACTGCTAACGCAATGGCTTCACCGTCATCGACGCTATGCGGCCGCCGTGCACGAATGACCTTTGTTCCACTAAAAAGGAAGTGCTTGGCAACATTCGGGTGGACAGATGGAGTACTAAGGTTAAGGTACTTCAACGCGTCGTCTGTCAACGGGATTTTTGATACAGGAACAGACTCTCCTTATCTAAAGTCAGTCTCGAGTCACACAACAGAATTACAGGGGTAGTTGTTTCACGGACCTGTCAGCATACTCTCATTCACGATACAATCTCCAGATAGCAAGATGCAGTCGCAGGGAACTTGATTCAAAGACGGATCTGAGAATTCAAAGACATCACCGGGGACCAATTCTCGAGAAGGGACAGTCCTCCCTGGCAGTCCAAAAATTAACTTTGCGTTCCAGCCCCTGATGCAGAAGGATTAATACTTACAGAAGCCATTCCTAAGCACGCGGGTATCGCACTCAAAAAGTGAGATTTCCCTCAACCTTTTCATCGTCTGCCACAAGCTCAGCTACTTGAGTAATCCGAATTGAAAAGACGAACACCACATACCGTTTGTGTTTCAAGAATGGTTGCGCAGATACTGAATACCGAAATGAGGAAAATGCAAACGGCATAGTAATAGTATTCATCCAGCGACCATAGGACAAGACTCGCAATTTGGAACATGTAGAACGGGTGAAACGCCTTGTTTTGTGAGACTCTGGACTTGATGATACGTATTCAAAAGCATGGCTCTTACTTCATCGATCAAAAGTTGAAAAACGGACTTCTGCTGTATATCAATGACATTCGCTCCGAAAATTTGCGCACGGCTATCGTGATCATCTGCGTCCAACCCGATTCGCATTCGTTTGATATTCGTCCACAGTGGATCTTTCCAGCCACTGATCAAGCTAAATTTGTCCTCGACAGGGTGGTAGAAGAAGCGAAGACAACGGTAATCAATATATCTCAGGTATGAGACAGTTGAATCGTTCTCTTCGTCCTGTGTACAACTTTCGGAATCTGCAAACACAGTGGAGAGCACACGTCCGTAAGGTATGCTTAACACTTCACATATGCTGAATTGATTCCATTGGTCCTGCACATATTCAGCGGAGATCTTATACCGTGATAAACGGGGAAAACCCACCTCCACTGCGACCCATTGACATAATCGAAGGGGCGTCGGCTTTCCTATTAGTCGGACTCTCCATCTTGGCAACCAACGTAGAAGAATATATGCAAAGCCCAACGTAAAAATGCATAGCAAAGAATATAGCACCAAGCCCGTGGAGCTCGTTGAAAATCCGGCCATGACAATAGTCAAGTCTTCCGACACGATATAAACTTTCTGGGTGAGCCTGCTGTCAATTGTGCGCTCTCCAGTACAGAAAGCCGATGATGGGCGCCGCGGAAGGAGAGGGTCCTCTGCTGAGGGTCTGGAGTAAGACAGGCGTTTGGACCTGCGAGAAGATATAATGGACTCCTCTGCCTCGCTAGCCTCACCCATCGACAATTCATCAGATTCGCTTTCAGCGTCGATTACTTCTTCGCGAGGCCACTCAATGAACCCATCTTCTTCTTGAAAATAAGTAAAGCTGACGGTCGAGTCCTTCCGGCCGCGGCGATGGGCAAATGAGACAACGCTTGAAGGGATACTTTCTGATATCGGCCCGTCAAAGACCTGTCAAGTCACGGTTAATACATACTTCAGAGTGACGCAGAGTTAGGCTTAATTGATGTACCTCGGTCCGAGCCATCTCGACATCCGACACAATACTATAGCTGATGATGTGTTAGCGGCATGCAGCAGAGACACGTTGAAGTATCGTCAATATACCTGCTCCTCATGGAGTCACGCCGATGACTAGCTCCAGGCGCACCCTCAACTGATGAGGTCTCGGGCACTGACCGAGCGGATTCATCTTCACCGAGGTGCATTGTGCTGGCGAGTGCTTCCCTCAATGAATTATGCTCTCAGCCAACTCTCAAGTTCGACATCAATTTTGAACGGACGTAACCGGGTTGGGGGCGCTGGGTATTTCTGAATAAGATAGATAAGACGAACGCTCAGTCCAGCAAGAGACACTAGTTTTTTATAAATGCCACTAAGTAAGTACTCTTTTCCGTGAGCCAAGTAACGTGGGAATCTGCTTTCCGAAGATAATGTCTGGAGGTGCCTATCGTCCTCTATCGGCACGTGACTGTTATCACTTATTCTGTATCTGGTAATTCTGATTTCGTTAATTTGGTTAGCTATTAGCTCCCCACTGAACTACAATGATGATCCATCCTACCTTATGAATAGTATCTCTCGCGCTATAAGTAATGTAGTTTTGTAGAGAGGTATATACAAGATTAACACCCTATATGGGAGGTATAATCAGTTCATGTATATATTTAATCTATAGTTGTTATTGCCTGTCATTAATATTGGAGGATATAAATATTCCAAGAATGACCCTAACGGTCAAAATACCTGGGCTCTAAGGTATCTACCTTAAGTGTTAATGCTAATAAACAATGTGGATTTGATCATTGTTGCATCTATCTCTCCTATAGTATCTTAGTGTGCAGTGAGCGATGTCTCCTATGGTTCGCAGAAACAAAGCTCTTCCTCTGTTTTCAGTGTACCTTTAGGACCATGCATGTATGGACTGCGTATCGACCTGTTTCCATTTAGTACTAGGTACAGAAGTTAAACAGCGTCAAAACTTGCATCCACACACATCTTTCCGTCCATAAGTATCAAATGAGACTATCGAATCAGGCAGACATGGCGCTCAGTCAAAGAATAAGCAACATAGTAAGCAATAGTGACAATGACTTGTATACTTATTATTGTTGGGAGCCGACTACCTTTACAGATGCGAGGTTCTCAACACTACCTACTGGTCCCGCCAAGCCCCTCGGCCCAAGGGCGCTAACAATCCCACCAAGCCAGTTTATTCCAGACCTCCCAAAAGCGAAGCGTATCAAATTCTTCCTCAACCCTTGCCAAACCTCTTCCGCAACAACCCCTCAATCAACGCTGTTTTCCCTAATCTGACAACCTTTCGCAATGTCTGAGCCTATTAGGAACAAGAAGGCGGACTTTCCGGTCGCACCGTAAGTCATGCCGTCTTCGTTGATCTCTGATTCTCATACATCATGCTTCGTCGACCATCTCTTTGGCCTCCTGTCTCTACCTGCTAACTTTTGTCGAACGTCAGGACGCCGCAAAACACACCCGCTAACAATGCACCTATCTCTTCTCATGCTCAACAACCCGGTGTTGCAAGCATCAAAGAAGGTAAATTTTTCGTTCCGTATAAAGCGATAGCATGATTCTAACATATATGTCAGAATCACTCGATCACGCTACGGCTGCTTCTCTTTTTGCAAGGAATCCCGGGCTTGTGTCCATGATTCAAGGTAAACTTGGATCGCTTGTCGGGCGCTCATCAGGCTACATCGAGTCTCTCCCTGCCCCGGTCCGTCGCCGTGTTGCTGGTTTGAAAGGTATTCAGAAGGAGCATGCCAAGCTCGAGGCTCAGTTTCAGGAGGAAGTCCTCGAGCTTGAAAAGAAGTACTTTGCCAAATTTACACCCCTCTATCAGAGACGTGCCACGATTGTCAATGGGGCTGCAGAACCGACCGACGACGAAGTCGAGGCCGGCAAGGAGGAGGATGAAGAAGAAGAAGAAGAAGAAGAGGTAGATGTCAAGGCCGAAGATGAGCGCAAGCAGGATGAGGAGAAAGACATCACAACATCTGGAATCCCTGAATTCTGGCTTTCCGCCATGAAGAACCAAATTTCGCTTGCAGAAATGATCACTGATCGGGATGAGGAGGCTCTCAAACATCTCACCGATGTTCGCATGGAATATCTTGATCGCCCCGGTTTCCGACTCATATTTGAATTCGCGGAAAACGAGTTTTTCACCAACAAGACTATCTCAAAAACTTACTACTACAAGGAAGAGAGTGGCTACGGTGGTGATTTCATCTATGATCATGCGGAGGGCTGCAAGATCGACTGGAAGGCTGACAAGGATCTTACTGTTCGCGTGGAAAGTAAAAAGCAACGCAACAAGAGTACGTTGATCTGGATTTGTTCGGTCGGAAAGCTAACGTGCTCTAGACACCAAACAAACCCGAGTCGTCAAGGTCACCGTGCCTACCGAGTCCTTCTTCAATTTCTTCTCTCCCCCACAACCACCGACTGACGATGATGACACCATCGCCACCGACATCGAAGAACGCCTCGAACTTGACTATCAGCTTGGCGAGGACATCAAAGAGAAGCTTATCCCGCGCGCAATCGATTGGTTTACCGGCGAGGCTCTCCAGTTCGAGGAGTTGGGTGACGACATGGATGCCGACGAGTTTGACGATGAAGACGATGAAGACGACGAGGAGGATGAGGACGACGATGATGACCGAAGATCTGATCGCGATGTTGACGATGAATCCGAGGAAGAGGTAAGGTTTTTCTCTCTCTTTATGCCTCCAATTATATTTTTGCCTTTACACCGTTCTTCACAACGATGACAGCGTCGCCTCAATCTTCACTTATCCTTTCCTCAATATAACCTTTCTGAAGTGGTCACTGACATGCGAATAGGATGGCACCTCTAAGCCAAAGAAGGAAGCAGCAGAGTGTAAACAAAGCTGAGCATGGCCGAAGTCATTTAGGGGACTAAATATATGGGCCATGTTGCAACCTATCTTGGTCCTAGCATTCACTTCTCGCTTCGCACCGCTGTGACTGGGATTCTCGCTTCCAAGTTGCACCTACGTCTAGTCTTTCTATCTAACCGTATTCATCGTCAAGGTCCAGGTGTCTGATACATGCGCCATTCATACGGCAAGGGCTTTATACTCCCCGTATTTAATGTTCTCCTTTTACTTTTGTTCTTACATCCAACTTTTCGATGCTGTTTCCCTCCCTTTCTTCCCCTGTTTGTCCTCTAAAATATTTTGCGGCGCGAGGAGTACGATATTCAACCATGTTTAATGATTATCAAGCAATTGTCAGTTGTGAGAGCAGACGTTCATAGCAAATGGTAGAAAATTCAGACAGGAAGCAGTATAGAGATCTTTGCGATTAGTACCTACAGTTTAATACTAACTCGTTGGTTGAAATCAAATCCAGAGACCTTCAACACAACACCACTCTTGTTTGACCACTGTTCTTTAGACATCAATCCTTCGTTTTAATAATGGTTAGATTTGATTGCAGATTGTGGAAGATGTGTGAAAAGTAAGTTATGAAAGATGGATTTATTTGTACTAGTACCTTCTAAGGAAGTCTACTTATCTAACATTATTAGTACCTTTGAATGATTTATTACTACATATTCTTGGCGTTTTTAAGAGAATGGATATACGGAGTATATGGTCCTGACTCCTGACAAGTGGCGCAGCTTTCCAAGCTCAGGACTCAGGGGTTGTGGCTCAACAATAACAGCCAGCTGTTCCACCACATCACCTTAGTGGGCTTTCTTTTTGGATGAACACACTTTCTTTCCTTTTTCTTTCTTTCTTTTTTGTGAGCAGAGCCACAAGGCAGTGGTAGCTGTTAGCAAGCTATCTTCTCCATTTGGCATTCTCATTCCCAGACTCCTCGGTTCTCACTAGATGCCTCTCCCAGAACCTTGTATAATCTCCGCCTCATAGCCCACCTATCTTCTATACCTTTCATTCCCAGGGCACCAGTTTAAGAGGTGATACGTCTTCAATGGCACACAACTACGAGGTTGGAACGCGGGCCTGGCAGCCCGACCCGACAGAGGGATGGATTGCATCCGAAGTCAAGGAGAAAGTGGTCGATGGAGACAAAGTGCAACTGGTGTTTCTGTTGGAAAATGGAGAGGTATTTCGCGGACTGTGTACCTTAATTTGCGTCGTATTTTGATATCAACGTGGCTAACAATTTCGTCGCGGGAGTAGACGAAAACGCTCGAGACTACACAAGCCGAGTTGCTAATGGACAATAACCCGAAATTACCGCCGTTAATGAATCCTGCGATGCTGGAAGCGAGCGAAGATCTCACGAATCTTTCCCATTTGAACGAACCTGCTGGTGCGCTCTTTCGTCTGTAGCCTAATCAACTCTGTCGCTGATTGCTCCGAAGTTCTGCAGGCTATAAAACTCCGTTACGCGCAGAAAGAGATATATACATACAGCGGCATAGTTCTTATTGCAACGAACCCCTTCGCTCGTGTTGACTCGCTCTATGTACCACAAATGGTACAGGTGTACGCTGGAAAGCACCGTGCCTCACAAGCACCCCACTTGTTCGCCATCGCGGAGGAGGCGTTTGCGTAAGTCACCACTGTGGCCATTGTTCAACTCCTACTTACATGCGTTACTTAGTGACATGTTACGAGATGGAAAAAACCAAACGATTGTGGTATCTGGCGAATCCGGTGCTGGAAAGACTGTGAGCGCCAAATACATCATGCGGTATTTTGCGACTCGTGAGTCGTCAGACCAACCCGGAAAGTATACAACAAGTCGGGCGGATGCGATCAGTGAAACCGAAGAGCAGATTTTGGCTACAAATCCGGTCATGGAAGCTTTCGGTAATGCTAAAACCACAAGGAATGACAATTCATCACGATTCGGGAAATATATCGAGATCATGTTTGACGACAGAAACAACATCATTGGGGCTAAGATTAGGACATATCTGTTAGAGCGTTCTCGGCTGGTGTTCCAGCCTCTCAAGGAACGCAACTATCACATCTTCTATCAACTTGTGGCTGGAGCAACCGACCAGGAAAAAGAAGATCTCAGCCTCACCTCGGTTGAAGATTTCGATTATCTCAATCAGGGTGGGACTCCTACCATAGAAGGTGTTGACGATCAGACCGAATTCAATGCGACGAGGAAGTCCCTTAGCACGATTGGGGTGCCGGAGAGGACGCAAGCAGAGATATTCCGCATTCTGGCTGCTCTGTTACATCTTGGCAATGTCAAGATCACTGCAACGCGGACTGATTCTACTTTGTCCCCATCGGAGCCTTCTCTTGTTCGGGCATGCGACATGCTTGGTATCGATGTCAATGAGTTTGCCAAGTGGATAGTGAAGAAGCAACTAATCACCAGGGGCGAGAAGATCACCTCCAATCTCACACAACAACAAGCAACTGTCGTGAAAGATTCAGTCGCTAAATTCATCTATTCCAGTTTGTTCGATTGGCTGGTCGACAAGATAAATCGCCGCTTAGCTAGTGACGAGGTCCTAAACAGCTACCAATCATTCATCGGCGTCTTGGATATCTACGGTTTTGAACACTTCGCAAAGAACTCATTTGAACAATTTTGCATCAATTACGCAAATGAGAAATTGCAGCAGGAATTCAACCAGCACGTTTTCAAGCTTGAGCAAGAGGAATATGTGCGCGAAAAGATTGATTGGACATTCATTGAATTCTCCGACAATCAGCCGTGCATTGATCTTATTGAGGCCAAGCTTGGCATATTGTCTCTTTTGGACGAAGAATCGCGGTTGCCGATGGGTTCAGATGAGCAATTTGTGACCAAGCTGCATCACAACTTCGCGGCCGATAAGCAGAAGTTTTACAAAAAGCCCCGATTCGGCAAATCAGCGTTCACCATTTGTCACTATGCGGTGGACGTGACCTATGAGTCTGATGGCTTCATAGAGAAGAACAGGGATACTGTGCCAGACGAGCATATGGACGTCCTTCGCAATTCTTCAAATGAATTTGTGAAAGAAATATTAGACACTGCTGCTGCTGTTCGGGAGAAAGATTCAGCATCGATTTCATCCAAACCAGTTGCAGCTCCAGGACGCAGAATCGGAGTTGCTGTCAACAGAAAACCTACGCTTGGCGGAATTTTCAAGTCATCGCTCATTGAGCTCATGAACACCATCAATTCTACCGATGTGCACTACATACGGTGCATCAAGCCTAACGAGGCAAAAGAGCCCTGGAAATTCGAAGGGCCAATGGTCTTAAGTCAACTCAGAGCGTGTGGTGTGCTTGAGACCGTCCGCATCAGTACTGCTGGGTATCCCACTCGTTGGACGTACGAGGAATTTGCCATCCGTTATTATATGCTTTGTCACTCGTCCCAATGGACCTCAGAAATCAAGGAAATGTGCCATGCAATTCTACAGAAAGCGCTTGGGGACGCGAGCCATCAGAAACAAGATAAATATCAACTGGGCTTGACCAAGATATTTTTCCGAGCAGGTATGCTTGCGTTCCTGGAGAATCTCCGTACATCCAGATTGAACGAATGCGCAATCATGATACAAAAAAATCTGCGGTGCAAATATTATAGGCGTCGATACCTCGAAGCCCGCTCCTCTATCCTTACCACACAAGCTCTAATCAGAGGCTTCTTGGCAAGACAGCGCGCGGCAGAAGTGCGTCAAATCAAAGCTGCCATCACTATCCAGAGAATTTGGCGTGGTCAAAAGGAAAGAAAATTCTACAATGAAGTCCGCGGCAATTTCATTCTGTTCCAGTCAGTGGCTAAGGGCTTCCTCTGCCGACGCAATATCATGGACACCATACATGGCAACGCGGCAAAGATCATACAGCGCGCATTTCGATCCTGGCGACAAATACGTGCATGGCAGCAGTATCGTCGTAAGGTAATCATTGTCCAAAACTTGTGGAGAGGAAAGCAGGCCAGGACGCAATATAAAAAGCTTCGAGAGGAAGCGAGAGACCTGAAGCAAATCTCCTACAAGCTCGAAAATAAGGTGGTGGAGCTGACTCAGTATCTCGAGTCACTGAAGCGCGAGAACAAATCGTTGAACTCGCAATTGGAGAATTATGAGACACAGTTGAAATCGTGGAGAAGTCGTCACAATGCTTTAGAAAATCGCACCAGGGAGCTTCAGGCCGAGGCTAACCAAGCTGGGATTACTGCTGCCCGATTGGCCGCCATGGAGGATGAAATGAGCAAATTGCAGCAGAATTACGCTGAGGCACAAACGATCGTCAAGCGCCTGCAAGAAGAGGAGAAAGTCTCGCGGGAGTCAATTCGGTCTGCCAATCTGGAGTTGGATCGGCTGAGACAACTGAACAGTGAAGCTGAAAATGACCGGGCTTCTCTTCGCCAACAAGTTGCGGAGCTTGAAGAGCAGCTAGAGCTCGCTAAACGAAACATTCCTTTGAATGGGCTTAACGGAGATGCGCAGAACAGTGGTCCTATCCAGCCACCTGCCGGTGGCTTGATAAACTTAGTTTCCTCAAAGAAGTCTAAGCCTAAGCGACGGAGTGCCGGGGCCGAAAAAATTGACACTGATCGTTTCAGCGGCGCGTACAATCCCCGGCCTGTGTCTATGGCAATCCCGAGTTCGACTTTCGGTCGTCAGAACTTTTCAGGGCATACCTTTTCACCAGGACTGGACACTGTTGAGGTGGAGCTCGAGAATTTACTGTCTGAAGAAGATGAGCTCAACGAGGAAGTCACAATGGGATTGATTCGCAACTTAAAAATCCCACTGCCCAGCTCGACACCTCCGCCAACCGAGAAGGAAGTCCTATTTCCTGCATATCTGATCAATCTTGTCACGTCAGAGATGTGGAACAATGGTTTTGTGAAAGAATCCGAGCGTTTCTTAGCCAACGTGATGCAGTCAATTCAGCAAGAGGTCATGCAGCACGATGGAGATGACGCCATCAATCCCGGCGCTTTCTGGCTGTCTAACGTGCACGAAATGCTTTCATTTGTCTTCCTGGCAGAGGACTGGTACGAGGCCCAGAAGACGGATAATTACGAATATGACCGCCTCCTGGAGATCGTGAAGCATGATTTAGAAAGCTTGGAATTCAATATCTATCACACGTGGATGAAGGTGTTGAAGAAGAAACTCTATAAGATGATTGTCCCCGCGATCATCGAATCTCAGTCCCTTCCTGGGTTCGTCACCAGTGAAACCAATCGATTCCTAGGGAAACTTCTTCCCTCAAACAACAATCCAGCGTACAGCATGGATAATCTCCTCAGCCTTCTGAACAATGTCTACAAAGCAATGAAAGCTTTCTACTTGGAAGACTCTATCATTACTCAAACCGTGACAGAGCTTCTTCGCCTTGTCGGTGTTACCGCTTTCAACGATCTCTTGATGCGAAGGAACTTTTTGTCTTGGAAGCGTGGCCTTCAAATCAATTACAACATAACTCGGATTGAGGAGTGGTGCAAAAGCCATGATATGCCTGAAGGGACATTGCAGCTGGAGCATTTGATGGTAAGCTGGTTTCCAAGAGACAGTAATGATTTTCACTGATATATCTTTTGTTTCTCAGCAAGCAACGAAGCTCCTTCAGCTCAAGAAAGCCACTCTCAACGACATCGAGATAATCCAAGATATTTGTTGGATGTAAGGCGGAAGATCGCAGCACTTTCAAAATGAAGGCTAATTGGTCGATTCTCTAGGCTGTCTCCAAACCAGATCCAGAAACTTCTGAATCAATATCTTGTCGCTGACTACGAACAGCCCATCAATGGCGAGATCATGAAAGCCGTAGCCTCGCGTGTCACAGAAAAGAGCGATGTACTTCTCCTTACCCCCGTTGATATGGAAGACAGTGGCCCGTACGAAATCGCCGAGCCTCGTGTCATCACAGCCTTAGAGACATACACACCATCATGTGAGTGCTTCAACAAAATGGCTTCCAGAATGCTAATAATATCCAGGGCTCCAAACACCGCGTTTGAAACGTCTTGCAGAAATTGTCTCGGCACAGGCAATGGCCCAGCAAGAGAGGCTTGAAATATCTGACACTGCCGTGATGCCAAGCGATTAATGCTGTCTACCAATGCCATTGTCAATATTCATCGTGGCCATGCGTCACAAGCTCAACTCACAAACTTACAGCGCGGTCCTACCATAGATTTTGCAACCGCAATTATTAGAATAACTTGGGAATGGTCTTGGCTTCGCTTCACTCTACCTTATTTTCTGATTCTTGTATATGAACTAGCATATTTTGACACATAAAGTTCGGACACTCGGGACAAATCCTGGAAACAATACCGACCAAAAGAGCCTGGCATTACGCAAAAAAAAAAAAAAAAAAAAAAAAAAAAAAAAAAGAAGAAGAAGAAGAATGGACCCACGCGCTTCCGCGACAAGATACTGGCCCGGACGATGAATTCATTTTCCTGCGAGAGTGTGACTTTGCTTCGACTTTGGTTTCTGTTGCTACGTGCCGCTATTCGATCGGGGTTGTTCTTGGAGACAAAAGTTCTTATCAGCAAGACATGAGAGGCCAATTTTATTGTTGCGTCTTTTGAGACTACGGGTTATATTGTTATACTTATTCGCTCATGTCGAGGAGTCTGCAGTTCATCCTGTGTCTGTGCTATCGTCCTTTATGGAGGCGGTCATTGCCCAATAGAAAATCACCAATCCACTAGTATACTGTTAGGTAGTTAGAGGCGGTACCTTATTCATCCATTCCTTATCGCGAGCTAAGTGGAAACAAACCATTGCTCACCTTTGTCTCAATTGACTTGGCCCCTGCAGCACCAGAACCATGATTACTACGGCGAAGCTAAACTTCATCACCGGTAACAAAAACAAATTGGCTGAAGTGAAAGCGATACTGGGAAATGTAGTTGAGATTGACAGCCAAGCAATCGAGGTACCCGAGATACAGGGATCCATTGAAGAAATCGCGAAAGAAAAGGCTAGGCGTGCAGCAGAAGAGGTATGAACTGGAATGCATTAATGTGATTTCCCATAACGGTTTCTGGATTTTCATTTGACGCTTTATGGAAGATAGGCGGCCCTGTCTTGACGGAGGATACAGCGCTTGGATTCCGCGCTCTGAAAGGACTTCCAGGCGCGTATATGTAAAGCTACCTTCGAGTCGCATCGTAACTTTGGAACTGCGGAACTGATCATGCAATATAGCAAACATTTTTTGAGCGCACTGGGACACGACGGTCTCAACAAGATGCTTGATTCTTTCGACGACCGAAGTGCAGAAGCCGTTTGCACATTTGCTTTTTGTCGTGGTCCTGGAGAAGAACCAATACTTTTCCAGGGAAGGACTGAGGTAAATGGGCAGTCCCGTTGAGATGGTGTTTTACAAATCTAATTCGGAGATCAGGGTATTATTGTCAGGCCGAGAGGCCCATTGAACTTCGGTAAGTAGATTCAGTCATGATCATTAGGCTTTGCATTGATAATTATTCCAGGCTGGGATCCGATATTCGAACATAATGGGATGACATATGCTGAGATGGATAAGGAGGAAAAGGTACGACAGCTAAAGTGCCTCACAGTTGCTCGCTCAACCTTTGGGGAGAAACACAAGAACAGAGATACAATCTCACTTTCTCCTTGTCAGACCTGAACATTTTTATTTGTCTTCGCGGACTGTTCAAGCATCTTGCGCTAATTTGTTGGGATAGAATCGAGTTTCTCACAGGTACAAGGCTCTCGCCAAGCTAAAGCAGTGGCTCGAAGACGGGCACCTCTACCTTGACAGTGCAGGTACGAGGACCTGAAAGGTTTGAAGGAAAAGCCATTAGGTCTGCCTAAGTCGGACTTCACTCTCTGTTTTCCAGTCGGCTTTCTTTCCAGGATTCTATCCAGGCTGAAATCCTCGTACAGTTGCTCTCTACATCATCATCCTCCTCACTGTTGAGCTCCACCACTATCTGTTCGTCAAAAGCTTCGCGCGCTTCCTCTGACAAGACGCCGAATATCTCAGAATCTAAGTTTTCCTGCAATTTGGCCTCTTTGTATTTTCTAGAAGAAGCGCGATCATGTTAGGGCGGGTTGAGGGAAAGGATGAAGAGCAGTTATGGAAGAAGCAGCATGCACGTACCTCGCAGAAAGACGGTCATATAAAATGGAAGTCGACGGACATCGCAAGACCACCACGAGATCTATCCATGATTTGGGAAACAAGTCGCATGCATGCCAATCAATCAAGTAACCACCCTGAAGCACCTCATCTTCAATCGCATCCAGTAACTACTGTCACATCAGTCTACGTGCGCGAGTTCGGGTGAGCCTGAACGTAGGCAAGATCCTCATAGGTGTTGTGACTTCAATACGGATAGTGAAGAATCAACGACGTACTTTGTCCTCGTCAACGATCCAGGTTTCCAAATCCTGGTCATAGCTTTCGAAGCAACCTCGATCTTTGGCGACCTGGTTTATTGATAGGTGTCGCAAGCCGACCTCCTGCGCTAATTTCTCGCAATGGACAGTTTTCCCTACGCCAGGGGTGCCTGTGATGATCACATTCGGGGATCTTCGCATACTGGCCCCAGCAACAGTGCCAACCGCTCGAGAGTGATGAATGAGTCGTGTCTGATACCATTCAACGGAATCGAGGAGTTCGGGGAAATTTTCAGCGGGCGGCACTGCTTTGGGCCTCAGGCATGAATTCGCACCAGTAAAAGGCAAACTCAAATTACAGGTACAGTAAGGTAGTTTGCTTAAAAACGTAGAAGCTTCATTAAATCTCTAAACCCTGATAACAATTCTCTGAAATAGTCAATATTAATGATTAATATCCTTTATGCCATACGAACTCTGTTGCAAAGAGTCACTTGGCATATGATGAAAATAGTCATCTGGGAAATACCACCCTTGCTTTTCTATGTCCATTAAAAGGTCTCGGAGCGTTATTTAAGTATGTTGGAGGGCCTGCTAATGTAATAACGGGTCCTCTTACTCCGTATATGCTGAAATAGCATTATTCGAGCCCGCGCCATAGGATGCAGTCTGGAATTTGGTTATGATAATCCCTGGTCGCTCCCACATCGAGTAAGAAAACGCCAATAAACTCGGGTGTATTCAATCAAATTGAAGGCAACGGCTGAGAAACGCGCAGTCTGAAGAAGTCAGAGTAGTCAACCGCAAGACAAGCTTGCCGAACTTACTTGAGAAGCTCAAACACCTTGTATTTCTGCAAATAGGTAGTACCGCGCCGATATGCTTTTAGGACCTTCGTTGGATCGAGAGATGCTATTGTTTTTGGTCCACTGAGTCGCCTCACTGCCAGAGGGATTTTAAACATTGGATCGAAGACCAAAAGATTCGCACCTCCGTCACCCCGGATTTCGAAGCCAACGATGGTCAAAGAGTGACCTGTGGTGCATCAGTCGCCAATATGTGGAATTGATTCAACGTTGATAACACGGTACCATGGTGTTGCAGATATATGGGGGTAAGTTGGTCAAAAAGACTTTATCATCTCCATCCAAGGAGCATGCGCAACGGAAATAGGCGGCGACAGCCGCGTACAAGGCGTCGTGGGCACGCATCTCTCTGGTTTCTCCGATGCTACTTGCTTCGCAACTGCTAAAGGTTAGCATTGTGGTCCTGTAGTATCTGAGGGGAGCCTGTCTTACTCTATGCCCAGACTCAGAAATAGAGCTTGTGCCTGTAAGAATGAGAATGCTGTCAATGGTCACATTTAGCATTCTGACGTTACCTCTGGCGTGCCAATGTACTTTCTGGTGCCGCGAATGCCCCGGTCTCAGCTCTTCCTACGCTGTTGAATCCCATATCCCATGCACTTTCGATCATATCCTGTAGCTGCAGAATAGTCGGTAGCGTCTCAGTGAAATGCTCATGACCGGAGATATGAGATTCTTGAATGTACGAAATGAGCATCTGGATATTCCTGTAACCACAGAAACCGCCTTCCCTTGGCATCTTGGAAATTTGACGGACATTCGGACTGCAGAAAAAAGCTCGCTGAACAGACTTATCTTGTTCGCATAGCTTCGAGAGCACTGAGATCACATTGCTGGCCTCGTTATCAGTTGTCTCTAATTTTGAAAGCTTGCCATCAGGGCCGATGATGTTGGATTGAGTTTTCTTTGCGCCCTGTTCTAGTAGTCTCCGAAGCCATGCCGGCATTCGTTTTTCATGAGCGTACGGTCCCAGTTCTGCACGCTGTGCCCCAGTTAGCGCGATATCTAAAGCACTTCCAGCCCGGGTATAGTACTCCAAGTCTTTTCACACTTCCAGGAAGTGACGCATTGGCTAGCAGAGGGCTCGTCACCTCGTTTCCTGTTGAGGATGGGCCAGGCCCCGCCTTCGAACCCGGGGTTGGACTGAAACGTTGCAAGGATCTTCGAGAGCCTCGTCATCGCCCGTCCGATTATGAGACCGTGGAAGAACGGGGTTCTGGACCTTGCTCACCGTCACTGGGTGTTTGGAATAGATTGACGGCGCATCGTCAACTGCCATCTCTTCTGCAGCATGCATATCAAGGTGATATGGGATCTCAGCAGATAGCAGAATCTCACCACAGCCGTGTGGACATTTGATATACACGTTTTCATCATCTGGCATTTGTGGTTGTTGGTATCTGGGAGTCGGTCGATTTTCATCCCCGTTTTCTCCAGATGGAGGCTCGGTTTGTCCGCCACCTTCAGGATGACAGTATTCGACATGCTGCGCAACAAAGGTATCATCAGGATCAGAAAAAGGACAGAATGGACAGGTTGGGTGATGAACGTCGTCTTGACCCATTATCGTAAGCACGGGAGTCAGGGTACATGCTATGAAAAGCAGGGGCGGGATTGTATCCCTTTTGTATACCTCCTCGAGCGGTTAGTCGGCTCTCTGTCTAGTGAGGGACAATGGAAGGGGATAATGGTTCCCCAGGGGATTGAGGCTTTCGGCAGTGGAAGCAATATTTATTATTCCATCCTACTGGTGAGCACGGCTGCCTGGTCGAGTTCTTAGGTACCTACAGTGTCGGAAAGCAGCTAATTGAAAGAGGCAAGTAAGATAATCTTGGCTATGGTCTCATAGTAGAAGCAAGAAAAGATATATCTCCATTCCTGGGACATAGAGATCTGGACAGATACTTAGACCACCTCAAGGTCTAATTAAGACGATGACTCCGAGATACAGATAATAAAAATGATAATCTCACAAGTAATAATTGGTTTTGATAGTTAAAGAGATTATGATAAGTGATATACTGCATTGTACCCTGTTATTATTATCCCTATTCCATCATTCTTATTATTTTATTATATAGAGATGAGTAAAAAAAAAATTCTTTCATTTCTTTTCATTTATTATTCTAACTTTCTTTCTTCCCTCCTGGGGGATGAATCATCAGCAAAAAATTGCTCCGAAGGTAAAATCACTACTCCGTATGTGCTCCGCTTTCGCAACCCCGCCAGGTCCATATAAAAAGGTGTCCCTGCTCCCCGCGCCGATTACAGGACCACTATCATACATGTTGAATTCTTGCATTTGCAAGGCAGCGTGTCTTGTCATACTTGATCTAGCAGTATGGGAGACCAAGTACAATCTGATTCGAGTCCTTATACTCTGTCAATGACCAATGGCAGTTCAAACTGGGTAGTACAAAAATTTGGGGGCACCAGTGTCGGAAAGTTTGCCTTAAATATCATCGATCATGTTGTGCTGTAAGTCCTCATATATCAGTCCCAGAATATGAGCAAGCTTTCTAATTGTATTCCTGCTGCTTCTTTCATCATCAAGGCCGAGTCTCAGAGAAAACAAAGTCGCCGTGGTATGTTCCGCAAGAAGCAGCTCAACTAAAGCTGAAGGTACCACGAACCGGTGAGTCATACCAGTTGATATTGAAATTATTCCTGCGCAAAGATCCGATCACCACGTCCTTCACTCTTCCTTTCCCTTCGTCTTCCATCTATCTCTCGTTTACTCATTGGCAACGGTTAAATAGACTCCTGCGAGCAGCCCGTGATGCCGAAAACGCCCAGTCGCACGAGTATGTTTCCTTGGTGGAGGCAGTTCGGCTCGAACACGTCCAGGTCGTCGAGATTCAGATAAAATCTGAAACCCTCAGAACTCAGTTAATTTCAGAGATCAATGGCGAGTGCGAACGAGTCCTGAAGGTCCTAGAGGCGGCGCAAACGCTCGGGGAGATAAGTGCGCGTTGTGTGGACAAAGTCATCAGTACAGGAGAGAAACTTAGCTGCCGGCTGATGGCTGCCTTTCTACGAGACCGTGGCGTAGATTCGCAATATGTGGATCTGGCAGAAGTGATTGATTTCCCTATCGGGAGTCAAGGTCTCGACCAGGGCTTCTATAACAATCTTGCTACTGTTCTCGGCAGAAAGATCAGGGATTGCGAAGGAAGGGTGCCGGTGGTCACTGGCTTCTTCGGGACTGTGCCTGGGGGTCTTCTTGATCAAATTGGTCGTGGTTACACAGACCTCTGCGCCGCGCTTGTTGCAGTCGGAGTCCATGCCAAAGAGCTACAGGTGTGGAAGGAGGTTGACGGGATTTTCACCGCTGATCCTCGCAAAGTCCCAACCGCGCGTCTGCTGCCAGCCATCACACCCGCTGAGGCAGCTGAATTGACCTTTTACGGCTCCGAAGTAATCCATCCTTTCACCATGGAGCAAGTCATCCGCGCTAGGATCCCCATCCGTATAAAGAACGTTATGAATCCAAAGGGTGATGGGACTGTGATATTCCCCGACTCGACATACGAACTTGAAAGAACAACCCCGGGCCATGACCCCAGGCTTTTCCGTACGCGAAGCCCCAGTCTCATGCAGAGGCCGAAGCGACCGACAGCTGTCACAATCAAACATAAAATACTCGTCATCAATGTGCATTCAAATAAGCGCTCGCTTTCCCATGGCTTTTTTGCTGGGATATTCTCTGTTCTTGACCGCTGGAGACTCTCGATTGATTTGATATCTACAAGTGAGGTCCATGTGTCAATGGCCCTTCACTCAGAGATGCCTCTCCTCAATGGAGTTGGTAGAGACGAGTATCAGATCATCGACGAAGATCTGAAAGGCGCGTTGAATGACTTGCAGAAATATGGTACAGTCGATATAATTCCAGAGATGGCCATTCTCAGCCTGGTTGGGAAGCAAATGAAGAACATGATTGGAGTTGCGGGGCGCATGTTTACCACACTCGGTGAGAATAATGTTAATATCGAAATGATATCACAGGGTAAGTGTCCTTATTTGGTACTTCTGGTTTAGACTTCATTTGAAGCCTCCTGCTAATTGCATGCATCATGCTTTAGGTGCGAGCGAAATAAACATCTCATGTGTCATCGAAGAAAGGGACGCAGACCGTGCTCTCAATATCATTCACACCAGCATGTTTACTTTCCTTGACTGACGACAGGTTTTCTTCGCCTAGCGCTTGTTCTTTCCCAGAGTCAGTGTTGCAGGATCTTCTAGTACTCCGAGAGAGCGACTCTCAGCTCCCTGAGAGGCCAAAAAGTCAAACTAATGGTTTCATAATGGTACGGGAAAAGCAACTCGAACATGTCTATGTTTATTCACGCGGTTGGATTGGTATTCCGTGCTTTGTTACTTGGAGTTGGTGTTAATATACCTCGATCGCCAATGCTGCCTTAACATTCTCCTGCTTTGGGATAGATACTCCATGTTTCAGTGTCTAGCTCTTCCTTCTTCGCCCTGTCTTGTCTTTGCATGCAGCCTTCATTCTCTTCAATTTCCTTCGTTCCCTTTCCTGTTAAGATCACTGTATTTGCTTTTGTAGATAGATGGGTTTGTGCTCTTTTATGACTACTGTAGGGTTGAGCATTCATGACTGTATATAGATTAAGGGAGGAGCATCGATAGATCCATCTCCTGGGGGCTTTCTTCTGTAATTGGAGTCTTACGAGCAGAATTGAGGACATATCTATACTGACTTGCACCTTGTACTGTCTGTATAAATCGTTAATTCACATGCACCAGTTCAATTGGCAGCCAGGCTCTTGTTCTCTGTAAATTGGTCGGTTATAGCACCTAGAGCACACCGTAAGATCCGACTTGCGGGGAGGGCCTCTGAATATCTGGGTAATACAATTTGTACAATTACTTCGAACATCATAGAGTACTTATGCAAAGATATGATCTTGTTTTGCTTGGGTGACAGAGCGTAGGGGGGGATAAGTGGTGGTCAAAAGAGGCTTGCTCCTTGGTAGTGACTCGACCTTCATTTTTTCGAAGGACGGGCAGTTCCTGGGCTAACTCAATGTAAGTATGGCCCGGCCTTTAATAACCACTAGTTTCAGAAGGTTTATGATGCTGGGAACCCTCCGAACCAATCTAGCTACCAAGCACCTTGCTCTCTCTCTTACACACTTATCTTCACACACACATATACATATATGTACACACATCACCCTAAGGCTGGGCTAAAGGCACATTATTATCTATATTTATATATATATAGATAATATTATACCAGTCAGTGCCCGGCATTATAATGGGGGTGGTTAATAATATGTAGAGATTAAGAAAAATAGTACTCGGCATATTTATGTGATTTATATAGTGTTGGCCTATCCTTACTTTTGGGATATTAGTTTGCGTGTGAATGGAACACCTTATAATACTATTTATTAGCACCTCTAATATGCTTGTCATTAATATATTCATTGTTTATCTATTATTTCTATCCCACACCTTAGTGAAGTTTGCAGAATGTGCACTTTATAATCATGGATAAATATAATCAAATTGCACACTAAACATTCTGACTTGCAATTTCCTATGGAGAAGGGACATTCTTTCTTTCTTGATTATAGAAGATGAAGCTGATATTAATTTAAATGAAGATTCAAATAGGATTACAAACAATTACTCTGTACCGGGCTACATAATACACTTGAGACCACTCTAGAATCCAGGTAGAACTATCTACTCCGTACCAAATTGCCTGCACCCAACCCCTTCCCCGGGGCCCCAGCCCTTTCCCCGTCCTTCTCCTTAGTTAATGTTGATGGAGTCCACTGTCCATGCTCTACTGGCTAATCAACATTGTCATACCTAAGGTAGGCCCTGGATAGCATCTAGCACCTAGCTACGATCTACCTTACCCCGTATTTGCAATGCCATGGGCCCACAATGGCTGGAACGGTGGAGGCGGATTCTTCATGTAGACACTAAGGTTATAAGGTACATAGAGTGACTAGACTACTGCCCGGATGCGGAATAGTTCGAGATACTTTAAGCAGTTGAGGGATAGTGCGAGTACCTAAGGTAGTAACTGGATATAGAATGTTAGCAATTGGAGTCTTACCTCCGAAATTTGGAAACTGTACGGAGTGGATTGTTGCCTACTCTGTGGCCGGGAGGAGCGAGGTAGGAATTTGGACAGTTGTTGCTGATGAGGAAGGAACGAAGAAGTCACGACCAAAAGGGAGGGAAAGGAGGGTAGAGGCTGGATTTCGGGCGCAAGGGGCGGCGAAAGAGTTGGATTCAGATTCTAAAGGCAAGGTAGGTCATAACCGCATAGTATAACAGTGTAGCAGATACTAGTAGTACCAGTGCTAGTACTAGCAGCAGCAGCAATTGAGGCCGTAAGTACTAGATGAGTAGGATAATGTATATACCTAAGTGGCCTGGAAAGTCATAGAAGTGAAACCCCCCGTGCCTTGTCGTACCTACGTAGTAACCTACCTAGTACTTATTTTAAACTACTTACCTAGGTGTACATATGTATTTATATGAGGGTGCACATCATCATCTTAAGGTGAAATGACGATAAATGGAGCCATCATATGATACAAAGTACAGGCACTTAAGTAGATAGCAATATACCTACCTGATGCTCTGTAACTGTTATTCTCTTCGAAAGTCAAGGATATAAGAGACGCCTGCTCTGGCTTCTGTTTTTGTCCTCCGTTTAGGGAGCACGCGTGACGCGGACGCGTCATACCATACCATACCACCCCGGGGGTTCCGCGAGTCAACATCCCAGAAGTGATGCACATATCCTTTCTTCCATTCCACAGTCGACTAATTATAACAAGGGAATAGTCGACCATCTTCATTTACGCCCCACCTTTCCTGGGCTGGACACAGTCCTGCCAGTTAACGAACCAGACAGGGATCTGATATAGAGTCGAGCCCCGTCTTCCCAACCGTCTCTCCTCCCTGCCCACTTGGATCTGTTTCTCTTCCGTCGCTTGAACTGCCATCAGGTCCCAAGAAACGCCTTCAACCACTTTCTTACTTGATCAGACGTGCTCAAAAGATTTATCTGCTCGCTACAACACCTCTCGAAGCCATCTTTCAAACCCTTCGTGGTTCGATGCCCATTTGTCTTGGGCCTCGCTCTCAATGAGTACTTTTTAGCGCCTTGGAGCCCAACTCACTGATTCTCCTCCTTCACAACCTGGTCCTACCAGTAGAACTTCTCTTCTGCTATCATCATTCTACTTACCCTAGGCGTTGATACTTATTCTGTTCTGATTTCATGCGCAAGCCACTGCCCTAGAAATTCTAGTTTGACGAGGTGCATCGCGTCCTCACCTCAGAAACACTTGTCTGCTATCAGATCTCCATTCCAGAGTGCGCGCATTGCAACTGGCGATAGTCTTTTCTCTCATTGTGATCAGAATTTTCTACGGCACAAACGCAGGTGGAGTTCCCTATTGCCAGTCAATCACTAGAGATGGATCCTACGCGTTCCGGGCCCTTTGTGCCGCCACTTTCAGAACCGGCTGCAGAGTACGACAAGAAGGCTTCTCAATCCCACTCTCAGCATCTCAGTTCATCATGTTCATCGTCACTACCCTTACAGCCACCCGAGAACGTCCACTCCGGTCAAGAATGCATACTTGATCCGCCACTCTCTAGCGCTCTTCGACCGTCTCCCATGAAGACACCTCGTGGGCTGAAAATGTCGCTTTCTGGCCGTCGCGAACTGGGCTTCATTCCCATAACAGCCCCCGCTCCGCCGAAGTTCACAACAGACTCGCCAGCTAAGAGGACTCCAAGTACTACATATCCATGTAAAACGTCTTCATCTTCGGCAATGCCACAATCTGCCCTTTTCACGACCTTTCCCAGCGTCAATCATGGAAAACAGTCCTCCAAGGAGAAGCGACAATTGGCTGAATCTTGCAATGACAACTTCGCCGATTTCCCTGAACCATCTTTTGCATCAAAGCCTCTGAAGAGGACTCTCATGGATGCTGCCCCATTGAAGGAACGAACGATCAAGAAGCAGAAGCGCGAAGATGTCGATGTTACGCGACTTCCGAATCCTCAGGAGATGACCCCCATTGAAGACGATGGCACGAAGCCTCCTTACAGCTATGCGACCTTGATAGGAATGTCTATTTTGCGCGCGCCTAACCGACGTTTGACTTTGGCTCAGATTTACAAATGGATCTCAGATACATTTTCTTATTACAAACACAGTGATCCTGGGTGGCAGAATAGCATTCGTCATAACCTCAGTCTGAACAAAGCTTTTATTAAGCAGGAACGGCCGAAAGATGACCCAGGCAAGGGAAATTACTGGGCCATTGAACCGGGAATGGAAGCCCAATTTCTTAAGGATAAGCCTTTGCGTCGTGCAACCATGTCAAGTCTTCCTCTTCCTGTTACCTCACAGAGAGAGCCTGCTCACACGCAAAGCTCCGGCACGACAACATGGGCCATTCCCCCACCTAACCACACCTTAGTACCGAAGAGCTCCAAGAATGTGGATCTTTCTTCTGATGCCACAATACCCGCCTCAGACCCTGCTCTTCAGGACGACATGAGTGACGAGGGTGTTAATGCTGCTACATCCCAAGCGCCTCTGCGCTCTTCTCCACCTCAACCAATACGTTCGTCACCTCCTATCGCGCCCTCTCGCTTTATTCGCCAGGGTACACCTCCAACGCCTTCTCATCCCACACCTTCCGCCATTATTCCTCACTCTCGCAAACGAGAATCGACCACGATTAATGATAGCGGGTACTTCTCTTCCCTGGAGTCTTCGGCAATGCGTCCAAAGAAGACAGGGCATATTTTAACGTCGGACCTGGATATTGACCCTCCTCGTATCAAACGTGGCCGAGCAGAAGAGGAGATAGCTCGAATTCGAAGCTCTTCACATGATATCAGCCCAAGACGTCCCGGAATGCTCAAAGATGCTGGGGTAGTAATCGGGTCTTCGCCGGTTCGCGGTGAATACGTCAGCATGCTGCCTCCTCCTCTGACGCCGGTGATAAAATTCAAGAAGCCAGCTAAGCCCCCGCCATCGGTGTCTCCCAACACAAACCTTCGGAATCACCGCAAGAAAATCCAACAAATGGTCAATTCTCCCTTAAAACATCTGGGCCTGACAGATGAAGACCTCCCATGGAGTCCTGCTTTCAGAATCCAAGACGAAACATACACCCCAAGCGACCATCTTCACGCGACTTTCGATGTCTTTGCCGAATCCGCAGAAGAAGGAATCTCGACACTAGCATATGGCTCTCCAGAGAAACGGCCCGCGAAGCGTGCTCGAACAGATACCGAAAACCAGACCGGTACTGTCCTTGCCGATATCACTTCTGTGAGTGTCAATAGCAAAACGGGCATGCAGGCTTTGTCGTCTGTCAAGTCCAAGGGTCCCTTGTTCCCCGAATCACCATCGAAAATGCCTGAACATGGGCGTTTTGGCGATGCCACCCACGACGACTTTTTTTCATTCCATCTCTTCGACGAAAGCCCCGTGGAAGTAGACGGAGTCGACCTTCTGCAAGGCTTTCAGAAGATTGGAAGTTCGAGTAAGGAGGAATCTGCGAGATCCAAATCGCACACCACAAGACCTCAACTGAATATCAGAAGCAATACTGCGTTATTTTGAGGCACTACGAACATCCCTCGATTGAGAGGGACAAACGAAGGATTTTGAATTCTGTTTCACGATACCCAAATTACGAGCTGTTGTTGTAAATTCACGAGCGGCTTAGGCGGCGCTTTCATGATCGTTGAAAGGGAATTACGAAGGTTGACACTTTGAAGTTCTCATTCAGTGATTTAGGTTTGGCTCGTTCTCTTTTTGTCTGGTTACATACTGAAGTTTCCTGGAGTTTTGGGTCAAGGCGTGGTCTGGTGTCGATCTGAATTCCTACTGAAGTGTGATGACCCTTTGATGACCTTTATGATCATATTTGTTAGATGTACATGAAATAATTGTTGATGATTTTGCAGCTTTTGCTTCTATTTTCAATTTTCTTACCGGCGCTTAGTTTTGGAGTCATTAAGGATTATCCGAATGAATTCACTTCTGCAATTGAAGAATTTTATAATGGAATTTCTCTTAGAACAAAGGAGATCAAAAGATTTCGGGATATTCTTGCCTGAATTCGTGAAATCATGAGAGTTATCATATGAGTGGGTATCATGTCATGTGTTTAGGAAAGAAAGGCTTGTGGGAAGACGTAGTCTGACAACTTGAGCTAGACAAAACAATTGAGGTCCAGCAGAGGCAAAAAAACGTTTCCACAAGTAAGAAGGGAGAGATCAATCAGCCAAAAGAGATATCAACCAACGCAATCAAACCACAGAACCAGTCTTGGTGATGCTGGATGTCCTCATGTCCGAATCCTCCACGCGAAATGAGTATCAGTCACTGCTTGCGCAGCCTCGACAACCACAACTGACGCACTGAATCATCTGATCCTCCTTCAACTGGGCTTTCGGCACCCGGCAGATACACGTCGCATTAAAATTTGTCTCTTTCGTCTGAATGCAGCGGAGACAACAGAGCTATATAATCAACATGTCGACAGTTAGCATATCACTTGTCTTCCACTGTTATTCTGGAACGTCGATAGACATGGTTCGAGACAGGAACATATGGAAGCCCTAAACAGGAGCTTTGACAATACCTTTTCGTAGCCTTGTTTCTTCCATTTGGCGATGAGATTGGCGTCCGCATAATTGTTCTTGAGAAGCCATTCATACAACTGCCTTGATATCGCCTCTTTCTCGTAATAAAGGTCGTATATGTATCTCGAGCCTACGAAGAGTCAGCTAATAGCCATCGGTAGCGCCACATCAAGAAAGCTCACGCTGATGACTTATTTGGAAAATCGGCCATAACATCTCATGTTTCTTCTTGCCATCGTGTGGCGCGTTTTCCGCATCTTTCATTTTGTTGCTGAACTCCAGCAAAGTGTCCTCTATATCATCAAAGCCTGCAGGTGGTGGTTTACGATTCCTTGAGGTTCGTATCGGAGGCATACTTTCGACGATGATCTTCTAGCGATATCCAGAGAGGTAGTGCCCAGAAAAATGACGACGCGATTTCCAAACGTCTATGATCTTATAAAGAGCCTGGCTGTTTTTCTGCCTTAGCCTTCCAGAAGACCCGGGGCGTTATTGTTTCTGAAGGTAGATAATACAAGAAATGGTACCCCCTCCAGGCATGGAAAAATGATCTGCTCCATTTCTGCCGCGCCACACCGCTCGCAATTTACATGGTCAAATTGCAACTGAGTAGGTACTGCTGTTTGCTTGTGGTATTAATACTCCATACACATTCCCATCTTCTGCGTCTCAATTCGTGATTGTTGTCTGTGAAATCATCTGCAACCAGCCCAAAACTTTCCATATACAGAGCATTTTCTGCCCCGCTATCTCTTGTAGAGAAAATGGATCCTCAGACTCAAAATGATATCGCCAAGCTCAGCGATGCCGACAGAAAGGAACTGACACAATTTCTGGAAAACGAGGCTCAGCGATCCAATATTCAGCAGAGTAAGTGATCTCTTGAGCTACATTCGTCATGATAATTTTTCCTCGCTCGCATTGGGGCAATGTTACGGACATACGCCCGGAGTTGTATTTGGCTCTGAATATCTTTACTGATTCGGTGTCTGGGCAGCGGTTCACCATCTCGCCGATGTCTGCTGGAAGAAATGCATCACTGGAAAGATTTCTTCAGGCCGTCTGGGTCAGGGAGAGGAGGGCTGCGCACAGAACTGTGTCGAACGATGGATGGACACAAACTTCGCCGTCCTCAAGCACTTGGAAACTCTTCGAGGGCAATGATTTAACCAGCATTATAATGAGGAAGTGCATTCCACACAAGTCATGGCAACATGTGTTCATTGCTATGTAACTATGCGAGGCAAACCCGGATCGCCCGCGCGAAATGGGAACTTGAGTTTTGTATTATAGGACAGGAAATATAATGCCTCACAACCTTGTTTCGAATCGTCTACTATGCTGCTTGCGCATGGCTTGGATATACCTGGTAACGAGACCAGGCTTGTAAGCTCAATCCGACAGTCTCCAGGACGACTGCTCGGCCTACTTACCCTTATAAGATCAGATCTACGCAAAGTAAAGGTCTGGTGAAATCATGCATTCAAGTAATTCTTTTTTCAATTGATCATTCAGCCCTCATTGCAGCACTCGTGGCCAGCTTTCATGACTGATATTTATGAACCACCACGCAAAACAACAAAATTCGCCCAGACCCAAAGAAAACCGTTATCTAGACAATGGCAAGCTTGGTGGCAGCAATGTCCAGAGCGTCCACATCAGGGGTTAGCCGAGCGAAAGCCTTCTTCGATCCATCGGGTCTGTGTAAAAATTAGAATAGTGTTTCTAGCAGAATCATTGAAACCATGAAAACCAGTGTCCCATACCTGACGAGAGTGTTGACCTTGACGGTGTCGACATCGTACAGCTTCTTGAGGGCCAGCTTGATCTGTCTCTTGTTCGCCTTGACGTCCACAATGAAAACCAGGGTGTTGTGCTCCTCAATCTTCTTCATGGCACTCTCAGTGTTGAGAGGGTAAAGGACAACCTTGTGGGCGTCGAGACGGGGCTCATGAGGGATCGACTTGCGGGGGTACTTGGGCGACCGAGAGAGCTGAAGGGTCTTGGGACGGTGGAAGGTGGTGGAAGTGCGGATCTTGCGAGACTTGTGCGCCTGATTGAACCAAAAGACCTTAGTACAGAGAATGGAATATAGGCTTCGCGGACGGATCAGTTCAAACATACGCCTGCACCCTTCAAGACTGCCTTGGCAGCAGCGCCAGCCCTGTCGCTGGGCTTGGTCTTGCCTGTTCAATTCAGAAGCTGTCAGTTTCACTGATAGATCCTTGAACCAAAAATCTTGACACAATTGGAAATTTCGCCAAAACAATTTAAATCACCAAGGGCGAACGATTGGAAACCAGAGAAAAACCGTTGCGCGGTCGTGACATCTTGCTCTCGCCGATTCGTAAATGTATAGATTGACTGGGCATAGATGCGGTGATTTGGCGATTTTCATATTTATTCATGTCCACAAACTCGTGCTCAAACCATCGACGCAACTGCAATTTCAAGGAAACAATGGACTCGCTCAGGTTCAACCTACCTTGCTTGTTTTCCACCTTAGGGGCCATGGCTGTCGTCCGGCGCTGTCGTGTTGATTGTCGCAGTGTCGAGAGTCAAATTATGTCGAGAGTATTCGCTTAGCGAAAACCCTACGAGTGACTGTGTGCGTCACCTGACCTCTCCCCTCGCTGAGAGCATTCGATCTCTTGGCGCTGACTGAACCCGATCCGCTTTCTCCGTCTAAATTCGGCTAGGCTAAAAAGCAGTTTTAAGATTTGACAAAATTAGTGTATTATTTGTTATGTAAGTAACATTTAGACCATCTAGGTAAGTTATCAGAAATTCAGAACCATCTCAGGTCCAGTATCCCGCAGAATGTGGACATCACGTACATCCGGAGAGTGAGCACTATCCTTCCTTTATTTCTTCGATCCCTCTTTTCAAGAGATTCGCTCAAGCCGCCTCAGCCTTGAGCCACCGCAATTGTTTCCGTAGTCAAAATACGATGGCTGCTGTCAAGAAGCGTTTAAAGAAGCCAAGACTGCTCTCTCACACGCGCCCGCCAACAGCTAGAGCGAAAAACCCAAAACTCTCAGCAAAGGCGACCCGAAATCTCATTCGATCCCATCATCGCCTTTTGAAATCTCGAGCCCAGGCATTAAAAGCAGGCAACGAGGACCTAGTCCGGGAGATCGATGGGCGGATCCAAGCAAATGGTGGCCTGGAGAGCTATCAACTTGCCAGCAAATTGGGACAGTCGTTGGAACGTGGCGGCGACTCGAGTAAAGTCCTTGTGGATTGGATTGCTCCGAGCTTAGCTCAATTGAAAAATTCGCCTTATAAGCTACGAATGCTTGAAGTTGGGGCTCTAAGCACGGAAAATGCATGTTCTAAAAACCAGTGCCTTGATGTCACGAGGATTGATCTGAATGCTCAGGAGCCAGGCATCTTGAAACAGGATTTCATGGAGAGGCCTCTTCCCCGCGTCGATGATGATCGGTTCCACATCATCAGTCTGTCTCTGGTGCTTAACTACGTTCCAAATGCAACAGGGAGAGGAGATATGTTGAAACGTTGTGTAGAGTTTCTGACAGACACACCCCCGGCTGGCTCCTCCATCACCATCCGACCTAGCCTGTTTCTGGTCTTGCCGTTGGCTTGCGTCAAAAACTCGCGGTACCTGACACCGAGTAGGTTGCAAGAAATATTGTCCAGCATGGGATTCGCATTGGCAAAGAATAAAGAGACGTCAAAATTAATATTCCAGCTCTGGGAGCATGACCGACGTGGCAAGCCTCGGCCGTTCAAAAAGGAGGTTCTAAATCCTGGGAAGACGCGAAACAATTTCGCTATCAATGTTCAATAAGAAAGGATGCCATGGCAAAGGTAACCAAGGCTATTAGAACCGTGCTCAATTCGCAAAAATCATGTCTTGTGGCAAAAAGGCCCAGGCAGTTCCAATGATCGCCATGACCGATGATGTGACCAGGAGAAACCAGTCCAGTATACGTTCGCCCATCCCGATCTCCTTGCCAAAAATTTTCAGGTAGAATGCGAGAGGCAGTATGATGCAAATTGTGAAACATAATGCGGATCCCATCAAGGCCATGATTTTGTCGAAGGATGGGAAGACGATAGCCATCACGACAATTACAACCACCACAAAGATGCGTATGATGGCTTGGAGTGATCGGCGAAAGGTTTCTGTCAGCCCTTCCTGACGATCAGACATCGCGTTGTGGCGCGGTTCGAGTCCACAAAGAACTTCAACAGTGGCCACTAGAGGCCGGCAGCTAAAATTTCATCAATTCCTTGTCTTGGGGCGCCGAGAAGCTATCCATGAGGTCCACTCACTTCAAAGGCACCTTAGTGATCGGAATGATTGCAATCAATACTATCACACAGATAGACAATGCCTGGGGATATTCAGTCGTCAACAGCACGTTGGCTGTGATTTCATCTAAGACACCATCGCCGAACATCAACCATCCCACGATAGCCATTGCGCAATCCAATGAATACTGTTGACTATGTTAGCGCTCGACACGCCGGCGTGCTGCAATACATACTGTGAATATATACGTCACCCAAAGGCTCCTGCCGTACTTATGAGGATGCCTCATGTCACGATAGATACACGGGAAGCACGAATGTGCTCCCCAAGGGGCTGATTTGAGAATAAGTCAAGTCAGCGCACGAGATTTCGGACAAAGGAACTGGTAGACTCACACATAATAAGACCAAAACTGAGCGGAAGAGTAGCCCAGTTGTCAGGAAACATTGTGGTTCTGGCTGGTTGACGAAGAGAGCCCGGGCTATCTGGTTTAACCAAACCGTCAATGAATATGATGCTGACAACTGTAGATATTAGTCCATGGTGCGAGCAACGTTCAGAGACAGGAATAACACACTGGAAGTACACGATAGGATGCCTAGTATACTCGTGACACTTAGTAACCGCAAGGGAACGAAGTTGAGCGGCATAAGCATAAACCCGCAAATTATTTTCCATTGAAGGATGCTGAGACCGGGAATCAGAGCATTAAGACTGTCGGCGAAAAGCACAACTAGGGCGACGCAAGCCCCTATCAGCTCCAAACAGAACAAGAGACTCGTCACAATCCGTGCATGATGCCCAAAGCTGATGTAGGCTACATCTGCATATGTCACAAGGCTTCGGTCAACGTCTAAGCATTTAGCCAGGATCTTGGCAGTGTACGAAGTCGTCACAGCAGCGAAGAGGAGGAACGATAACCCCAGGAGCCACCCAGCGTATTTCATTGCCAGAGGCAACGACAACAGGCCGACTCCAATCAAGACATTGACCGAATTGAAAACAGTCTGTGGCACAGTAGATTGGCCTACAATGACACTCTCTCGCGTTCCATCATCGTGCTGAATCTGTTTGACAAGGAGAGGCTCACCATCGGGAACTACAGCTGCGTTGCGATGTGCCACTTGTTCCCTATGAAATTGTATTGCGTTTCTCCGAGTCGCCTCACTGACCCTAGATGAGATCGTACCGTAAGATGTCCCCAGGCTTCTATCCAAGGATGAGCTAAGGATGGCGGTACTTGGGAACACCTTTTTTGAGTGACCAGTATTACTCCCGTCTCCTTCCTCGTCACCATGCAGCAATGGCCGTGTATAATCAGCCTCCTGCCTGGCTGATAAAGAGCTTCGCGATGAAAGATCCTCATTCCACCCCGAAGTCCATTCTTCATCCGGTCTAGCTGCCGCGAACGAGGAACGTCGAGGGAGAACTTCGGGGAAACAAGCAGCTCGTTGCCATGAGCGAGCGAAATGATCAATGCTGTTGGGGCCGCCCGCAAATCTGAAGCGCGCAGAGAACGAAGACGACCTGGACAAAGCAGTTAATTGGAAAACGTTCTATGAGCGAACTCAATCGTGATATGTTTCACCTTTGTCTCTGCAAATCGTAGTCATTGATCGGACGGCCATCGTAGCTCGTTGAGCTGGCTTGGCTGTAGGCATCGGAATCAAAAATTCTCCCTTCATATGACTGCTGGTCATTGCCGGACAAGTCTCCGTGATTCTCAGCGGCCGACGATGATTGCTCCTGCATTGCTCCTTTTTACGTTCTCTTTTTCTATTATATCCTTCGGCCAAAGTTCCTTCCTCCCACAAAATATTGGTTGGTGAACCGTCGAGGAGTTGTACAGACGAACAGGTAGAACGAAGTCAAGGTATTAGTTGTCTTGGTCGGCCTGACAATGGATGTGCAAATCCTGGTTTATTGAGCGCTTGAAGACTGTATTGAATGTGCTGACAAGAGCATATTATAACGAGGAGAAAGCAACTTTAGACGAATATGCATTGTAGTGGTTTAGATAAAAGCTACTCCGTAGAGCAGGCTCGGTGAAGTGGGGTCTAATATCAGTAAGTACCTTACCTATGCTGGCAGATAAGAAGCCACCGCATCACTAACATGACCTAAGAATTAAACATCATAGATTCAGATAATACAATGGACATGGACTCGTATTAGATATTGACAAACGACAGCAGAGCATGAAAACGAGGGTAAAATCAGAGTATCACAGGGATTACTCATGGAGAATCCTTAACAGAGCTAACCTTGAGCTCTGCTATTATGAAATTCAAAGAGCAATAAAAGAGATGATATCGGAGCCACGAGGACAGTTACCTGACGAAGATCCAGTACCGTAAACCACCCATTCTCAATGGCCTTTTGTGCATACCTATTATTGCTTGCATGAAGTACGGAGTACTCCCTACATCAAGATGGATAATATCATTAAAGTACGTTATTGGTACAAGGCGCTCGCTGTGCCTCCAAGATCAGGCTTATGTCATCCAGGAAAAACAGGCGACGACTGACCCATATTATTATTACTCATTCGCCTTATTATTGTCTGTCCCCTGCCACCCCACGGTGCCTGATGAAATTTGCTCCAACACCCCGCTGGACCTGGACGGCAAATTGACCAGCCTTAAGGTATGTGACTCGATTGCTCCTCTCAGTCTCTTCTTTTCTTTGTTTCATCTGATTACGAATTCGTTCTTAAAAATTAAGAGGCGAAATTCTACGACTTCTCTGCCTTCTAGCGCTAATAATAATCTTTACCAGCATCAGACTGTCAAATTGTGAACCCTATTCTGCCTCTGGTTGTCAATTACCGTCGCGTCGCCCAACATGAGCGCGCCTCAGCCGAACGAAGCTGAGAAGAACATCGAAATATGGAAGGTGAAGAAGCTTATCAAGCGGCTTGAGGCCGCTAGGGGAAATGGAACTTCGATGATTTCTCTTATCATTCGTAAGGCTCTTCGCATTCGCCCTTTTGCTAGATGCGTCGCTAACGTGAATCCTCAGCCCCCAAAGATCAAGTCTCACGAGCGGCAAAGATGTTAGCTGAAGAATTTGTATGTCCAATTCCGTGGAGTCCATACTTATGTCTAACTGCTCACTGACGGAACTGGTAGGGTACCGCTTCCAATATTAAATCTCGCGTCAACCGCCTCTCCGTCCTTTCAGCCATCACTTCTACGCAGCAACGTCTTAAGCTGTACAACAAGGTTCCTCCAAACGGCCTGGTGATCTACTGTGGTGAAATCATCACATCAGAAGGCAAAGAACGAAAGATCAACATTGACTTCGAGCCATTCAAACCCATCAATACCTCGCTCTATCTTTGTGACAACAAGTTCCATACAGAGGCTTTGAGTGAGCTCCTTGAGTCAGATCAGAAGTTTGGTTTCATTGTCATGGATGGAAACGGCGCCCTCTTCGGCACACTGAGTGGCAACACTCGAGAAGTCATTCAGAAGCTAAGCGTTGACTTGCCGAAGAAACACGGTCGTGGTGGTCAGTCCGCGTTGCGTTTCGCCCGTCTGCGTGAGGAAAAACGTCATAACTATGTGCGCAAGATTGCCGAACTGGCTGTCCAAAACTTCATCACGAACGACAAAGTGAACGTTGCGGGCCTGATTTTAGCAGGTTCTGCTGATTTCAAGAATGACCTCAACCAGTCAGATATGTTCGATCAGCGTCTGCAGGCCAAGGTCATCAAAGTCGTGGATGTCTCTTACGGCGGAGAAAATGGGTTCAACCAAGCTATTGAACTCTCATCGGAGACTTTGAGCAATGTCAAGTTTGTCCAGGAGAAAAAGCTGATTGGCCAGTACTTCCAGGAAATCAGTCAAGATACTGGAAAGGTCTGCTATGGTATTGATGACACTTTGAAGGCCTTGGAACTCGGTGCCGCGGAGACTCTCATCGTTTATGAGAACCTCGACGTGACTCGGTATGTTCTCAAGACGTCAACTGGCTCCGAAGTCATTGTCCATGCCACCAAAGCTCAAGAAGAGAACCGAGCGTTGTTCACCGACAAAGACACTGGCACTGAGATGGAAGTTGTTGAGCAGACTTCTTTCCTCGAGTGGCTTGCCGAGAACTACAAAGATTTTGGTGCTACGCTGGAGTTTGTTTCAGATAAATCCAGTGAAGGAAACCAGTTTGTGAAGGGATTTGGTGGGATTGGAGCACTCTTGCGGTACAAGGTCAACTTTGAACAGCTTGCCGACCTTGATGACGAAGATGAATTTTACGACGGTACGTCTTGAACCCTAAAATATCTTATCCTGCATGCTAACGCAGGGCATCTGTGCAGATTGACGGTTCAGCGGCCTCGCTGAGAGCGAGGATGAACTGCCAGAAGTTCCCAACACGGATCTTTTGACGGCTCGCCCTGTCGTTCGTGAAGGCGGCTTTCATGGTGAACCCATGGCTACCTTGGCACGTACCGCGCTGTGGTCTGGACAAAACTCTATAAAGCTGCTCAGAGGTTTGTCTATAATCCATTTCCGACATACAATTTGGTCCGGAACCGAGTCTGACGAGTCGCCGCGCATCAGGGCCATCCAAGCTCCGTAACATGGTCACTGAGGCTACCTAGTTTTCTCTGGGTCGGCCCGAAGTGTGCTTTGCTGAAGAATGGTGGATCTGTTGTGCAGAACTCAGCCGCTCACAAAACATGGTCGAGCTTAAGGACTAAGCTGGCGAGATTGAGATTGTTCTTTTTTGACACAGTTTACTGGGTCGAAATCCCTTCCGTTTACGCTCGTTATTTCTGCGTTCTCTATGTGACCAAAGGCAAGCAGCAATGCACCTCGGTATTTGCCAGAGTGGCTCTGTTCGCGATGAAACACGAAAATGTCTTCCTAAGAAAGTTGCCGTTCCGTATATAGAAAATCATATCTGTGCTTTCCAGGGATGTCAGATGAGATAGCATGTACCATGTATCAAACGCTGCTAGTTGAAAGCTGGTCTTTCCAAGTGCCAAGATGCCTGCAGCCCTCAGTAACCTGCTGCATCTTATCCAGAATTTTAGTAACCCCGTGGCTATTCTGGTCCGTAGGGAATTGTTGGCATTCGACAAAGAATACATATTGCCAAGCCCTCCTCTGACTCGGTCGCGTGTTGATGCTGGTGAGATTCATACCAAATTCCTTGAATATCAACAGAGCGTCTGCCAATGCCCCTGGAAAATCTTGACGGATTCTGAACGAGATCAGAGTCTTTTCCGCAGACGGTGTGAGCCGGGGTTTTAATGCGACTGAGGGCGTCTTCACAGCGTCAAATGGAAGCCGGGCTGTACGTTCTGACTTTGTGTTCCTCAGAACGAGGAATCGCGTTGTATTGTCGGCCTTGTCCTCGATATTTTCCGAGAGTACATCTAGGCCGTGGTAGTCAGCAGCGAATCGGCTAGCTATGGCACCACTGTGTTCTTGTGTCTCAAGTGAGACCATCTCAGCAGCTTTTGAGGTCGAAGAAACGTCCTGCCTTTCGATGCCTTTTAAGAATTTCGCCAGGAAATTCTCACATTGACCCCATGCCTGGGGGTGTGTATAGAGCTTTGTTATTGACCTTATATCCGGTTGCGACAGGCCCTTTCGAGCCAGCAGGCAGTGGTGAACTGTCAAATAATGCTCTCCGCATACATTCACATCTTCGTAGAGCCCATATCGATCTGCTAAAAGATCAAGATTCTGGACAACTGATCCATTGGTCGAATTCTCGACAGGAATGATGGCATAGTCTGCTTCGCCCTGCTGAACTGCGGCGAAAGCATCCGCGAACGATAGGCGGGGTGACAACTCAGCAGAAGATCCAAAACACTCAACGGCAGCCTGTTTCTTCACATTAATGATGTTCGAAGTCTATGATGAGTTCACCCTTCCTGACCTGATGGGAAAAGGACGCTGCAGGGCCAAGAAAAGTCACTCTGATTGGCTCCATGAATCCCTGAACTTAGGTGGTCTCCTCCTTAGACTCTCTGGAACAGTTAAGGAGGGGTTTTCCAAATTTCTCAATCAGCTGCCCCCCCGCACTGCGGGAACTTTTTTGAGCTCCAGCATTTCTGACTTTTGAATTACTCGTAGCTGCGAGCCCATTAGAACAAACAAAACAAACAGAAACTGCAAGTTCGCTGTCACAAATGCCTAGGATACCCAAGCACACACGTCATCTTTGCTTGCTGTTGGACTGCTCACAAGAATCTGCATTCCTGGATGAGAGCAACTACAGCCAACCTCCCATTCCCATTGGGACAGCTATACACAAGCACCAAAATGCGAACGTACTCTACATTCTCTGGAAGCTTGCGCCGGGAACTGATAGCACGACGACTTCCCTTAATATATGACTATCTTCATCCTCAACCGTCTCATCTCTTGAACCTGACTTTGATGGATATCATTCCACACTTGCAGCACACAGGGTACAAGCATGCGATCCTCCCCTCAATTAAGCGACCGCCCCCCTGAAGCCAGGGCATCATTTAGTCTACTTTCCTCCTCAAGTGACTCTATCTCAAATACTCCCTGACGGTACTGATACATTGCATTTCCCGGGACAGCCATTTATCAGGCGTCTTTGGGCTGGTGGAAGGGTCAGATTCCCATTGATGCACAGTCCTCTCCTTGATGGCAGTCGGGCTGTCTGCATTGAAACAATTCGGGACGTAGTAGTCAAGGGCCACCAAGGGGAGGAAAAAGTTTTGATCGATATAGAGAGACGTATCGGCACGGTCAAGGAAGACGAGGCAGAGGAGAGTATCAGGAGACGTTTAGGGAGTGACGACGCAAATGAAGACAGGGAGTCATCGGTTATTGAAAATAGAAGCCTAGTTTTTATGCGCCAAAAGACCACACAGCAAATCGAAACAGACAAAAGGGACTCTGAGAAGGTTCGCAGGAAAATTCAGGGTAATTGAGACCAAGCCAAGTTTTGCTTTCGAGGACGTGCTGACTGGCATTTCTTTGACTAAAGCTCCCTCAGACGCCGAATTTCGCCATAAGATCAAACCGACCAAGGATTTATTATTTCGATTTTCAGCACTCACATTCAATGCGCACTACATTCACCTTGACACATCTTATACCCGGAACGTCGAAGGTTACCCAGCTCTCCTTGTTCACGGCCCACTGACTCTCACAATGCTTCTCACGGTTTTGCAGAGCTATTTAGTGGAGTCTAACCACGCAATCAGTGAGATAGAATATAGAAATCTGTGTCCTTTATACGTTGACGAGGACTTAACCATCTGCGGTAAGCCCAGGTTCGACAAGGGAAGCGGGGCTTGGGATGTTTGGATCGAAGGACACAACGGTGGTCTGGCTGTCAGAGGCACCGTGAAGACAAACAAGTGTAAAAATTCGCGGCGATAGACTAGACAACTAACAATGATCACATTATGCTTGTACCTCGGATGGCAATGAAAGTGAAGCTTGTCCCAAACTTCCGGTGCAACAATGGGACTATTACCATGCATGCGCCCAATGGACCGCTCCTCAATGAGAGCTTCTCTCACCTGATCGAAACTTGAAACTTAAGCGAATGTCCTCGCTCCGGGCCAGTAGCACAGTTTGCGATGAGCGTTCGATACGGAGTCATTAGCCTGGAAATATTGGGTCTGTATACGGACGTTGTCGCTTGTGCGGTAGTGCTTAAGAGGTAGAAAGAGAAATAAAGAGAAAGAAAAACGTTGTTCATGGCAAGAGACAGACGAAGAAAGGGTTGGGATCCGACGTTCCCTACCAGGCCATCTTGAGTGTTAAGTTCAATCACATGTATCCTTAGACAAGCTACAGTTTGGGATTACATAGCAGGGGGCACTGCTCATCAAGCATAGCTCTTTATTCCGTCCGACAGACCCAGCTGAAAGCATAACCATGACATTTAGGGTGCCAGTCCTATGTAAAGAGAAACAGAAGGTAGAAAAGCTAATATTTTGTCTGATGAAGAAGTACTACGAGAAGTCCTACTCTGTACATGAGGTCCTAGTAAGAGGACGAATTTGCACGTGACCCTGCGTCCGCTGTTGTTGGAGCTAATTTTTACTCGCTCTCAAGGAACCGAGTACGTACTAATAAAGTGGGTCTGTTCGTCTACCGGAATGGAAAAACTTATGAAGGCAGGAGCTAGTTCTTGCACACATTTTATTCCTCCGAAGAAAATCTCCTCTCACCTTTTGATACAACTCTCAATGACATCAAGTTGACATTCTTCGCAAAAGAGCTGCCGCTATTCTATGATATGTAAACTGTGATTATTCTAACAGCACATTCAGGCAGTGGGAGCCAATTTACAATTCCACTCACTAACATGGATCGTTTCTGGTCTGCTCCTCCTGTCACGAGGTACACCTACGCCGCCTTGAACTCATTGTTTTGAGGGATCCTGTCTAACGTTCGATGACAGGACACTTACTGCTCTGACATTTGCTCAATCAGCTCTGGTTTATGGTGGCCTGCTGAGCGGCTATTATGTTGTGTTCATTCCGAGGCTGCTTTTTAGGCTTCCGCCTCAATTATGGAGATTGTTTTCACCTTTCCTTCTGACAGGATCGGGTCTTTCCTTCATATTTGATCTTTACTTTAGTACGACTTCATGTCGGACCGGTCCTTAGCCACGCTAACCTGCCATTAGTGTATACCTATGGCAGCGCACTTGAGACAGGCTCACCCCGTTTCAGTTCGCCTGGTGACTTCTTCACCTACGTTTTATTCGTAGCCTTTGTTATCATGGTAAGTCTAGAGGACAAGTATCGGATGGTCATCATCCGATAGAAAAACCACCACACTTCCTCAACGTTTCTTCGTCTCTGCAAACCTTCTCTTTGAACCCTAGCATAGTCACCTCGCGTTATCTGCCCGCCCAGCCTCAACTAGCTGAAGCGGTTCCTGGAAGCGAGGAAGATCACCCCTGCATCCCATACAGCACCTCTCTCATTGATCCTATAGGGCTGTATGCGTTGTGGGTATGGTGGGAAGACCACTGAGATAGCCATCGTGATTAAATAGTATCACGTTGGTGGTTATGGTGCCCTACATTCCATATACTCTTCTATCTGTAATGTCAATCATGAATTGTTATACTCTCTCCTGAAACCTTTTCCAATTTCTACCTTGGAAGTAGCCTTGATCAAGTACACGATGCTGATGAATCGAAGGTCACCGCAGGTTACTTCTTAAGTGGCGTAATCTTCACCTCGGGTGAGCCTAACCTGGCGGATCGTGTTTTCACCCGTGCTAACTTGCGACAGCTCTGATCCTAGCATTTGTCTATACCTTTGCACAGGACAATCGGGGGAAAAGAGCAACCTTTATTATCATCCAGATACCCATCGAATACTTACCCTGGGCGATGCTCGTGCTCACTCTGGTCATGGCCGGGTGGCCCGCTGCATTGAGCGAGGGCATGGGAATCATCGCTGCCCACTTGTATGATTTCCTCACACGTCTTTATCCGACCTTCGGTGGAGGAAGAAACTACCTCACCACGCCAGCTTTCGTAAGGAGGTTTTTTGCCGCCTACGCCCCTAGAGGGGAATATCGGGCCTATGGAACAGCCTATCGGCCAGCGGGCCAAAACCCCCTTCCTCGTCAAGTGGCTGGGCTTCATCCTTTCAGAGCTCATGGGGTGGAAGAGGGCCGGGGCGGAGACTTGGTGGTAGCTAATCTGTCTGAAAACAGGTCCTAGAGTCCGAGGCTCTACTGTTTACTTCCTATCTTTGTCTTTGCTGATGCAGTCGATACTGCCATAGTACTATGCCTGGCAGCTTCCTTATTTTAACAAGTGTCACCGCTTTATCCTTCAGATCAAGAAGTGTCATATCATCCATAATCCAGTACATCATGATGTTCAGAACACAAAACGTTATAAAATGTAGAGGCATGACCGCGACAGTCTCTTGTATAAGCGAGAGTAGACTTCGACGGTGTTAGCTATTTATGCAGCGCACCGCAGCGTAGAGGCTTACGCAAACCGATGTCTGAGAAAGACGAGAAATATGATGATCTGGATTACTTTCACTGAAAGTCACGGGACTATCGGCCTGATTCTGAGCTCCCCGACGCTAACCTCTTTGGTAGTTAGACCTTTTGCCGCACTTCAAAATTTCCCAAAAGTTTCTTTTCTCACTAGCGCCAGAGCAAAACCTTGGTGAAGTCGGTGCAATTTTTCCTGCGCTTCTCACAAAAACGCGCCCTCACCTGGTGACATTGAACTCTTGAAGCCAAATTTCAAGATGGCAGTCTCAGTGGCTAAGGAAGAGATGGACTACACCATCAAGCCTGAGGCTGGTGCATCCAACATCTCCACAGAAGAGTGGCCTTTGCTGCTAAAGAATTATGACAAGCGTACGTGAATACTTCATCAAATTCATGGTCCTTCGCTCTGCAGGATGGCAGGGTTATTCTTGTGTAAAGTAGCTTGAACTGATTTTATCCCAGTCATGGTGAGGACCGGTCATTTCACACCAATTCCCGCTGGTTGCTCGCCTCTCAAGCGTGACCTGAAGTCCTACATCAGCTCAGGTGTGATCAACCTCGACAAGCCTTCCAATCCATCTAGTCACGAGGTTGTCGCTTGGATGAAGAGAATCTTGAGGTAAATTGTAATCTTTCTGCGCTGATATTCGGAACCCGATGCTAAAACCATGGCGTGTTTCGCAGGGCGGAGAAAACTGGTCACAGTGGAACTCTTGACCCGAAGGTCACCGGTTGCTTGATCGTCTGTATTGACCGTGCGACCCGCTTGGTCAAGTCCCAACAAGGTGCCGGAAAGGAGTACGTCTGCGTCATTCGTCTCCATGACAAGATTCCCGGTGGTGAGGCTCAGTTCAAGAGAGCTCTTGAGACCTTGACTGGCGCTCTCTTCCAGCGGCCTCCTCTGATCTCTGCTGTCAAGCGTCAGCTTCGTATCAGAACGATCCACGAAAGCAAACTCTACGAGTTCGACAATGATAGACACCTTGGCGTGTTCTGGGTCAGCTGCGAGGCTGGAACTTATATTCGAACTCTTTGCGTTCACTTGGGTCTTTTGCTTGGTGTCGGTGCTCACATGCAGGAACTTCGGCGTGTACGAAGTGGAGCTATGGACGAGAACAATGGCCTCGTGACTCTTCATGACGTCCTGGATGCGCAGTGGATGTACGATAACCAGCGGGACGAGTCTTACCTGCGCAGGGTCATCCGACCTCTCGAGTCTCTTCTCACAACCTACAAGCGTATCGTCGTTAAAGACAGCGCCGTCAATGCTGTGTGCTATGGCGCAAAGCTCATGATTCCTGGTCTCCTGCGCTTCGGTAAGTTCGGTTTACTCTTGGTGATGTCGATTTCCACCTGGTTGCTGACCCATGTCCAGAGGCTGGTATTGATGTCAACGAAGAAGTTGTTCTCATGACTACAAAGGGTGAAGCCATCGCCATTGGTATCGCTCAAATGTCTACTGTTGAACTTTCCACCTGCGATCATGGTGTCGTAGCTAAGGTCAAACGTTGCATCATGGAACGTGATCTCTACCCTCGCAGATGGGGTCTGGGCCCTGTAGCTCTGGAGAAGAAAAAGCTCAAGTCAGCTGGAAAACTGGATGTAAGTTGCTGGGTTTCGCCTTCCAACATAGGTTTTCGTGGTTTTTGTACGCTGACCAGGCCTCAAGAAATATGGCAGAGCAAATGAGGACACCCCGCCAAATGGAAGACCGAATACAAGGATTACAGCGCCCCGAAGAAGCTTCCGCTCAGGCTGCACCTGAATTGACAGCTAAAAAAGACGTGGCTGCTGCCCCAACTACCGAACAGGACGAGGCGCCATCTTCACCCCAGTCCAAGATGGATGTCGATGAAACCAAGGAAGAGAAGAAACGCAAGAGGCATGAGGGCGAAACACCAGAGGAACGTGCAGAGCGTAAGCGCAAGAAGAAGGAGAAGAAGGAAAAGAAAGAACGAAGAAAATCCAAGCAGGAGAAGGAGGACAGTGATGACAGCGACTAGACATATACTGGGACCTTATTACTTGCTCGGATATCGGGCTTCCATGGTTGGAAGACTTTGCTGCTGTGTATTTGCTTCTCGAATTGTCATACGGGCACGCTGTCTGTACCTTACTTTGTTTCTTGTTTATCGGAGTCTTGGGTTGAAAAGGGAACCAATGTTAGTCTTTCTTGTATCATTTACAACGTCTGCTCTCAAGTCAGCAATCACAGAAAGAGCCTTCACTGCATCTCTCATTTGTAATATGGTTCCACCAACGTGGGTATCCAGGTAGCGTCTATGATTCAGGTATCGTCCTGGATTACCAGTGTACAGCTATCTATATAAAAGTTACGTATTACTTATCTCCTCTTACTGGCGTTCGATAAAGTGCTTTGCGTCTTTTACGTCGGTTGTTGGAAGGGCATTTCAGTGCTGTGACTCGTGACCTTTTCGCTGATGTTCTCCGCACCAAGTCCGACAAGCCGATTATTTCCCCGCCGCCCACCTGCTACATGGATGCCACCTGTGTTGCGTCGCAACGGCTTTCTCTCTTTTTGTTATCTCACTCTAATCATAGGCTTATTCTCCAAACCCCCGCAATCTCCCTCCTTTCAGGCTTAACGTGAAAGAAGTATCGAATACGACTAGGCACAGACGACCCGGAAGTCTTCATGGCTGCAGAGCTCACGTCAACGAAGCTCAATGCGGAGAATCATCTGCTCCTGGTAATTCCCACCACCGCCCATCTATACGCTGTAGCTGATGGTGGCATCTTGTGGTCGTGTAGGATCAGCCTCTTCTACGATTACCTCACGAGCTTGCACGGAGAAACTTCAAATCTGTTCAACGACTTGTCGAGAGGGAAAGGGAATATGTCATTTCCGCGCTCAAAGAGGCCGCCAATGCCTCCCTATCAAATGTTCAGACACCGGATCAAACTCTCGCGGCTCTCGACTCTATGTTGGCTCGCATGCAAAACATGAAACGGAAAATTGAAAGTATCCAGCAAGAGGAGAAGAAAATCCAAAACCAGTCACGAAAACGTATACAGCATCTGGAGCATCTGCACCAAATTCCCAGCTTGGCAGATGTCAAATATGACCAGTGGTCCAGGATCAGGCTGGATAGACTGGTGGTTGATCACATGCTGCGTTCCGGGTACACTGAGAGTGCTCAGCAGTTGGCCCAGGAGAAGGGCATCGAAGACCTAGTTGATCTGGATGTCTTCGTACAGTGCCAAAGGATTGCTCAGAGCTTGCGCCGTGGGGAAACAAAGGACGCTTTGCAGTGGTGTAACGAGAACAAACCGGCGTTGAAGAAGAGTCAGGTATGTGGAGTACACATGAACATAGCCGTGTCTCGAATCCAGTCTCATTCACTAACAAACCAGATACAGTTCAATCTGGAGTTTGAATTACGCCTGCAGCAGTATATAGAAATGCTCAGGACAGGCGATAGAGGGAAGCTCATGGACGCTATGGCGCATGCCAAACGATACCTTACTCCGTATACCGAAACGCAATCAAAAGAAATCCATCGAGCAGCAGGACTACTCGCCTTCCCCCAGGACACTAAGGCTGAACCGTACAAGGTACATCCGTCTAATCTTTGTCTTCAAATCCGCACCTTGGCCTGAAAATTTCAGCTAACCGATTTTCAGTCAATGTACTCATTCGACCGGTGGAATCACCTGTCTGACCTCTTCATCCGGACCCATCATGAACTTCTATCGTTGCCTTCAAGCCCGTTATTACATATTGCATTGTCTGCTGGCTTATCGGCCCTCAAGACTCCATCTTGCCATTCCGCATATACCTCCTCGAGCTCCAACTCTTTATCTACCGCGACGTCCGTATGCCCCATATGCTCGACTGAGCTGAATGAACTTGCGCGTAATATGCCGTACGCCCATCATGCTAAGAGCTATGTTGAAAGTGACCCGATTGTCTTGCCAAATGGTAGGATTTACGGTCAGCAGCGGTTACTAGACATGAGCAAGAAACTTGGCTGTGTCGAAACAGGCAAGGTGAAGGATCCCACCACCGGCGAGATCTTCGACGAGAGTGAGATGAAAAAAGTATACATCATGTAGCTGTGGAGGTATCCAGAATATCGAGGCTGCTGCAAGTTTTCATATTCTCTCCTAATTTGTGTATTATTACCCAGAAGGCACTGGAGAGGCTAAGTACGAGAACAAGATTCTTAACAGCTTAGTCGCTATCGTCACTATCGGACGAGTCCCTTGACCGTTTCTGATTCTTTCCCTTAGTGTCCAATCTAGTAGCCTGCGGATTCTTCGGCGGGGCAACTTGATCTTCTTGCCTGACCTCAAAGACATACATTCTTGCCTCGCGGTCTTCTCCCCTCCAGCCCCCTCTTCCCCCATGCTTTCCTTCGATCTCGCCGAGGGTTCGAGCGTGGGAGTATCCCTGGTAAGAGCTCCACGGAAATCTAAAACTCGTGACCACCCGCAAACCGGCGTGCCGTGCAAGATCCTTGATATTCCATAGGGTGTAAGGCTCGCCTTCAAACATGGTCACTAAAATTTGTCCTGGCTCGGTCCTGTATTTACCTCGCCGTCCATTGGCGAGGATATCCTGATCATCCTGCTCGCCCGAGTCTGATTCACTGTCTTCACTTGAGCTCCAGTTGTCATCCTCTTCGTCTTCATCATCGCCGTTCAAGACTTGCGGACGGGCCGACAACAGTGGCACGCAGGCCTTGAAAAAGGCGACAAGTAGTTCCTGGTTTGAGCGAACCTGTCGATTCACGTCCGTTGATAGGCCACCGACGTGTGGGAAGTTGAAACATATGATATCCCAGGGCCCACCTGTAGTGGTTGCTGGCTCGATCTTCTGCCTATTTCCCTGCCAAGCAGGACGTTTGCGCTCGCGGCGTGCAAAGCCTGTGCGGACATCCTTCCCACCTCCGGCGGGAGATCCGAGTTTTCGCGCATCAACTGCGCAGAGTACGTTCGGACCCCGACGCTTGCAGTCCTGTTTCTTATCAGACTGCTGTCCGCCTTTCTTTTTTCCCTGAGTGCTTTCCTTCTCCGCCTCAGATCCATCAGGATCACTCTGTTTTCTCTTATTAGAGAACGAGCTAAGAAGATCCTGGACATGCTGTTTAGCTTGTGGATATTTGCTGTATAGCATCTCTTCTGAGTCGTAGCATGTGGCCAGGATATTGCTGCAACGGTGCTGCATCGCTAGAGAGCGAGCAAACGAGAAATCCCCTAGTAAACATTTCGTCAGACTATTTGCAATTCAGGAACTCTGGTACTTGAACCGCAAGACACCAGGGGCTCAGCCGAGCCAGCGTGAGTACACGGAAGGAAAGGCACAGAATAGCTTCAGGTCGGGTCAACGTTAATACAGATCGCTAGTATACTATAAATTCAACAAAGCCAACACGACGAGTGCCCTTGCAGATTAACACATGCGGAAACATCGACGCTCGCCTGATGCTGTCGGACAAGCACATGAGACGAATGTAAATAGGGAGAACAACATTGACTGAAGGGCTCTGGACGCTCCAGGTATTTGAGAAAGAAAATCATCAAAAGGAAACGTAAATCTTGAAAGTAGTAGGGAAGTTTACAAGAAGAGGAAGCGCTCACCCTCACCCACAAGTAGGATACGATCTCTCCGTCCGAATGGGACAATAGGCCGTCGATGTTGGGCCGGATTCTTCTTGTTCTTCTCCGCTGTACCACTGTTGCCAATGCCACCCTTCTGGGTCTTAGATGTCGAAGATGGCCCCGCAGATGTAGATAATCTCGAAAACGTGTGCATTTTCCGGGCTCCTCTGAAGCCGGGCATATCACCGCGCTGGGGCCCGTTAGCCCGGGCTTTTTTCGATCTGGGCATGTCTCTAAGATATAAACTTGGGTCCTTCAGGTCTTGTCGTCTTCAGAACGGATCTAAACGAAGATAGAATTAAGAACCGGGCTGCTTTTCTGAATTGACTGGATAACTGAACCCATTTAAGGACTACTCCCCCATTAAGGTAGGACTCAAATCCGAACAGGGGTAAAAAAAAATTGTAGTTCCAAACCTGCGCGCGGGCCAATTCATTTCCCGAGAATAATGGATTTCTTGAATTGAATCTCAGGTACGAAATAGAGATAACTGGCCTGCCCATTTCGTAGATTACTGTTTTGTTATATCCTGAACTGATTTCTATTCTGTATTTTTTAATCCTCCGCAATTTTGACAAAAAACGGACCATGTCACCCCAACCCGCTCTATAACCATATTAAAAAGAAGTACAAGGTTGTTATATACATCACACTCTCAAAAAAAAAAGAAAAATCCACTGTCTTCAACATCTGATCTGTCTGCAGTCTTAACGTCGCGAAAATTGCCATGCATATGAGCAGGTAGTATCAATCAAGACGGGAGGGTGAAATGAAAGCCGTTACCAAAATTTCGTGATTTGAAACAAAATTCTGAGCAGAAAGGAGGAGACCTTCACATCAGACCGAATACGATGAGGGTAGGGCGAGGTTCCTAGGAAGCGTTATCGACCACAAAGGCCAAAAGCAACAACGAAATTGACCGAAATGTGGACAACTACGCCTGAAAGGGAGTATAGGTACATATCACGTTCATGTTGGGGGCGAGTCCACGTTTGTTTCTGGGAGCTGATTCGAAATGATAACAAGGGGCGTCCGTCGTCCATGATAAGGCGCACATCGACGTCTCGCTAAGCCTTCACAATCAGGGTGAAGTGATTCAGGAGCGCAGAGAGTCTCTCATGCTCTGGCTGCTAGCACTGACGGGGGGTTCGACATTGGCAGCACACCAGTCTTTGGCTTGGCACTTTGCTTGATCTTGGCAACGGCGTAAACAATTCCACTGATAAAGCCGACAACAATGGCAGAAACGCTGGGGAAAGTGACGGGAGCATCGAAGAAGATCAAGCCGGAGAGTGCGATGGGCAGCTTGTTCAGAGCGCCGACCATGGAATAGGTTGTCGACGAGGTCACGCGGACACACCAAGCGGAGGTGTAGGAGATGAACACGGACGAGAGACCGGAGAGAATCATGGCAAATAAGATGCCGTTGCGATCGGCCGGGGGGAAATTGCGCGCGATGTTTGCCGACGACCAGTCCTCCATCAAGAAGGTGAGAACCAGAAGCACAGGGATTGACAGAAGATTATTGTAGAACATGGCTAAATGAGGCATAAGATTAGACGCGAGCTCCAAGATTTCGTGGCAGAGATATAGAAACAAGAAGGGACATACTGTCAAAGTCCTTGAAGTTAGTCAACTTGATTCGCTTGCGCATTCCCAGGACGTAGGACGAAGTGCAGAAACAGTTGATCAACATCCAGATATAACCAGCATTGAGAGTCGACACTTTGGCAGTAGCGTCTCCACTACTTTCAACTGCATGCTTGATATCGGCCCACGCGGCGATGATGGAACTGAGGACCATGAGTCCAAACGAGAAGAGGGTCATGCCTGTCACCGAACCGCCAAACCAAAGCACCTCTCCGTAGGCGATTAGGATGATGGTCAGATTCTTGAAGATGGTGTACACAGGAATCGATAGATATTGCAGTGCCTTGGAGCCGGTGTAGATCATGCCAATCAGAAGCAGAGTGATCGGAAACCCTGGCCAGAAAGAAGGCCTGTCAGAATGCTTTCCTTGAAGATACCCAACGACGGAATGGGATGCTTACACTTCTTGGCCTCATCCGAATTGAAGTCGCGATATGTAATCAGTTTGCTAGCCTTGCATGTTTGAATCGCCACAATACAGACAATTGACTGGAGTGAAATGATGTTGTCAGCTCAGGCTTGGTGCTTCTACGCCCCGGCAAATCTGACCAACTTACCTGCACGCAAAGGAGGAAGAAATTGAGATTGAAATCCATGCCGGAAAGGACATATTTGTTCATGACAGTCATCAAAATAGACGAACCGCAATAAGCCAGCACAGGCAGGATGGGATTATTGGCAAGCTGCGCAGCTGGAGGACCTCTGGGCTGAACAGCAGGGGCCGGCGCCTCGAAATCCTTATTGCCGTGATCTAACTTATCCATCTCGATGGTATACTCATTCGTTTTCTTGTCGTCCGCCATGATGCGAGACTGAGAATCGGATTCGAAGACCAAGGGAACAAGAACGAAATATCCGGACGAAATCGAGGAACGAGGGGGAGAATGCTCCAGTGGCACAAAACAATTGCTGATGAGTCGGATTCGTGAGGGAAAAAGTAAGATGAACGCAAAAATGAATGTGAGAAGCAATGAATGATAACACAATATATTATATAGGGAAGAGCCTTGCTTCCTTGTCCACTTCCTTATGTTCCTCCTATTTGAATGAGATATGTAAGGAAAGGGGGTTGGTGGGAAATAAGCAGAAGTCCTGATAAGATGAGAATGGGTGTATGGAAGAAATATAATCAATCAAATGTTATTATTTTTATTACAGAGGTATCACTGTTGCTATTTTATAATTATGAATAATAATGAACAAAATCCTCTGCCTGACGATCCAGGCAGCCGTCCTGGAAGCGGCATCCAGGAGGCGGTACGTTGAATACAGATTACAGGCAATGTACCTGATAATTACATACAACACAAATTACAGAGTATTCCATAAGGTGCCTTAACATATTGATACACAAGCATCCAAGCAATGGATAGAAGTACTGGAGCACATTTGAGATTACTGACAAGGTGCACATCCCACCACTAATGGACGAGGCTACTTTCAATGATAGGATTTAAGGGGAAATTTTATGTTGAGACTTTTCTCATATCTGAGCAGTAGGAGCTCAACCTCCGTATTGATTGTTATGGGTTTTATCTCCACTGTGCCCTTAACTTTACAATGACAATCGTCTGCTTTTATCAACCAACCCCTTTGAGCTCTCAAGACATTTCGAACCATGAATTCACCTGTCTCCTGAGCGTTTTCTTCTAGAACCTAATTCGACTAATAGATCTAGAGAACAGACCTGCCAGCGCCATGAATAAAGATTCAGAGCAGAAGCACCACCCCGCTCGAGATCTAGACGACGACAATGACGACGATTCCCTGTTCGAAGCGCTCGAGAATGAGGATGACTCGGCCTACCGTGCGCATCGCATCGAACAACTCAATGCCGAGTTTTCTGCGTCCAAAAACAACCGATCCTCTTTCCGCGATCCAGCAACCACCCTCGTTGAAGAAGGCCTCTACCCTACTTTGAAAGACGACCAAGCCGTGCTAGACTTCACAACACAGACCCATCGTTGTGTCATCCATTTTGCCCATCCGGATTTCGCCCGATGCGGGGTCATGGATGAGCATATCCGGACGTTGGCAACACGGCACCATGAGGTGCGCTTCGCGCGCGTCGATGTGCGCAATACCCCCTTCGTGGTGGACAAGCTGAGCATACGAGTCCTTCCTTGTGTAATTGGGTTCAAGGACGGAATTGGTGTCGAGCGTGTGGTGGGATTCGAAGGCCTTGGAGCCGGGGGCGGGACGGGGCTGACAGCTTCAATATCGCGACTCTAGAAAAGCGGCTGCTTTGGAAAGGGATCCTCGCGCAGACGAAGTTCAAAAATAGTGAGGACGATTCTGATATATCTGAGGGTGGCAGTGGCGACGAAGGGTCCAGCAGGAGACGGCCAGGTACTGGGCGACGGACTATTCGGAACGGAAATGGACGACACCATGGAGGCGATGATGACGATGACGACGACTGGGACTGAGATGGCAGTATGCACCGTTAAGCTCTTTTCTACACCAGCATGACCAAGTTGGTCTCTCTCACCTGAGGAGAACAGCCATAGCTCTGGCTTGCAAATCACAATCTGGTGTGCAAATGATCATAGACATCTTAAGTGTCCAAGGCATATGCAATTAGGCTAATACTGCCACTCATAATCATGTTTGCGTGCCTTGTACAGTGAGACCTAGTGGCCTTTTTGGGGGTTGGGGGGTGGGGGATGAAGGATGAAAGAATGGTGTCTTCCCCATCCTCTCGCAATGAGAAGTTAGGTTTTGCCATGTCAAACACATGATGGGAGACAGCAGCCGGAAAGGCCATTCATAAGCACATGAAACTTTCTTTCAGGAGCGTAAGTGAAGAGAATGGTCACTTAGGAAAACGAGTAGGAGGACCCTTCAATCATGAGAGACAAGCGGAAGGTCAATTGGCTAATATTGAACCTAATTGCATGATCATTAAAGTTACAGGCAATGTGGCTCAAGGCGAATGAGAAACAAGACCATCTTCGGAAAAAAAGAAATCGGAAAGCTCCATGGAAGTATGGAAATGCCGTATGAATAACAGAAAGAACAAGGAAAATTTATACAAGCGGTTCAAACTAGTCACACCACATCCACCTACTCGCTAGAGGAAGCTGTTGTTCTTCAACAGGTCAAGTCAATGAGAGCAAGGGAATAGAAACCAGCCGCAGAGCGTTGGCACAAGGGTGCTCGCAAGAAACAGAGGGAAAGAGCTCAGGAAAGCAGGCTTAGATGGCTATATTCTTCATTTCCCCCAAGACCTCAGCTTCCGAGACCGCGGTTGTCCCTTGGTTAGATTCACGTCTCTGCACCTTTTCTGGTTTGGGTGACTTCTGCTCGTCATGCTTGTCTGTGAGGTCCTGATTTTCCTTTCCAGAGATTTGGGGTGTAACCACTTCCATCAAATCATCGGTTTCAGGCTCCTTTCTATTTTCCTTGGAAACATCCTCGGGCATCTCAACTTCAGCGCTTGTATTCACAGGACTCGTCGCTTCTTCTGTGACACGAGCTAGAGGACTCGAAACGCCGAACTGCGTCTTAGGGCTCTGAGTAGAACCGCGGTTGGGAAATCGGTGAGGAGACCGGCCTCGTTCTTCACTAGGTGTTGGGCTTCCGTACGGGGATTCTTTCCCGGGTCGGCTGTTCGTGTTGAGTCCCAGTCCATTTGGCGCCTTGCGTCGAGGGGCTCTTCTGCCATATTTCTGATCTGTCCTCCAACGCAGAATCTCCAAATAGGGCGGCTCAACATTCTGACCCTTGAATTCCAACAATTTAAGCTCATTCGTCTCCTCATCTACGTTGACCTTACCACTGCAGATATCATCCGCGATCACAGCGAGGAAAGCAGCCCAAGAGCGAGCGACAACGTATTTGCAGTCGTAGTCACGACCGAAAATGATAACCTGACCCCATTTCCCAGCGGGGCCAGGGGCCAAGTCGATCGCAATATTGTTTCCACCCCAATCACGAGCAAGAGGGATCCAGGCAGGGTGTGCGTACGCCCTCTGTACAGCGCCTGGAGGCTGTGAGTCCTGGCGGTCCAAAAGGTCTTGTCTCCAGAGAGGATTCGGGCCTTGTGGAGGAGGCGCCGCCGAGGATGAGCTTGCTGTGGCTTTCGGGGGAGGATTCATCATGCTGGAGTTGCTCAAAAACTCTTCATTGACGGTCCTCCAGTTCTTCCATTCTTGAACAATTTCCTCGCAGTCTAGAAGCATACATCCGAAGATAACGCCTGTGGGGAGGCCAGGGCGCTCCTGACCGTCGTGGATCATGAGGGACTCCCGCACCTCCAAGGGCAGGCTGCAATCCAATTCATGCTCCAACTCATTTATATCGTTTTGAGTGCACCCCTCGCAAAGATTATCGTATAGCTCTTCGTAATTAATTTCCAGCCATCGCTCAATTTTCCGCCATGAATGGGCCACCGGGGGCGGAGGCGGAGCTCCGTCATGGAAGCTTTGCATCTGAATCTCCGGGGCACCATCTGCGCCACGTTCAGTTGATCGCCGCTTCTGGGAAGAAAGCGACCTCAATCCGGGGGAATAGGGACGGTTAGGAGAACCAACTCCGGTAGGGGAACCAGTCCACCCGTTAGAGTTGGAACTTGTAGACCCTTTCGGTTGGTCATCCTCAAATGTATCGGTGAGATCCGGTCGAGACTCAATGGCGCTCGTCGCAATAGACGTGAGGGGCTCATGGCGGCTTTGACTCAAAGGTACATGTCTTCCGGTCCGATATGGGGAGTCGTGGGACGCATGTCGATCATAGGAGGTCATCGTATGCCAAAAGGAGCGCCATGCTGAACCGAAGCTGCTCGAATAAAATCAGACAATTCGCTCAGTCTCTCTGACTTCGGATGTAATAATGTAGAATGAGAAGGGGTATCTTCTTTTCTTGATGCCTCAGAGTATTTCAGACAAGTGCGAAGTAGAACTTACGCGTTCGACATGTTGGGAACCTCCACAGCACTAACACCAAGCCGAGGGCGAATTGAATCTAGAAAGTTTGGGATAGTCAAGTGTGCCGAATGTAGGTCATTTGATTACTGACGCTGGAGGTCAGATAGGAGAGAGGTGATTTGGGACGGAGAAGATAGAGAAGAAAGGGCGAAACGACAAAGCCTTTTTCCCCCTCGAGCAAGGGGAAGCGGAGGGGATGCGGTAGAAGGCGCTTGATCCGTTAAGTTTCCTGATGAAATAAGGAGAGATAGGATGGCAAGTATGGAGTGGTATGGGCTGTGTGGAAGATAAGGAGAAGGGAATATCAACAAGAAGGAGGAACCAGAAGGAAGTATATGGATTCCAGACGAAAAGAGGTGATGCCGATGATTATTAGTAGTCGATCGACCTTTACGGACTTGGACAATTGAAGACAAGCCAGAACGCAGAAAGCGGTAGGAATCCTTCACCCGGAAGCAGACGAGCCCATGCGCCAACTGTTACTTTCGAAGACCAATAACAGAGGTAGCGATTTTGACGATCTGAACAGGAGACATGTAGATAAATTATTATCGCTAGGAGATAGGCAATATTTAGGTAGTCTACCAATGTCTCTGTAACTATGGTTGTACGGAGGAACACCGCGGTGAGTATGTATCCTTCACTTTTCCTTCCGCCGTTTTCAACGCTTCTTCGTCTCTCGAATGTCTACTTTTCTCCTCTTCAATGTCCTCCCCGGGGCCAACTTTAGCGCGTTCATGTGTGCGTGTTTGGACTGCGAATATTAGGACGAGCCGATCATCCATGATTCGATCATTCATTCGCCTTGAGCCCCTGGGACCGTGGAAACTCTCGTTTCCTTTTAGTTCGAGTAGACTGACCCATACATAACTAATAGTTAAACTACTAGTATACAGAGTAGATGATAGGTTCATAGATAATTAAAGGTTGGTTAGGTACGCACTATGCACAGGATTGACAGACATAATCTACTTAGACGATCCATATGCCACTGGCAACAAACAGCCGAAACCATCGACCGACACCATTCTGGATGGACCAGCATTCTCCTACCCCCAACGCCTTCCGCTAATAGAACAGATAGTACACCCAACGCCCACAATTGCGGCGATAAATATCGGGTTCTTTTGGTTAACTAGGCCGGCTGCAAATGGCGTAGAAAATCAGACGTGAGCCTTAAGAGTCAAGACCTGGATCTCTTGGTCCATTGCAAGTCTAACCAAAGTTACAGAGAACCGTTTCTTAAGCCGGTGGCGTTTTAGCGAAATAATCATCGACAGGCAATTTTAAATGGAGTAGATAGATGCTCATCACTTCATATTGGCCTCTCTATAATCCTTGGTTCCCTCGGGCGGCTGACTCGGACACTTGATTGTCCCTTTGATGAATCTTCAAACATTTACTACTAGGATATTAAGTATTCGCCATGCCTTGGACTCGTAAGATCTGTCTCTCAACACCAATCCAACCCGTCGTTTTCAGAAGGGAGCGAATACAATACCAAACCAGTGGACCCATGAAACTCAACAAGTGGCATCTATTATTAGGTAACCACCAGGGCGGGGAACGAATGGCACTCGACCTTAGGTATGGAGGCTACCTAGGTACCTACGGTAGGGACCTTCTATGGGGGCTTCCATACAGGTTCTGGACGCCAACACCACGGTATACTTAGGTACCTTAATTCTTATGATGAGGTGTATTTACTCCGTATCTACTATTACAAACGGAATACACCGAGCGTCTAGCTAGAACAAGTTACCTGAGGTACACAAGAAACAGAACTCCTTTAAGAGTACGTAGCGCGCATTGTAGATGATATACCCCCATTGACTTGATCCTGGGCAGGGATCCCCCATTCCTACACTACTCCTGTACCTACTATGTAGCGCTGTATTAGCGGCAACTCTACTCTATACAAATGATGGCTACCACAATCACAGGCCAAGAGTGCCCAAGCGGGTGCGGAGAAGGATGTGCATGACTGAGCATGCATCTCCGAGACGAAGATTGAATTTCTTTGCGAAAACTGCGTATAGTGATCGACATGACGGAAGAGTGACTCGAAGCCATCAAGCTCAAATAGCCCAAGGACTGAGAATACACAGAACAGCTAGTCAAATAACGGACTTGTGGCACCACAAATCCACCATTGTAGATTCGATCTCGAAGCAAATGCTAATGGCCTCTCACAGCCAGTCTAACCGGAAATGACAAGAGGTAAAGCGAAGATATTGTAATTTGGAAGGGTAAAGCGAGCAAAGTTGAGACTGTGAGACTTCATGGCGCCAGCTGCACACGTTATGCACACGTTAGAGAGACCAAGGGGCAAACGAATTCATGAAATTCAAGGCAGAGATGGACCGTCCCAAACAAGGAACCTAGAAAACCCTCAAAGGCAACCGGACTCCGGGTTCGATGCAATAGAGGGTATATAGACGCCCCACGAAAGGACCCATAAACCCCGCCATTCAAGAGAGCAACAGCTGATACCAAAAGAAAATTGCAGAGATAACTCCATTAGATCCCATAACGAGAAGAACACCAGTGAAACTTGGTCATTGGAAAGAGAAGCAGAAAACAAGAAAGAAGACTGAGAAAAGAAGGGAACAAAAACAAGCAATAGTGAGAAATCAAATAGAACGTAGGACGCAAAGACGCGGTACAGTCCCCGCTGGAATCAATATCGTTCATCATGTGTTCAATCGATCAATCATGAAAACAAAGAAAGTCCTCTCCCGGGTGTATCGTGCAGTTATATCGTCTTAAACCCGCGCGCCAAATCCAACATGTAATGGAGAAGTCCGAGCCAAACTCCAACGTCAAGCGAACGAGCTCTGAATACCGTTCGACGGAAAGCTGGGATTAGCATCGAGTTTCAGAATTCTCCTCAAATCATCTTCCATCTTCTTTGTATCAAGAGGAGGAGCGGAAGTGTCCGCCGGTATTGCCCCAGACTTGAAGGACTGGTGATGTGGTGGAGCGTAACAGGCTGGCTGCTGCGCATGGGGTTGAGAGAATTTCGATGACTCATAGGTCTCAAACGGCGAGGAGCTTATCGGATTCATAGGATTCGGTGGAAAGATTCCTTTCTTCGTTGTCGAACTCTGAGGTTGTTGGACACTGCTGGAATAATAAAAAGGGGATTGTAGTCCACTCTCGAAAGTTGACCGGTTCTGTCCAGGCGGAATGTCCCTAAACAGGGTCGCTGGCGGACCCGAACTTGTCCTCATAGGAGTCGCGTAATGAGGTACATTAGGGCTGAGATTTGGTCGCGTAGTGTGACCAATGACTTGATTATGGTTTAGAATAGACGCAGTTGAGGGCCTCTGGGGTCGTGGATTCAGCAACAGATCCTTGAGAGCTTCAGTCTTCGCTCTTCGTTCCTCCTCGTGGAGCTCCGGTGTCGGAGAAGAGGGCGAGCTCGAAGATCGCAACGCATTCATGCGATCTTTGTAGGACGTGGCGAAAGAAGGCCCGATTTGAGAGTTCCGTAGGCCTGAATTTTCCATCTCTAAAGGAAAATTACCCGCGGAGGCTGTGTTTTTACAGTCGGGTATCTTGTGACGTTGAACTTTAGAATCTGTTTGCGGAGACCGAGTACCAATATTGGCTTCGGGACTCCGCTGAAGCTGAGAGTTTCTGGCTTCAACAGCAGCTTTGAATAAGAAGTCAAGAGGCGTCGACTGTGACTTTTCCGACTGAGGTTGAAAACGTGGCCGCGGCTTTGACGGTGTAGTGTCCAGGTCGAGACCAGCTTCGAGATGGTCCCCGTCGATTTCTCGTGTGGGGTCCGATTCTGGCACAGACTTCGAGAAAAAGCTCGGAATTGGGAGCGCTGAAGGAGCAGGCGACGCATGGAATGTGGGGCCCGCATAATGAGGGCTGTCTTTGACTTGGGGAGTACTGCTGGCTGGATGCGAGGATGTGTGTCGGTTTCCGTTGTTGTGCGCTGGCGAGGGTTTAGGGGCGTCGCGTGGCTTTCTGTTTGAGCGGGGATTCTTTCTCTTAGATGGATTATGAAGATTAATAGATGTATCCGTAACTGTCTCTCCAGGACTCGAGTTCCTCGGTGGCGATGACGGAGGGGTAGTGAGCAAAGCCACCTTCTGGTTAGAAGGGGTGGTTGTTTTCTTCGGGTTGCGCCGGTTGCTCCGAGATCCTTTGGGCGTCGGAGGAGTAGGAGATGTACTCGACATTGCGACTAGATGGCTTAATAAATAGGCAGCCTTTGGAAATTCGTGGAAGAACTTGAAGGGGAACTGATCAATAAAGAGCGAGGTCACGGATAAGAATAACAGCAATCACGGATAACGCCGCGTCACCGTGATACTGCCCAGCAGTCGATATCAGATACTTCAACGCTAGAAAAACACAGCAAGAGATGACGAAATTGATTTCAGAACGTCCAGGGAAATGCAATGGCCAAAGCTGTCCGGTCAAGGAAAAGAGGGCAAGCTGAGCACAAATTAAAGCAGGATGGTCTATCAGCCGAGCGAGTTTAGAGCGTCGCAATGGAAGTGACAGGTCAAAACACTTGAGCAGGCGATAGATCTAGATGGGCGAACGCAGGGAGAGAATGGACACAGGGTAGAGACGCATGTTTGTGGCTGTAGACATTTGAAGTTGGAGTAAACTGGCAAGTGAACGAAACGAACCTTGGGAAGGGCGGGAAGTAGTCGGCTGGGAGGAGTCAGGGAACTCTAAGTGGGGATCTGCGATGACTAACAGTGCCCAAGCAAACATTAACTAAGTGTGGTCAGGTTATGGAGTAGACTCTGCGCCACTTCGGCCTCATTTGGTTCATGCAAACACAATCAAACAAGCAGTTTCATCTGTCGTGAGGCTTTCAATACAGCCGCTCCATCTCTTATCAACAGAGGCACGAGTGCACAAGATCAGATCATCTCTTTCTCGTACTACAGCAAGTGGTATGTACCCAACTCCTCAGAGGACCTCTTATCAGTTCTATACTCCTAGTAGAGAGGTATATCGCCAGAAAACTTACGTCAGTACCTAGACTTCACCGCAACATCCGATAATACCCTGCCATCACTCCCAACTACGTAATTCGAGATTATTGGCCCTTCCTTTGACCCTTTCACAAAACTGCAGTGAGCCTCGGCATCTCCTAGAACGTCTCTCTAGATAGCTAGGGTAAGGAAGATATATCACGATGGCGGATGTGGAGATGAAGGAGGCAACCGCGGGGACTCAGCCAAGGGCAAAAGCGTGTCGAAGAGCTCAGAAGGGGCTAGTGACGGCAAGAAGAAGTTCGAGGTCAAAAAGGTACGACTGAATCGATGCATACTTGTCATTTTCGAGAAAAGGCTGTTCTAATACACGATTGACGCAGTGGAATGCCGTCGCTTTGTGGGCCTGGGATATCGTCGTCGACAACTGTGCAATCTGCCGCAATCACATCATGGATTTATGTATGTCTTTCGCACCTTTATTTTTGTTTGGTGGATGCTCATCTGCTTCGCACAGGTATTGAGTGTCAGGCGAATCAAGGTTCATCAACAACTGAGGAGTGCACAGTAGCCTGGGGAATTTGCAACGTAGGTTTCGCTTTAGCGACTGCTTTTCTTCATCTGGGGCTAACAAATGTTTTGCCTCAGCATGCATTCCACTTCCACTGCATATCTCGCTGGCTCAAAACCCGACAAGTTTGTCCGTTGGATAACAGAGACTGGGAATTCCAGAAGTACGGCAGGTAGATTAAAGATACGGGGATTTACGCAAGTCTCAGTTTGTGACTGCTCCTTTTGATCTCGCATAACCTAGAATACGGACTCTATCGATCGTTCTGGAATTTGAATTGGCTGGGGAAGGACAGTTCGATGGCGGGAAGCCAACCGGGTTGGATGGCGTTCACGGTTTTTCATCAAACGTTGCTTGGCCAGAGGCTTTGATGCGCACATTCAAACTCGTCACGATCGCAAAGATAAGATTGGTTTCATAAGGTACTCGATTGGTCGGTCAAGGGGATTATTAGGAGATTATGCAACTTTGACACCGTCAACCATGATGCCTGGGCCACCCGCACTCCCTGTCGTGGGAACAAGCCATTTCTCAGGATGCTTGTTGTACATAGGCCAAGGAGGGATAACAGCCAATGCCGTCACTAATGTGCCCGCCAAACCAGTCCAGAGCGTTAAATGTATATCTTCGTAGATGTATCCGATGAGGAAAGCAGCGACCTTTAGGAACGAGGAGAGCTTGTAAGTAAACGAACACATGTGAACATGGGGATGTAAGGAGAGAGCGGTTATATTGATCTTGAATCTGTACTTACTCCTGAAATGATCAAAAGAGCTGTAGAAAGCAGTTCGGCGATGCGCTGGCCATGGAAGTCCTAAGTCACCATCAAGTTGCCAGGTTAGCTTCTCACCCCAGTGGCTAAACAAGACTAATTTAAGGACGAGTGCGTCCAGGAGGCAACAAACAATCTGGCCTTCGAAAGCATCCTGAATAGGCGCAAGAATATCATCCATAACGAAGATATTTCAGTAACGACTATTATCTGGTTGTTCAATACTCAATATCGGTTTTTGGGCTGGGGATGAAGCTCCAATAAGGGTAGAGTTGTCGATCGTCCGCAAGGCGGAGCGGATCAAGACTGGCCCGCCTGGGGTTGGCTTGACCGCCTTTGGATAGGTACAGCTAAGCCGGTAATGCCTGAGAGGGGTTGGATAGGTATATGCTCAGATGTGCTCAGATATATATGCTCTGTCTTTTTTTTTCCTTCTTCTTTTTAAACACCAAGTCACTTGTACATGCTAAGGCAGAGTCCTCGACAAACAATTTCAGAAGTACTAAAATTCTCATTTGTGATGAGACCGGAGCTGGGGTAGGTAAACCCTCCCGGGCTCGGATATTGGCCTGCCCATGACGCATGTAATGGGTCGAGCGACGCCGCACAAGGGCAGGAAGTTAGGCCAACTTAGACATCAACAGTCTCGAAAATATATACAAAACCATGGAACATCTCAAAGAGAAAGATGCCACCAGTCGTCTAGTAAACTCCTCTCTTGCTACTTTGTCGTAGATATATTGAGTGTACGAAGCCTCAACGGTGTACTGTGGCGCCGTCTTGGGCAGGCTCCAGTAATTTCCACTGGCAGCAGATGTTGTTGGAAGCAAAGTGGGACATGATGCGGTCCGCGATTTCTTCGAATCTGTCGGTGGCTAGAGCCAAAATGGTAGGTCCTGCACCGGATAGACAAATTCCAAGCAGGCCCGGCTGGCTAATTGGGTTCATGGACTGAAGAATCTCCGTCAAGCCTGGGATAAGTGTCTTCCGGTATGGCTGATGGACCTTGTCCTGCATGGCCAGGTAAATCATATCTGGGTCTGGCGGAGAGCTGCCCAGTGCTGCGGGAAGCAATGCAGCGCGTTGTAAATTGAAAACCTAGCGAAGACGATGCGAATTAGACCGACGAGAAGCGCATCGCCAACGATTCGTCATGCGGATGATTGAGATGGGTGGGACTTACGACGTCTGCTCTCGTGTACGTGGTGGGTAGGACGTTTCGGGCATTGGCAGTGGGCACCACGAAGTCAGGGATAATTGCGATGGCCTTGATTTCCTTGGCCCATTGAAACTTTCGATAATGGCCGATGCCCAGAGGAGGCTCGGGGGGCCTCCTGCCAGTGTCAATGCCACCTGCCGGGGCAGGGAGAACTTCACTGAGCGGGATTTCCTTGCGGGCTACATCCTCAGGTTTCAGCTCATTCAAATAGGTACCGACGAAGCCTCCAAAGAGTGAGGCAGCGACATTGTCCGGGTGCCTCTCTAAAGAAGAAAGATAACCATCAGTAAGAAGACCAAATATGATATGTATGATGTGCAACTCAAGCCATATTCAACCCATGTGGGCAACAAAGCCAGGTTTACCTACCAATCATCAAGCAATAATCCAGTAGCCTGTCCTTGCTCAACCCGAGACGACCTACTTCATTTCCCAACATCACGCCAGCAACCACCGCTGTGCCTGACGAACCAAGACCCCGACCCAGAGGAATGGGATTTACAATATGGACTCGGGTCTCAACAGGAAATGCCCTTTGGTCATGGCATCTAAGTACGTACAGAGCTACACGGGTGATCAGGTTAACCTCAGGGTCCAGGCTAATCTTCTCAGTACTCTTGCTCTGATCTTCATACGTAATCACACAATTCAAAGGGTGCTCGGACGATGATTTGGAAGAGTCAATGGTGACATGGAGTTCGAGGTGAAGAGACAATGCTAGGCCGATGACATCGAACCCAGGGCCGATATTGGCCGATGAACAGGGCGTTCTGATAATAAAGGAGACAGACATTGCAGAATCAGGGACGTCAAATATGGCCAGATCAACAGTCTGATTGGAAAGGCATGAAAGAAAGACAGGAGCGTGAAAGGGCAAATAATTGGATTAAATGAACAATTTGGCTGGTATCTCTCGATACTGAGCAGCAATTATAGTTGAACCTACCTAGGGAGGAGTGACTCTTTCGATTCTTGGCACACATCGCAGGGGAAAAAAAAAAAGAAAAAACCAGCCGACGTCGGGGCTGGATGGAAGGCTATTTAGTACCTCTCCACCTCTTATGGCCTACAGTATTATCATTATTGGCCGGCAAAAAACAAAAGCCTGATAATAGCAGAAAGCACTTATAAGATTCTTAATAGCTTTCTGTATGAGAGTGCATAGTTATAATGATTATGACTGTACCTCTTGAACTTAAGCTATTTGATGTTATTTTCCGGAAATTATTATTCATCATGATGGTTATGCATAACACTACATATCATTTTCCCTTGTTCCATACCTTATCTATCTACCTCGCCTATGTAGACGGTTTTCAGAAATGCAGCGAGCCTGAACTGCTCATCTAGTGATTGATGTTTTAACGCTACTGCTAAGGGGATACCTTTCAAATATCAGCCGTATGACACGATCATGGTGGTATTCTGTAGATGTATGGAGTAGTATTCTGTATTCTGCACAGTACATCAACAACGATGACACGGATAGTAAATCTTAGTATTTATACTAACTGCAGTTGTGACATTAGAATAAGACGGGCTGCTGCTCGCCGCCATATTAATTTACTATGTTATTAGAAGCGTCGAAGATATCTTAAGTTTTTCTACCTTCCACGTGTACCGGTACGACTCATGATTCTAGATTCGCCCCCGACTACTTGATTCTGGCATAGATAGTCTATCTATGCCATTCAATTTTACAGAGAACCTTGTACAGGAAAATTTCTCCTTTGGTGATAGAATTTTCACGTAGGACCAGGAGTATGTCCCTAAACGGTAGGCGGTTGGCAGGTAGTCTTCATACCTATTATCCTCTGTAGAGAGGTAGGTACATGGCTGTAGGAACGGGGTAACTGCTGCTTATTCCTAGGGGATTTGTTTATTATCACTGACATTTACCTCTACTTAGTCATTCTTTTGGATGAAGGTAATTGGGAGTTCTCGCAGAAAAAGAAAAGAAAAGATAAATGCTGCTCAATGTTGAGTATCTACGTACCACTACGGAGTATTTCTTAGACAACCGAATGTCACATCCAGTGGATAAAGGTCAGTTACAATGGAACGGATGCGCTGTAATGCTCCCGTTATGGCTCCATACACTTAGCTTTTTGCCCCTCTTTTTTTCACTATTTTTTCCCTCCTTTCCCCATTATCAGTGACCTTAGTGTGGTTACCTTTCCTTAAAAACCATCGTCCAGTCTTCCTGTCTTTCCATCTCGAGGACTACTCATTTCAACCCACCTGGGTGTACACCCTTTCCAACTATTTGTCCTATTTATTGCATTTGATTGGATTGACTTTGATCCTGTCTCAGCGTGCAGATCGGTTGTTCAGCCGTTCAGCATCTCTTGGTGTGGACTGAACCTATCAGTTTTTATTCTCTTGGAAAAAGCCCTCCGCATCACACCACTCTGCTCATCAACCCATCGCTGGGTTTGAAAATTCTTGCATCATCGTCTCTTTTTTGATTTGCACATCTATCGCTTTTACTCGATTGCTAGTTTTTGTTCTTGGCTGGCTTTTTGTTGACTCTTACGAGCTATATTTCACTCTTGTTCCATCGGGATTCTTGCATTAACGTCATCGACAAAAGGATCTGCGGTGTATCTCGACGAACCCTCTTTAAAGAGTCCACTTGTCGACACAACACCCTCTATTATCGCAATCCTGGAGCGACAAGGCTCCTACCCTCGTTACACAGTCAAGTTGGCGGGGACTCGCTGCAACCGGACCTCTTTCCTCCACCCTCTTTTGGGCCCCAAGTTCAGGGTCTTCTGCGGGGGCGACACCAGACCCCCATAACTAGGCTTACATAAAGCAAATTCTCAATTTTGGCACAAACAGGTACATCGGTAATGCCAGGCCCTCTAGAGGGGTCTGTCTAATGGATGGAGGAGCACTATTTTCCGGAGTGCCTTCATAATCTGTCGTTCTTCCTCGCTTGAACGTCAAGAAACGAATCAATCACCTTCACGAAGCCCTCACACGTCCGCTTTTCCTAACGTCATCGGTCGATCAAAATTCTTAATAACTGTTCTTGCGACGAAGTCAAACCAGCAATAATGTCTGAATCACCCAAGTCCGAGAAGTACATGTGCCTGACTCGGTTCAGCACGCCAGTTCCCGAATTAGATGATCATCGATTTCAACTCGATTCTGCACCTCGAATCGAGGCTACCGCTGATGTCTCTCTCAGCCGGCAAAACACTTCTCAGCATGCCTACCCTCAAGAGACGCCTCAGCGTCCCGATTTGCTCTCAATTCAAGATGCGCTTCGGGAAGCGGGGTCGCTTTCCCGGGATTTCGAGCAAGCTATACTGGATGATGATCGATCAGGCAAAGATGTCAATACCTTGGGCCGTCGTTTCTCCGTTGATCCAACCGGTAATGTCCGCCATGGCCGTACGTGGAGCCGAACCCACCAGGAACTTGCGAATATGTCACGGGAATCATCTCCCTCAGCTAGGTCATCGTCGCCTCCGAATTCGGTTGAAGCCTTCGCAGACCCCCGCCGCCGCGAGCGTGCGAATACACTGGAGAGCCATGCGGCCCCAGATCTCGAGGCCATTCTGCAGCGCACAGTGTCCGGCGGTACTCATCCCCGCCGTCCGACCTTTAGTAACGCAAGTGCTATCAGACCGCAACCAGGCGATATCCAGCTAGAACCAAGCGACGAGACTTGCGTGCCGACTTATGAGCAACCTGGCAGGATCCCGGTGATCGACTACGAGGAATTGGAGGAATTTGTGGCTCTGAGCCGGCAAATGAAGCCCTCGACTACTCGGCGTAAGCAGAGTCTAAGCTCTCAAAGTCGGGGACCTCGCGTTTTCTATGATCTGCGCCCAGGGCTTCGGAAGTCTGATGTTGAAGGCGAGAAGCGTTCTTCGAGTGCTGATCGCTCTTCTTCGGACCTTATGGACGCGGATTTGAAGACAGCCGATAAGGTCTATGCGAACGTCGTGGATGAAAAGGACATAGTGGAAAAGCTTCAGAATGAGAACGAGCCGACCCGCTTCGGCTTTTTCTCATCCGAGTCCCAGAGCACTGTGCATGCGGCGGAGCTGGGGGACCTGGTGCTCCCTGGTGATACTTTCCGGGATCTCTTTCAACTTGGCCCGGAGGGAGGTGTGTGGTGGTTGGACGTACTCAATCCAACGGAGGAGGAAGTTGCCGCACTCTCGCGGGCCTTTTCCATCCATCCACTGACAACGGAAGATATCTTGACTCAAGAAGCCCGTGAAAAGGTTGAGCTTTTCAAGCAATATTACTTTGTCTGCTTCCGGACATTCTATCAGCTCGACAAGACAGACGAACGCTTCATGGAGCCCGTCAACTTTTACATGGTTGTTTTCCGCGATGGTGTCCTCTCATTCTCATTCACCGAGAATCCACACGCGGCAAATGTCAGGAAGAGAATTGGGAAGCTCCGTGATTATGTGTCCCTCAGTAGTGACTGGATCTGTTATGCCATGATGTAAGTCGCAAGGGCGTGATTCCTAATGAGACCATCTGTTCTAACGTTGGCACAGTGACGACATTGTTGATAGTTTTGGGCCTGTCATCCGAGAGATTGAGATCGAATCTGAGGCAATTGAGGACCTCGTTTTCATCGCGCGCGTCGACGATTTTGAATCCTTCTTACCACGGATCGGTGGCCTTCGTAAGAAGGTCATGAGCTTGATGCGCCTTCTAGGTGGCAAAGCAGATGTCATTCGTGGTTTCTCCAAGCGTTGCAACGAGCAGTACTCCGTCACTCCGCGTGGAGATATTGGCCTGTACTTAGGTGACATCCAAGATCACGTGGTGACCATGATGTCAAACTTGGCCCACTTCGAGAAGATGCTCAGCCGCTCACATACCAACTATCTTGCGCAGCTCAATGTCACTAACCTGGTGCTGGGCAATCATGTCAATAAAGTCCTGAGCAAGGTGACGCTGATTGCTACCATGCTGGTACCGATGAATCTGATCTGTGGTCTGTTCGGAATGAATGTCCGAGTTCCTGGTGAAGGGCAGGAAGGCCTGGGATGGTTCTTTGGCATTGTGGGGGTCATTGCAGCTGTTATTGTCCTCAGTGGCATAGCTGCTCGGTATTACAAGCTTGTTTAGAGCAGTGTGTATAGTTTTTAGTTGCCGTTTATGTGTCCTATAATAACAAAGTATATACGGTTTTCGCTTATAATGCATTGGACTACCTGTCTTCCTTGAAATCTACTACTGTAATTAAAAAACTACCACCCGACTGCGCACGTTGGGCTTTGCATGACAGGAGATGATATGATCATATGGAGACTCGATGACTGAAGAAAGTAGAGGAGTGGCTGTGCCGTTTTGGTGGCGCAGATTCCTTCGAAGTCCTGAACTATCAACAGAGGAGTGCCGCTTGTCCAGATCAGAATGTATTGAGACCGAGCTGGTTCTCTTGCTTCGGCAACTCCCGCCACGAACTCCCCGCGAATTGTTTCCATAGCATTGCTTCTCGCAGGTGTCCCGCCATGAGAGAAAAGCTGTTGCCTTATCTCCTGTTGATTCTGTAATTTTCGAGCCTGAGGTGGATATCGTCCTTCGGAGCTCAGTCGGTTGATGCAACTATCCATGCGGACTGATTTTTCATCTATGCATTACCTTTCAGCTGCATATTTCTGCGCCTTAATATTATTATACGGCCCTTTCTTTCTCGTCCAGCCGTGCCTTGCTCTTGACCCGCTCTCTGATTCCGCCCTCTTGATCTCCAGCAACGACACGAATGCGGTTCTAAACGACATCGCAGAACAATTCATATTCCCCCATGGATCATACAGCGGACTTGAGGTTCAGGATACCGTGAGCGAAAATGGAGAAACTCGAGGTCTCGACCTTGTTCGCCGGGTTCCGCCTGGCGTATCATCTCTAGGGAACAACCAGTTCAAGACCAGCGGTATCAAGCTCGGAGAGACTCAATGGTGGTATTTTCCCAAGGAGTCCGTGAACGGCAAGAAATCTAACGTCACATCCGGGCTCCCTGAGAGGATTTCTGTTGACGGGACAAGCCAGCAAACTGTCAGTTCGGACGAACTTCGGAAGCGCGACGGAGACATCGTGAAGCGCTCGACCTCCGTATATCTCTCTCTGACGATGTGCTCAAAGCCCGAGATCAACAATACCAATGGCACTATTCCTGACTCTATCCCATCATTACCGGAATTGAATTTGTACGTTTCTACCTCGGAGTCGCTCCAAAAACCGGGCCCGGGACAAGATAGCTCAAAGCAGGAAGTGTTCACGGCCGATGAGGGCTATGTGGGAGCTTCTGTGCAGGCAGACGGGGATGTCTTCATAGGCGTCGCAGTGCAGAATTCGACGGCGTACTCGGGGGCTACACATATGAGATTGCTGCCTCAATCGACGCTTACTTTCACAGCGTTGTGGACGAGCCATTTTTACATTTTGTCGACGCGGACATCCATGCTGCACTCTTGACAACAGACAATTTGACCCTTTCAGAAGAGGGGAGCGAGAATTATCAGCAGTGGATGAATCTAACACCGCCATTCACGATGTTTGCTCATAATGTGAATGATACGGTAATCTCCGGTCTTCAACGGTCATACTGTGCTCTTGAGCAATTAGCCCAGATTAGAGAAGGTGACCACGGCGTCGAAGGTGGGATGACAAACCGTGGTCTGGGCAAGAAACCTAAAGAGCAGTTCTACATCACCGGTCTCAACCGGACTTCCAATTACTCTGGAATTCTCGCAATGGATGGAAACTCAACCAACTCAGGGAACGGGATCGTTGGCGGAGGAGGGAGGGTCTGGAAACCCATGTACTTTGCAACCAAGTCAGGTGAGCAAGCCAACAGGCCGTGCTCTTCTTTGGTATCGAACGAAGGTGCTGACCTGGACCAGATGACAACTGTGCCGTCCTTTTCAACCTGACGTTCTGCTCCGAAGTTGCGTACGCAGTCCCATCAAACCCTGATCTTGGGATCGCACAACTTGGTGCGAAATACGACAAATATGCCGAGTCTCTGTACAAAAACTTTTCCTATTCCCTGGATCAGATCCAATGCAACGCAACCAACGAAACCAGCTTCTCTTTGGCTGTGAGTTGCAACGACTGTGCGGATGCTTACAAGCAATGGCTTTGTGCAGTGACCATCCCCCGTTGCGCCGACTTCTCGAGCAACGGCCTGTTTCTCCAGGTCCGAAATGCGGGCCAACAATTCATCAACGGCAGCTCTCTCAGCCCCACCGACCCCAGGCGCAGGGATCCTGCGCAGAACAAGTCGCGCAATTCCATGATAGACGATCAGATCCGCCCGGGCCCTTACAAGGAGATCTTGCCGTGCCAGGACATCTGCTATAGCTTGGTGAAGCGCTGTCCCGCCGCCCTTGGGTTCAGTTGTCCCCAGGATACGCGACTCAATTCTGCCTACGGCCAGCGCGGTTCGAGCAGCGAGATCACCTGCAGCTATCCGGGGGCAGCGTATGACTTGAACGCCGGACGGACCCTCCGCGAGCCTCTGGGGTGGCTTTTACTTGCAACGGGGAGCTTCTGGTTTTCTTTCTGGGCTCTCAGAGTGGACGCTTAGGTGCGTTCTCTTTTTCAGCATTCTTCCCCTTGGAGCGAATTGCAGCGCAGAATAATCATGTCTTTGATCCTGGTTTCGATGATACCCTCCCTGGCTTAAGATATATTTGTTTGCTATCTGTTGTTGAAAGTTTACCATTGTATAGCTAGTTGAATTGCATTTTCTACATAATCCCATGGACTTTAGCTACCAAGAAGGTGGTACAAGCTGTGACATGTTTGCAACGGGACATGGCCCGTCCGCACGAGTGCATAGCAACCTTTCGGAGATTGTGATAATTTTTATATCATGATCAAGAGAAGGGCATCTGCCCTGTGAAATTTAGAATAACTGAATACCCGCCTCCCAATGCAACCCACCAGCAACGCCAAACATCCCAATTATCGGAGGAGAAATCTATCAATCATAATGTAATGGCCCAAGGGAAGAGAAAAACAGATCTTGTAGGCTCGTAGGAAAAGGTCAACAATCATTTAGCTTTCCTCGGAGTCGGGGTCCACAAATTCCTCAGACTCGAGGAGCTTGCTGTCGGTCGAGGTGTGCTTCCAACCTGTTGCAGTAGCTTCTGCGCCGCAGGGGTCAGAGCCTTGCCCTGTCCGCTGGACGCAGCAGCCGCAGGGGTACGTAGCCCAAAATCCAACCGAGGGCTGCTCGCGAAACGCGGCGTTACAGGCGTTCTACCCTCGCGCGCCGCCTTCTCAGCGCGTTTCGTTCTTGCTACCCGGTCGACCATGCGGTGGTGCAGTTCTTCGCGTTTGCGGTTCTCCCTGATCGAGAACGGGTTGGGGGTAGAGTCGCTCGCCCCGAGCAGGCGAAGATCGTCACCTGACAAGGATGCCAGCTCTGAGGTTTCCGCGGCAGCATGGTCGTAGTCCGGTTCGGGCTCGTCCTCGTCGACAAAAGCATATCCGTTAACCCGTGGCGTCTCTCCCCCGCCATATCCCGCTTCGGATTCGGTGAGTCGGGGCTGGCCAGCAATGGCATCTTTGATGGCGGATATCGATGGCGAGGGAGGGACGCCGTTGCCCTCATGCACACTTGGCTCCGGTAGCCTGGTATTCTCGTGCACCACTCGCTTAGGCCACGCGCGCGAAAGCGCTTCAGCTTTTTGTGAGAGGGTCTCGTGTGTATCCTCTATCGAAGACGGCATAAACATGAGCGAGTTCTCCGGTCTGGACTTCCAAGTATCCGGCTTTGCGGGCCGGGAGTCCAAATCCGTCTTGATCGCTAGCTGTCGCTCAGTACTGGCCTCCTGTGCTGCGATGCGTTTCGCTTCCCGTTGTCGGTGGGCAATCTGCCGAGCCGTAGGAATCTTGTTTCCACTCCAGAGCCAGGCGTACTTCTCCTGGCGCTTGGCATTCTGTTTGTCCAGCAGTTTATTGAACGACTCGTTGTCTTCGCTGGTGTATTTGGCCTGGAATGCCATGAGCCCCAGATTGGACACGTCTGGGATATCTTTTAGAGCGGACTCAGACATTGCAGTCGTGGTCGTTGAGATCACCGACCTCGGCGTATCTCCTCGCCAGCCGGTCGGGGTGTCATGCGGCCGTTCTGTACCATGGAGGCGCGGAACGGTGCGAGCTCTGCCGGGAGTCTTTAACAAATCTGTGAGTTTCTTTTTCGAACTCGTAATCCATGCTTTGTCCTTCGATTCCAGCGCGTCTAGGTACTCCTGCTTCACTTGTTCCTCCAGCAGTCCGGGAAAGTAGTCACGAGCAATAATCTCCGATAAGGCATTTGTGTAGACATCTTCGTCCAGAACCGTGGCTGGCCGTTTGATGCGCTTCGGTGGAGGAGGAGGGGGCATAAGGCTTTGTTCGCTTTGACGTTTGGTCAACGCTTGCGATGGAGTGGTGGCCATGTTGAACGACTTCGAAGGGTGGGGGTTGCGAGGACGGAAAGTCAAGAAAAAGAGCCTGTTCAGATGAGTGGTTGACCAAATGAGAGTTGCATGCTGATAGTCAGTGACCGCATGATTTCCTTGTGCGTCCTTCCTGCCTTCCTTCCCCTCTTCCTTTCTTCCTGGGTTTCTTTCTGCCTTTCTTTCGAGGAAAAGTGGAAGGTTGAGCGGGTCTGGATTCCTGGAGGTCGATAAGACCGCGGAAGTGGCGTCTGGTGGATAACGACGTCACGTTATTTGGGCCGATAGTTTACCACCTACAATTGTACCTATTCGATACCTTCAATGGACAGCAAATCTTCTGTACAGAACAATCAGATGGACCTGACAGCATTGCAGATAATGCCTAGAATTCATTTCTTCTTTTGCTTCTCGCCAAAATCAAAACAGGAAAGCGGGCCGATCCATGCCTCTATGTGTACACAGCTGTGTCCAAGATTTGACAAGAGACGTCAACAGGACAAAAAAGATACCAACCAGAAGATCATAACAAGGAAAAGAGAGCAAAAAGGAAAAGGAAAAACATAGGCAGGAATGAATGTAGTCTGCCTTGCAAAGTACCCTATCCCATCCACCGCATTTTTCCAACCGTCCGTGCCAGATAAACACCCAGACATCTCTTCGTTTTCCCCTCCAAAACAGTCGCTGAGAAATGCAAATCGAATCTAAATCACTGACGCACACAACACCAAGAGTGCAAGGTTGAACGAAGGTATGTAGATAATCACCAAAATTCAAGTTATATAAAGGCTTGACCCACAACAGGATGCTAACAACAAGGAAAAGAGAATCGTCAAGTCGTGGAAGTGGTCTATGGAGCGATTGGTCGGTTTGAAAGGAGTAAAAAAGGAAAACAGAAAAGATTGAACGGATGAAACAAGAGAGCGAAGTGACAGCACACTTCGTCAAGGTCGATCCATGCTTTTGGAGCAAAAGGCGCGGATAGCGAATTATCTGCAACAGTTTCAATTCGCTGCAGGGGTAGGGAAAAGGGAGTATGATGTTCTGCCTTTTCTTCGGTTCGGGCTCTTCAGTGGGATTGGAGGAAGTGGTGCTGAAGCATTACCCCTAGTAGCCCTGACGGTTCGTGGAACCTCTACCTCAGATGTTGATTTCGCTCTATCGTGAACCGAACCACTTGCCCGGGCCGGGTCCGCAGCCCCGGGGCTGGAGTTATTTTCAGATCGCGACATGATCTGCGTCTCAATCTCTCGTGCCAGACTCTTGGTCTGCCGGTGGTAGCAAGACACTTCCGTACGGCCTGCCGATGATGGCGCTGTGTAACCTGACTGCTCCGTGGAGGGCAAGTGCTCCATGGATGGCAGTTCCCGGCTGCTCGCCAGGCTATGCACCAGCTCTGGGACGCTGCCTGTCGAGACAGAGGAACGATGTTTGCGGACAATGGATGCGGCACGGGAAAGTATCAGGCTCTCCTGCGAGTTGCACTTGCTGATGGGAGAAAAGCTGCTTCGGGGAGACACCGGATGGTCCATAGCGTGAATTAGTCCCTGTGAGCAAAAGGAGAAATGCCGATCAGATTCCGCATCAGCCGCTAGGTACTCCTCGTACAGTGTGTCATGTGTCATCTGTTTTCCGATAGCAGATGGGAAGATTGATGAATTGACCGGCTGAAAATAATCTCCGTCGGTAGAGACGATTTCGCTCTCATACTCTGCGCTGGACGGAGTCACAGCTACTTGGGAGCTGAGTAACGAACGGGCTGGGCTGGGATCCAATTCCGGACTGGGTAAACGCGACGTGCTGAGCTGTGTAGGGTGAAGAAGCTCGGCGTCCTTGCCTTCGTTTGCTGGCCTCCCACAAGCTGCCCTGGGGTCATCATCGTTATCTGCCGGACGAGCCTCATCCAGCGAATTACCTGACCAGTCAAAGTCAAACGTTGATTCTGCCGCATGCTCGTAGCAATAATCGATATCAGCATCCCAAGACTCATAGATGGTTTCATAGGCAGGTTTGCGGTGAGCGGATGACCGCCGGCGAATTGGCCCTCCAACCGCTTGGTCGGCAGCATCCTGGAACAGACGATACTGTGGAAGAGTAGGAGAGCCGAGCGCCACGGAAAACTTTCTGGAGAGCTCCTCAGCAACGCAGATGGATAGTCGAGACTTGCGACGCTGAACAGACGGGATTGGCACCTCGGCTGACGGGTCTATCTGAGATGAGGATGGAGGCATTGCTGTGTCGGCATTCGCCTCGGGGCTATCATGCCAGTGAGTGATGCCCTGCTCCTCCGGTACTTCTTCCAACACAGACTTGAGGCTAGGAAGGGAGACAGAGGAGGTCTCAGCGTCTATTCTTTCGGTGCTCGCGTCTGTGACAGCATGTTCTGGTTGAAACGAAAATATCCCTTCAACCCTAAACTGCGGCATGGAAGAGCACTGTTCCACGTCCTCTGTATTGCCATACACGTGTTCAGGGTATGTGGGCTGGGAGGACAAGCCAAGAATCTCATCAATGGCACGTGGTGCGGGCTCAGACAAGTCTGGCGAAGCTGTCAGTTGAGGGGAGATCGTTCTCGGCGGGGGAGTGGTGGAGCCGGCCCTGGGATATCTCGGCACAGGTCGAGAGAAGTTCTCAAAGACGCGTGATTCTCTTCTGGCCCGATGATCGTGCTGTTTCGGACTGATTGAAGATGAAATGCCTGGAGAAGCTGGTGGGCTTGTCGGAGTCGGAGAAGTTCGGTGCCCTGCATTAGCTGCCCCGCCATCTGTAAGATCTTCTGATGAGAAGCCTTGGAAATGGAGATCGTCTGCCCGGATGCCCTTGAGTCCCGTCATCGGTCTCTGAGAGGCACGGATGGCGGAAAATTCGGTGACAATGTCATTTTCTCTGGCTTTATCCAGCGCCTGAAATTGGGACGGACTCGTATGAGTCAGATGGTGGAAATCAAAGGGATTGGAAATCAGGCTCTTCAAATGTTCATCTGTATACCCATGTTATCGAGGGAGTCAATTTGAAGTGTCTTTCTCTCTAGCGAATATTACCCTGGGCGGGGGTTGACTTACGGGCATTACTTTGTCGCGTCTTGTGGTTGCGACTGAAGATCTCTGAGACCTCGAAACGCGACTTCTCACGCTCTACTTCATCCTCCTCGTCAAGAGTGGCGGCAATATTGAACTTGCTTCCCTGACGGCGCAGGATACGGCTGCCCCGCGAAAAGAGTGATTTGGTCATACTCTCATGCCTCTCATGCCTGTCCGACCGAATACCTGCCGAGGAGCTGGCTCGGTCTTCACTGGAGTAGGGCAATGAAGCAGCGTCAGCAGAAGTCATAGAGGAAGCAGGCGAGCGGCGGGAGGATGAGGTGGAGGTTGAGGTATTGCTCCTGGATCGACCGCTGAAGACCGAGAGGCGTTTGGGACTGTGAGCATGAGCGGTTGATTTTGAACGGATGTGGGCCGCATAGTCCGGGGGATCATTGGAAGCTCTGGTGGATGGCCGGTCAGAGAGATCCGCCTCTTCTTGCCTTGCAAGCATGGTGGGACAGTGAGATAGATGGGTCCCGATAACAAGACGATCTTTTGTGCAGGTGGACTGCAACGAGGCGATGGTTTGCGATCAATAGAGTGAGAATGGCAAAGCCAGGAAGTTCATCAAACAAACATTCAGACGGGAAGATGCTGTTCAGTCGTTGACCTTGGAAAGGGATTAATTCCCCTTAAAGTCGAGGACGGGTTGTGAGCGAGATCCAAGATCGACCAGAGCATATAAAGCAGATCTTTGTTGGGCGACCAGGGACTCCAAGCGAGCCATTGACTCGTGCGAGACTGGAGAGAGAGAGAGGGAGAGGGGGGGGCAACGGTGATTGTTTCCCCTTGTGTTTTAGAAATGTATCGGGTTCAGGAGACAAGTGAGTGGCATGGAACTCTAACACGAAGTATCAAGAAGGATCTCGCAACAGAAATTGGGCCAAAGACCAGCAGACAGAACAAGAAGGCTTTGAGTGAATGAATGACAGAATGAGAAATATTGTGGACTAATGAGCGGTTCACTGATCGATCATCAAGAGGAGCAGTGTATCGAGGTTATGTTGTGTCGGAGGACAAGGATGGCTTTCAGCCCACAAAAAAGAAGACGACCCAAAGGGATTGGAATAATAATGATTGAGGGTGGAGTAAGAGATGGAGAAAGATGAACCGAAAAATCTCAGATTTGAGGGTCCAGAACGGCGAGTAAAAAATAGTAGCAGTGGAGGATGATGAAAAACGATAGTAGGAGGAGGAGCAGGAACAGGATCTCGCAGTAGACCATATAACGACACTAGGTACTTGTCATCTAGACACTCCGTAGACACTCCATAAACAAATAAGATGGAATCAAACACGGACTGGAGCCCGGAGTAGCAGATATGATGATTGTGACGATCATAAGAAACGAACGACGCGAACACTCCTACTACGACCAGGTAGGCTAGTACGGAGTGGTAGTTAAACCACTAAAGTACCTAACTTACCTAGTATCCTAGCCGAAGCAGTGTAAAGCATAACAATAATGTAAAATAGAGTCTTTTGGGTCTAGAGGGGAAAAAAAAGGAAGGATTAGATTAAACGATCGAGTCCATTTGACGATACTCCGTGGACTACACACGCTGGAGTCCGGGGAGATTCACGGAGGACAAGAACACTAAAAATATGGAGTTTAGACTGCGATTTATATATATATAGGAATCATCAATTTATTATTTATTAATGTTATCGCGATCGTTTAGTAGATAGCATAAGAGGAGGCTAGATACCTCGAGTTAGGGACGTACTTCGCAGTTACCACCCGCTGTAAGGTCCTAGCTTCCCTGCTTCTTACGGAGGAGGCTGGCTTAACTTGACTCCTATTTTGCTTTTGATACAGAGTACGGAGTAAGTCTGGATAAATGATGTTAAGCCAACAGCCCACGTTCTCAACCGTTGAAAACTACAGTACGTAGAAAGGAAAGGGGTAGGTAAAAAAAAAAAAATAATAATAATAATAATAATAATAATAAAATTAACTGCAGTAAGAAAAAGCAAACATCCGCCAGTGGGAGTCTTGAATTTCCAGAAGGCAGAACGAAAGTGGGAACGAAGGGCACGAGAGGGAAGTCCACTTGGAGGACCAGAAGTCAAAGCCAAAAAGCCCCCGTTCCTCACCTTCCCTTTTCCCCCAAAAAATAGATAATTTCCCTGCAGCTAGCTGGTTATCCTGGTTCTGATTTGCTCCTTGTACATCTCTACACTGTTATAGCTCATTTACAGCCTCATGCCTCAATATATTATTACATGTCTATCCATGAGTGACACCACAGAGTACCTGACATATTTAGAGTACGGATACATACAGCAGCAATACCTTCATGCGTGGATATCCGCATTACTCTGTGGAGCTACCTCCAACTCCTTACGTTCGTTACCCAATCTTTGTGCCTAGGTACCTAGCTAGAAATTGGTAGTTGGTTATTGATGGTACCTCCTCCAACCAGATAGGTGCTTACTGTAGTTATTGCGTACCTCAGTAGGTACAGGATATTGGCTCAACTGATCTCAAGGGAAATCCCGTTATCCTCCTTGTCAACACATTGTAGCAGTCTCAATGCAAGGACAACTGAAGACAGCGACAACCCAAGACAGCGTGTGTCCGCAAGGACAGTCCGTGAGAGAGCCCAATATCTCGATTCGGAGTACTATCTATCTAGGAATTACCGTGGGATGATGGACGATCCCATCTGTTCTCTGTTCGCATCAGCAGTCTCATAAAAGAATTGGCTCCGTCAAGGCCCCGAACCATTCTGGAATTGGAGGCTCCACTTGCATCCAGTCCAGGAACTCCAGAGCATCCCTCCGGATCATGGCCAATGATGCACGGTGTGAACATACAACGAGGGCACCTTCAGACGTATCCGAACTTCTATAGTCGGCAGCTGCAAACTGCAAAGCCTGCAAATGGTAGGATCCTTCTTATGCACAGACATTGTCGAGGTCCACAACTTTTTTGTCGTCAGGGCGGCTTGTCCCGTGTGTGCTGATCGCATCGCAATTTGGATATTGAACGGCTTCTCAAAGGGGCTGGCGTGTCCGATAATCTCTTTTTGGCTTTGCAGGATCCAGATGCTTCGTGAAGAAGTCAAGGTTGTGGAAGGGGACAAATATCCTAGGGGGCAGACGAACCATGGCACAAAAGAAGAGGCGGCAGGCCAGTTTGCAGAGTGGGATACCTGCATCAAGGGCCGAACGCTGGCCTGTCTACTACTCCATACACATCAAGGAGGCTAGAAATGTATGTCAAGTCTCAGAGCAGTTTGCAGGGATATACTACAGTGTACCAAATACCTAGATATCTAGAAACATTGATGTTGGCGGGAGATGCTGCAAATTGAAGCGCAATTCTGGAGTATCTACACTGTGCTTGACGTAATCAAAGTCCATACCTTCACAGAGTACGTAAGTTGTAGATATCTTCCTCTGAGGTATCGAAGCTACGCGGTGGAGTTCTGGTTTTCTTTTTACTTTGCTTTTTTTGGGGGCGTTTCGAGAAGAGGCCCACCCCGAAGAGAAAACGGAAAATGGAAGAGGCAGAAGAGTAACGTCCCGCGGATATCTGGGAAATCGACTAGCCTCAGAAGTGAATTGAGAAGGAGGAGACGACGAACGAAACGAGCAATACTCTGTATCTAGGTAGTTTGTAGATACTCTAGGTCTGGGGTAACGGACGTCCAACATGAAAATAAAGCCACAATGGACTGGACAAGCAACAAAGCTCATTGTTAGGCCAGCGGAAACATTGTTTCGGATTTTCCCCATGTTCCGTACCTACGTTAGGGAGCTCCGAACAAGGGAGCGAAGCACATGTAACAATTAACCATGGCTGGTCAACAGATGACGCCTGCCTAATCAAGGGGCGCCAGCACTACCAGTATAATGGTGCCTGAGGCCACACATGCGTAATCATACGGGTACAATACCTGTACCTAACGTTGTGAGGGGAAATCTACCCACATACAGGTAGTGTGCTGGTCACTTGTAGGTAGTGGTCAGACAACCTTTGAATACTTATCAATTGCTTGAGTCCTGAGATTCTCAAGGATGGTATCGCAACCTCGATCGGAGATGGGATGTGGCGGATTATTGTGGATTATCTTGTCTTGACTACTGTTGGATTCACTTAGGCTGAGACTGGTTCACTTTGAGAGACTTTACATTAACCCCACGAGGCATGAGGGCATCTGTGATTGTCCAATTATTACTGACTTTTAAGGTTGGTGAATCCAATTCTGAGAGGAATCCAGAGTACTCGGCTGTAGTTATTATTCCCTGACTTGACCGAGTTTGGACGAGCCTGGAGAGAAGGGGTTAGTGACACACGGGACAGGCACAAAACGAAGTGGGCATCCCAGCCGTTCACAGTCCAGACAAGGGAGAGAGGAGTGTGGGCTAAACTCTTAAGACGCTTTAGTGCCGCACTACTCATGCAACTATTTTAGTATTTACAGTCAAACCATTAGCGGCCGATTGGGTGCAGGTCTACGGAGTAAGCCCTAAAGTGTTAATTTAGGTCGCAGAGATACCTAGGTAAGGAAAGGTAGATACCGTAGCAGGTGCAAGAGATCCAACCTGACATTTAGTTCGATGCAGCAAAGCCATGTACCATGCGATAGAGACAGGGGTAAAGGGAAAACTCCCTCAATATGGTAACAGGGACGTCAACGCCTTCTTACATATCAGCTAGCTATCCATGGATGTGATTCGTCTGGAAAGCCCCGACTCCAGAAGATAACGGTTCACTCTTACTAGGTTGACGGAGAGACGGAAGGAGAGAGCGAATTGCGGTACGTACCACACAGTTATGATCCAAGGGACGAATTGTCGTTGTGACTATCCCAATGAAACCTCTTGGATTCTGGAATCCGGACAGAATGTTTAATGAAATACGAGTATCCTTGTAATTGCGTGGTTAGAAGGGAAAAACCAACCATCTCTAGGTAGTGTACCGAGGACAGTTGAGGTTAAGACTACATACCCCGGACTCTCCAGCCACCTATGTAACTATTGGATGCACTCTTCCGTCCGACAGGGGACTATCCATTAGTGTCATTATTATTATCACTCCTAGAAAGTAACACATTGCAGTTCCTGTAACTGTAAGCGAGGTGGCATCTGAAAACATCCCGAGCATTGAAGTTTCAACCGAGTCCGAGGGTATCAAGTATTATGAGCTCTATTCGGTAACTTCTTTTCTCTTGTTGGGATAGCTAGACCTCGGATAGATTCAGATATCAGGCAAAAACAGGAGTCTCCATTGAAACCTAAGACATGTGTGCGTGTCCCACCTGCAAGAGGACGGATCATGGCTACAGTTTGCCCACTGTAGCTGTCTAGATCACGGATGTTTCTATCCATGTCTCATTTCGCTTGCCTAGATACTCGGCGAGTCAGAAGTCGGTCGTAGAAATCAGTCTAAACATCCCTCTTAAGGTAGAAGAGCACTTTCACCTGTCATATGTGTCAACTTATGATCGTCAACCGTCAGTAGTCTGTCAGAATCTGAATCAATCCCAATATTGATAAGTCGATAGTCCCACATCTTGGAAACTGAGACAGCCTGGCAATGGCGACAGTTACGGTAAACCCCAGTCCCACAAAATTCCAATCTCTCATTGCGAACTGTGCGTCGCTGTATCGCGTCATCCATCGCACAGATGCAACTAAGCACTGTAGCAAATACCAGACAAGAGTCTACGGAGTAAACTCATGCTCGGATCCATCGAGTCTCAAAGGGGATCATTATGGATGGATTGATTTGTTTGCTCATCATCCACATCGCCCCATTATTCCACTTCTTCCTCGACATGTCTTGACAGCTTTCCTCTTCTTCTCTCTTCCACCATTTTCGGCCGTTGTCTGCCTTACCTGCACAACGGTGGAGACATTCAGTGTGGTGATTATTGAAGGCCAATGAGCAGATCCAAGGATAGGTATTCTGGTGAATTGAATCCACTGTGCTGGACTCATGGCTGACGCAAGGCAATAAATCTCTCAGCAAAAAGTGTCACACCGCTGATATAAGCTAGTAGCATAGAACACAATACATTACCAAACTAGTCCAAACAACACAGGTCGGAATCAAGAAGACAGGGATGTAGTCAAACATGCATGCATGGTGTATGTATGCATCCTGGGTACCTACAGGACGAAAGGGAAAGACACCTGCAGTGCTCGCACATGATGATTTTCGGAGGATTGTCTACGTATACGACCTAGGCAGATTCCTTGATATGCCTATGGCTGTTGGAATCCAGCTCATAGTGGTTTGGCCGATCTACAGAGTACCTTACAATGTGAGGTAGACGGTGGTCCCCAGGCACAAAAGTACCTATTCAGATTACCAGAATCAGCTGATCCGAATGAACCCATTGCTCTGGTTCAAATGTTCCAAAACCATCTGGATAAAGGCTCCGATCCTCGATCAATCAGATCTCTCGAATCTCGATCAAATCCCTGCTTGTACCTACCGGGTTAGTTGTGTAAATTTGTAACGACAGCATCTGGCCATTGCTTTCCAAGCAAGGACGAACGCGGACAAACCCGCCTACTGGTTTCTTCTCCTCAGTCCTCACGTGCAAGACTCTCTTTTCTGTAGACTGTATGGAGTATCTTGAAGTACCTTTTAACCCCCTTGGTTTAGTTGGCCATGCTCGTAGGCTACTCCGTACTCGGTAGTGTATTTGCATCCTGCTTCACCACTGTCTCAAAGGATAAACTTTTGCCCCTGGAACAAAAATCAACACCGAGAGCCGTGTTTCACTTGCTTGGCTCCTGAAGATCATTTTGTCTAGAATCTATTGATTCAGTATCACTGGAGTCTCAATGAAAGTCTATCGCCCCGTCCCACTTCTCCAACTATGCTGCTTTGAGTATATATGACGACTCGGTGGACTTCTGGCTTCCTCGACTCGTCTTTTGCCTGGCCGGTTTATTATTTTTGGAAACTAGACAACCAGTATGGAGTAAAACAGGCGACGATCATGATGTTGCTACTTCGCACAAGTTAACAATAACAGTAACAGACCAGCGATCATCATCTACACTCTTCGTCGTCTTCCTTTTCTTTTTCCAGCACAGGGGCCAGAGATAGCGAGATACACAGGAGCGAGCGGTGGAAGCCGCCGCTCTCACCTCCTCTCGAACTCTTTCTTCGTTGGATAGATAGATAGATAGATAGATTTGACTGCTATACGTCTGTTGTTATTATCATCCCTCCATCAGGCTGAAGCAGATCTCGCAGCTAGTATACACACATCAGTAGAACTATCAACAAAATACCCGTTTCGCCCCTGTCATCCTGTCGCGTTCGTCCTCAACGCCAATTGATATCATAAATCAATGAGATAAACGACGAGCAACGAGAAACTATATGAAAAAAGATGCTTCGAATCTAAAACTACATGTAGTGTCCGTAGACTTTCAATAAAGGGCTGATTACTCCTCGTCGTCCTCCTTCATCTCCAGATCTTCCCCCCCGGGGCTCTCGTTGAACAACCCATCATCGTCGTCGTTGTCTTCGTGATTCTCATGCACCGGATCTGCTGATGCGGCTTCTCGCTCTTCTTCCTCATCCTCATCATCTTCGTCCGCAATCCGACGGGTCACCTTGGCTCGACGCCGCTGCACGACATCCTCGACATCATCGGCTCCGGTGTCCCGCATCTCTTGATCAGAATCACCCGCAGCAGCGTCGTGCACCTCATCCTCCACGTCCGAATCTTCCACAATCTCACTGCTTTTGTACTTGTTCTGCGCCTTGCCGCCGGACCGACGCTCCAGCCGTCTGCGCTTCTTGGGTGCCGCCTCACCCTCGCTGCCAGGCTCCCCGCTGACTGCCCGGCGAGACGTCTCCCCGTCGCTGATGAAATCGTCTTCCGCCCTCTTCTTCTTGCGCTTCGACGATGTCTTCTTCCTCCGTCTCACTTTGTCGCCGGTTTCTGAATCCACCGTCATCTCCGCCTCCTCACGCGCCCGCTCCTCTTCTGCCCGCTGCTCGGCCAGTCGCTGGGCTTCCTCAATCATCCGCTGTCGCTCCTCCGCAAGCTTCTTCTTCCGTTCCTGCTCGGCTTCCTGCGCCTTCCGCACCTCTTCCTCCCGCTTGCGAATCTCCGCCTCTCGAGCCTCGCGCGCCTGCTGCAGCTTCGCTGCGTTCTTCTCTTCGTATTCCTTCTGGCTTTGCAGCGCACGTTCCAACTGTTTGATGATCGTCTTGCCCATGTTGGCGCGCTGCTCCAGCGCTCCGGCAGGGTATGGTGGGTTCTTCACCTTGGCAATGCGCCCGAAGGTCTCAATAGCTTGGTGAAGCCCCTCGGCGGCTTCCTCAACGTCCTGCACAGTCTTCTGCGTCTCTGGCAGGCTGTACGCCAACGAGGCAATCTGGTTTTGCACGAATGCAACATTGAACTCGAGATGAGCCTGTGCGGGCGCAACGGCATGGGCCCGTTTCGCATAGTCCAGCGCCGTCTTCATGGCGGACAAGTTCATTTCTTGCTTGCCCTTGAGCAGCCAGACACGTCCGAGGCACGCCAGAATCTGTGCATCGCGAGCACGATCTTTCGATAGCGCTGCCTCGTAGTGCTCAATCGACCGAGAGTATTGTCGGAGTTCGGCATAGACATGCCCCAGGTTCAGGTAGACGCTGGGGTCCCTCAGGGTATCTCGCACTTTGGAGAAGATGTGCACGGCGCCGGCGTGGTCTTTCTTATCGTCGACGAGCGCAATAGCAATACCTTGCGCTGCATAGGCATTCTTGGGATCTAGCTGCAGCGCTTTGTCGAAGAATTCGACAGCCCTCTCGTACATCTTGCGGCGTTTCTCCTTATCCTGGTCGGTATCGCGCCGCATATCCCGCGCTGTCGCCAGGTGAACATTGCCCATCCCGGTCAAAGAGTAGCGGTCATGCTTGTCAAAGTACTGCAGGGTATGTTTGTAATGCCGCTGCTCGTGATCCTCAGCGAGGTTCGCCGCCCGCTTCTTGGACTTGCTCAGGTACCACCCGAAGAGAGCGCGGACCTCGAGATTCGTCGAGTCGGCCTCGTAGAGCTTGGCCATCTTCTTCGGCCCTTCATCCGTAGGGCTCTGTCGAAGAGCAATATACGTGAGTCTCGCATTGGCTTCTGTGTAGTCGGCATGACGTTCAAGCAGGCCTTCATAAACTTTCTTGGCCTCGTCTTGCATGCTGGAGGATTCGTAGGCACGACCCAGATTGTAACTAATGGTCGTTACAAGAGCGTCTGTGTCAAGCTGCGCCTCCTTCTCCTGTGATCGGACGCAAGCATTCAAAGCTGCCTGGAATAGCGTTCTCGCTTGTTCGACCTTGTCAGCCTGGTACATAAAGCAACCCATATTATTGAGAAGTTGAGGAGGAAGGTTTGTTCGGAGGACGGCTTTGAGTTCTTCCTCGTCCTCAATACCCTCCGGACGCTCTTCTTCGGCGATCTCAGCCAGTTGCATTTCTTCCAGCTGAGTCAGGCATTGCATGCTCTTCTCCGGGGCGACCTGCTCATAGAGCCGAGACAGGTACACCAAGACTGATTCATCAGGAGAGACTTTCTTGGCTTCGTCCTTCCACAAGCTACGGACCGATTCCAGCAGGCTGATGGCTTTCTTAGCTTCTGCGGACTTGTCCTCCTTGCTACCGCTCGCCTGAGCAGCAAAGACCTCCTCGGCATGAAGAGCCCCAAGTAGGATCATGCATTCGGGGTTCTTGGTCTGCTGAATGACTTTCTCCAACCGGAACTTGGCGTCGTCGTAGTTTCGGTTGGATACCTGCATCTGCACCGCACCGAACTTCGCAGGAAGATACCCTTTGTCGCCGCCACCTCGCGCTTGATCGGAGCGGCTGAAGTACTCCGCAGCGCGGGCAAGGTCACCTTCATAGTGAGCTTTGCGTCCAAGGAGATACCAGCCGTCACTGGCAATCGCCATCACATCAGTGTGCTCGATGGCTTTCCGCGCCAGTGTCTCGACGGTAGAATAGGATTTTCTCAATAGGAAATAGCTGCCAAAGAGTGCACATGTCATGGGGTACTCCTTGTCCAATTTGAAGGCTTTCTGCGTGTACTGAGTCATGGCCACCTTGTACAGCGAGCCGAAGGCAGGATCTGTCGTTGCGTGTCGCGAACTGTCATAGAGGTAATAAACGGCGAGCAGGATGTTGGCAACCTTGGAGTCGGGATTCTGTAAGAGAAAGAAAGAGAATCACGTCAGCAATGCTCTGCAAAGATCACAGTAGCCTTCGTAACTTACAACTGCCAGCGCTCGCTCCCAAGCAACCTTCGCCTGATCCTTGAAGCCCAATTGCCACAAGCAGCACCCGATACCGATTCGAGGATCTGGGTCTGTCAGGCCAGGCATCTTCATCAGAACCTTCTGATACCCCTCTAGCGCCTCCGCATACCTGCCCAGCAAGTATTGCGCTCTGGCACGTCCCAGGATCGCCATCACATTCCGGCCTCCAAACGCCTTTGACGATTCTTCGAAGCACTTGAGCGCCTGTCGCAGCGACTCCACTCTCTCGGAAGTATCAACTGATCCCGGTCGGACCGGTCTTGGTGGGTGCAAAGATGCCCGCAAAAGGCACAGAACTCCTCGGGCGAGAAACAAAGGAGGAAAAGCCGGGTTCAGTCGCGACGCCTCGTTCAGTGTCGAAGTCGCAAGCTGGAGGTAATAGTCCTTTGTCTTGGCTTCTGTATACAGTTCCCCTTCCGAAGCAACTCGGGGGCCTGTCGGCTCTTCAGCATCAACAGCCAGCAGACCCAGCCCAACAGACCTAGTTTCTCTTTGGCCGCCCCATGACCGACCGAAGCCAGACCTTTATTGAGAATGTCGATCGCATGATCAAGCTGCTTCTGCTTGGCATACGCCAGAGCGATAATCACCCAGAAATTCTTCGCGGCTTTCTCGTTCTCCAGGAGGGTACACAGCTCCGTGGGGTCGTCTGGTAGGCCTTCCAAACTGACTTCGACTTCGCTGTCAAGGGTGGACGCGGGAATATCAATCGCAGAGGGTATGTCAGAAAAGCGAAGATTGACCTGAGAGCTGGCGGCTGGGAATGAATTGCCATTTGCGCCGTTGGCGTAACCGTTTTCTAACGACGCCATGATGCTTTTCTAGGGTGGAGGGGATACGTGCTGTCCTTTGCAAATGTCTCCGAGATGAGACGGTAGGAGGGAACACGGAGAGATGCGACTGTTCGGATTTGAGCTGAGAGGTGAGTTCGTGGAAAAGCTCAAGTCATGATCATTTTAGGCAAGAGAATCTGATAAATATTCCCCGGATATTGAGACAGAGAAAGATGAAGAGTGCTTTTTGCTGGACCCGAATACGAAACCAGCTCTTGTGTTGAAGCTTTGGAGACCATAGAGCCAGATCTGCGGCTCTTGATCTTTGTTGCTCGGGCGGAATAATCTACGTTGGAGCCTGAGGCATCTAGCAGCGGAAGTGGCTAGTGCGTCCAGTAGCACCGCCACAGTTAATCGCCTTGATGATAATAACACATCCAAAGGAGTGATATTAAATGAATCCAGATTGATCATCGGCGTTATTTTCAATAGCAATTTTCCTGAAACACCTGGTCGCTCGTTAGGCGTGTGCGTTGGATGCCGGGCCATACCTCAGCAATTATTTGCCCTGAGATCAAGTACAACCATAGAATATTTATTCATCGCATGCCGTTGTAAACTCCCGCCATATTTTCATCAGTCAATGATATCATTTCGTTTGTCATCTCATGCTCATAAAATATTAGCAATATAGTTATTGATAAGCTAGCACCACCCGGAAGACTCGAGGTCGTTCTAGTCCCATAGCCCAAAAACCTTGGGCAATCTGCAAAGAAACGCCATGCCTGTTAGTACCATGAAAATCCGCCCAAGCTCCGTCCAGTGATGTAGCCGGACATGCGCTTCTACAAAGCCCTTAGAGGCAGCCTCTCTCTGTACATCGGACACATCCCCAGCGTCAATGCTGCCAGCCAGGGCAGTTGGGAACCTCCCAGTTTCAAAGAATTCGTCAAGTAGCTCATCCTTTTCCGTCCAGCGCGCCCTGAGCCAGTTATCAAATTCCTTTTGGTCATCCAAAGGAATATCGGACATAGCGAATCGTCTCCAGTACATGTTGACGGAGGTCGGAGGCCTTCCCTGTAAATATGTGGATCGGAGAGTAAAGTACTTGTCGGGAAAGCTGCCCTTCCTACAGTTGGTAACAGAAAAATGTCAGTCAATCAATGTGCAGTGAGCACGGAAACCTCTTTTGGAAACTCACGGTGGCCCTTCGTACGCAACGGTGCAGTCATATACCCAATCGACAGTTCCCTTCAGCTGCTGTAGGCAGAATAGGAGACCGGTCGACCGAGGAAGAAGCTCATGTTTCAGAGGCGGTAGCCCCTGCTTCCGGCCGTATTCATCGCTCCGTCGTTTCGTATTTGGCGACAGGTTGGTGCCTTCTGGGAAAATCAGGAGCCACATGGGGTCATATTGCGGAGATTCCGATTTGGAACCTGACATTTGGATCTTGAGTTTTTCCAAACGATGTTGTAGTCGAGGTTTGTCGGACAGCCATTTACGGGCCATGAAAATGAAACCGTAGAATGTCATACCCTGCCCGATGATTGGAATATACTTGAGTGATTCCTTGAGAATGATGAAGATGCGGCCATGCATTTGGTTCGTGTAAGCGATCCACCAAAGATAGATCCAGTCGGTGTAAACTTGGTGATTGGCAATCAAGACTAGACGCTCAGGAAACTCGGTCTTGAGTCGTCCATAACACAGGTGAATCTGACCTCGCACACTCTCATCCCCACTGACGCGTACATATGTTGGACAGCCCCATTGTGTCAGGGCTGTTATAACCAAGCCAAATGATTGTTTCGTCAGAGCCATGTAACTATAATAATAGTGCTTGTTTATGAAATAAAGCGGAGACCCTATCAACTGGGTTGCGAAAATAATGATACAGCAGCAATTGAACCATGTTGCAAGTAACAAGGAACGAAGGAGCTGCATAGGAATGCCGTGCTTGAGGCGCGGCTCCGTGTCTTTGAAGCCTCGAGACTTTTCAACCACGTTATCACCTTTCAGGCCAGGTGCCGGCTTTCGCTGACGAAGCTCTGGAGAGTCCATGACGAGCAGGTATAACCCTTGTGAAGCTGTTTAAGAAACTCAGTAGTCGAATTGGAACGATCGAGATGAAGTCTGGAAAATGAAGTCGGTGAACGCGCCCTCGTAACGAAGCATACGAGCAATCGACGCACTGGGGGCTTAGATAAAAATAAGCAGTGTCTCGCTGCCTAAAGCTGTGTGGGCGACACGAGACGTCGCAAAGGGAGAACTCGGGGAGTAAATGAAGATGAGGAAAAGGAAATATCAAGCCATGCTTTGAGCAGCGGAAATAAAAAGAGAGAAAGAGACTGGAATCGAAACAACAATAATCATGTGTGCACCACGGTTGCTGGTGGGCACAAGCAAGCGAATAATGGATGAAGTGATCTTGTGATAACCTGCGGGTAGACAACCTTACTGAACTGGGCAATGAAGCACCGCCCTGGCACAGCGTGAGTGACGTAGTCAAAGGCGGTCAGGGAGATCAATCGTTTTGCTCACCTTCCGTTACCTCTCTATCTAATCGATGATCTATTTTATCGTCATCTAATTTCTCTTGATTGTCTACAAGATACTTGCTTCGTCTGTCTTAGAGAGCAATGAGCAGGCTGCTGTAAGCATTGAGAATGTCCTTGAAATAGAAGAAATACTTCAAACATCCCAGCCGGCGTGACTCACGAAGACCGGGTCAGAAAATGACAGAAACAATCCGTAATGTGAGTCGATGCATCATGGAATCAAGATGAAGGAGGAATCTCGAATTGCAATAGCTTGTGACTTGGGCTAAAGAATAGCTGTGCGAGCCAGTGTTTTTACAATGCAAGTGGCCATGATTCAACTTCGACCCGCCAGATTGGGATTCGGGCGACGGATTCTGTGCACGAGGGGTTTCTCGGCTTCTTCGTATCTGCAAGAGATTAGAGATATCCGAACGCTACCGCAACGTATCATACCCAAATATGAAGGTGTGCGCCACCTCGTACCGTTGGTTCGGGCATGCTGGGTGAAGATCGCTGACCGCTGCTAGAATCTCGAGAAGGCGACCTGCTTACGCTTCGGTGGCCGGAGCCTCCGAGGAATATTCTCGTTGTCAAGAAAGATTGTGCCCCAGCGGTGACGGAATCGCTGGTTGAATTTGCTGCGTATGGAACACCGGATGAATGATGTAACCTAGGAAGAGCCTTTACTAACACAAACACTGGAGAGTCCAGCCACACGAGGTCGACCTATCCATCAATTGCCATCATCCTAGAACGAAAGACTGCCGAGGAAATTCACTCTTCGCTTCCTTTCCCGGTCTACTCAACATTTCCAGATAATGACCCATCCGCATTACATGACAAAGTGGACATGACGGTCACCCTTGGGGGAGATGGGACAATCCTACGAGCATCTTCCCTGTTCGCTGCGTGCGTTAATGTACCTCCCATGTTGTCATTCAGTATGGGAACACTGGGGTTTCTAAGCGAATGGAAATTTGCCGAATACAAGCGCGCTTTTCGTGAAGTATTTATGTCTGGGGCGGGTGCCGGAGATCGGGCACCGATCCTAGAGGACCAGATGGAAGATGGGACCGGGCCAACAGGATGGTCTTCGGTTCGTGGGAAATCTATGGGTTCGTCCAGGGGAGCTCGAATTCTGATGCGCAACCGTCTAAAGGTCGGGCTTTTCACAGTTGATGGCAAACCAATTCAAGTACAAGGAAACATTGCTGTTGCACAGGATCATCTGGGCACCCAGGGGGTGTACGTCATGAATGAAGTGCTTCTTCATCGCGGCAAGGAGCCGCATCTAGCTGTGGTTGATGTATACGTGGGAGGCCGATTCCTGACGGAAGCAGTGGCAGACGGGATGATCATCTCAACGCCTACGGGCAGTACGGCATACAGCTTAAGCAGTGGGGGGAGTATTGTCCATCCCCTGGTACCGGCGGTGCTTTTGACGCCTATCTGTGCCCGGAGCCTCAGCTTTCGGCCCCTAGTTCTGCCCGCGAGCACGCCAATCACGCTTCGACTGAGTGAGAAAAATCGGGGGCGGGAGCTAGAGGTCAGCATTGACGGGGTCAACTTGGGACAGGGAATGACGGTGGGCACGGAAGCTCGCGTGTGGAATGAGGAGATGCGGCATGGCAAGAACGAGTGGCATGGCGGCGTGCCATGCGTGATGCGGAAGGTCACAGGCGTGGAAGCGCATGATGGCTGGGTGGGAGGACTGAATGGACTGCTGAAGTTCAATCACCCGTTTGGAGAGGAGCACTGATCTATATATCCTCCACAGTTCATCTCCAGTGGGTAGGAGTAGACATAATAGGCACATGCTCGGGTCAAATAGACGGAATCCAATAGGTATTCGTAATTTCCGGATCCATAATAAATTCATACCTAATAATAATAATCATTATTGTTTATCGGGTATCCAAATTCTGCTCAGTTGGGGTCAGTTGCAACAGCGGAGTGGGCCGATCCATGAATATTAGAGAAGATTTCTGGATACTCCTGATTATGAGCCGTGGGTCCAGGACTCGGCTCGACTTGGGCCCTGTTTAGGTAGTTTCGCACTGGAACCGGGAGAGAGTTCGAGACCTTCGGTGGAGTACTCAAGGTACGTACGGAGTAGACTCATTACTCACTTATCTGGCACATTGCGTCTGGGGGGAAGATCCTGTCGATCCATTATTATTTATTGTTACATTGCTGAAGGGTAACTGTGAACAGTATCTAGAAAGAGCAGAACAATAAAAAATTGAAGCCAGTTCTCTTGTTGCAGTACAATTCTAGTGCCAAATAAACCAACTATAACTGGTTCCATCAATTGATCTGATTCAACCATCAAACTAACAACAAAAGGCAAAAATAATCACTGCCAATGGTAGTGATGAACCGATGAGATACCCCCCAGTATTACTACGGAGTGCTATGGCTCAGATGCCAAGTTATCGCACCTTGTCGAGCCTTACGCAGCCAGTGTCCGGCCCTCGTGGAGTTGACCGGCAGTTCATCTCAAATCAATTCATCTAAACCTCGATTCGCATTCTACCCCTAAGGAGACAATGGTAATTATCTCAGACAGTCTTGGAAATATCTAGAGGTCGACGAAGATGACTTACGAAGTAGATTTCTGTTATAGCTAGTGAGGGATAGTAATAATGGTAGGTACCCGGATGTTGAACCCATGGCAGTCTTGAATCCTATACAAGCATTCTAGAAGCCAGAGAAATCAATAGAGAGTTAAAACATGTTGATTCTTAACTAGATCGATATTGTTGCAAGATGAAACTCCACTACTAGATACTACTAGTACTCCTACTTCCAACATCTGACTACTTAGCAGCAGAGTATTAATCCCTTTCTAATCAATATTATTAACACCTCCTTGTTCCTGTCTTCCCCACTCTCTCTCTTCTTCCTCCCTGTCAACTCTCCTCCTCTCGCTCTCACTTACTCCCTACTCTACTTCTTTTCCTCCCCACCAGTGAAGTATCTTCTGAAACTTTTTTTCCCCTAATCTCTTCGCCATCGCCGTGAGATCCTACTCTCTCTAATTAATAGCGTCTCTTGTTAACAACCCTTCAAACAGCTTGCAAGATTGCAATCCTAGTCCCAACCTTGGCTCATTAAGCGCTCACCGCGTCCCGTCCCCAGATTTAAGCGGCACTCCCACTTGGAGCTTCCTCGCCCACGCGAGGGCTCTCTGCTGGTCAGAGGCGGAAAGGGAATAAGGTGAGATTGTCTTCGAAGCCAACAGTGGCAACTTCGCGCATACTTTTATTCCAGACAATCCTCCCTGTCTCCTCTGGCTGTCCTCCAACCCCTGTGCGGCTCTTTGCTGAAGGATCACCGCCCCTGGCCGAGTGTCTCGAAGTGGGGTGTCATTCAAGCCTTTTTTGGCAGAGTCGCTCGGGTCTTTGATGCGGGCAATACTGGTGTCGCGGCGTCTTGCTAACACTACATGTTCTGCTGTTTCTAGGGAAACATTGCGGCGTCTGCTCCCGTTGCGTGTTGATTTCCCTCGTCTCGGCCCTTTTTGGTCAACGGGAACCCCTGAAGCTACATTTTCCCCTCCTTTAGGGTTTCCGCATTTCCATTGTCCTTCACAGCATCTCGTCGACTACAACGTAGGTTGAGCGCTTCTTTATCTGACCATGCAGTGCATACCCTTCTTAGGATTTGCTTGGTCTCAATTCCAGAACTTTGACTGACCTCGTCGCAGTATGTATTCCGCCGACCAATTCATGAACCCCGGGCCCGCTCCGCGCCCCCTACCGACCGTCCAAAGCTCACCCTCCCTTCGAATCCCTCCGGCGTGGCCACTTCATTCAGTCAAATGAGTCTCAATTCTCCAAGTACTCCTGGATCTGCCAACCTGTCACTATTTCCTAACACCAGCAGTCCGTCACTCTCACAGACCAAGACAAACCAGACCGGCCAGGGGGGCGTTGCCGTTGTGAAAGAGGGCTATGTGCGCTGCAAAGAAGACAAGTTTTTGGCTACTTGGAATCAGAGATACCTCATTCTGCGCGAGTTCCGCCTCGATTTTCTGAAAAATGAGACTGGGAAGGTGGTCCTCTCCATCCCACTCAACACTGTCACCAGCGTGTCTCGTTCCGAGGACACTCGGATGGCTTTTGAGATCATTCGTTTGGCCAATGCAAAGGATGCCGCTTCCAAGTCCGCCTTGATCACTCGCGACGTGCCCACCAAAACCATTACCTGCGAAGTCAAGAGTGACGATGAGATCTATGACTGGATTGACAAAATTTATGAGCGTTGCCCTGGCATGGGAGGTGTGAGCAATCCGACAAATTTCAGCCACCGTGTCCATGTCGGCTTTGATCCGCAAACCGGCGCCTTTGTGGGCTTACCCCCCGAGTGGGAGAAGCTGCTGACCGCGTCGGCCATCACCAAGGAGGACTATAAGAAGAACCCCAGGCGGTGATTGAGGTTCTAGAGTTCTACTCCGATATCAAGATGCGCGAACAGAACCCGCAGTACTACGCTGGATTGGCCGGTCCTCCGTCCGGTCAGCAGTCGAAGCCCTACAGCAACAACTCGGTGGGCAGCTCGATTGCTCCCCCGAGGCCGCCGCCGCCAGGCCCTGCTCAGCGTTTAGACAACGGACACTCCCAGACGAGTCGCTCGGCAAATTCGTCACCTTCGCAGAGGGCGGACTCTGATCGTGCTTTGGACCAGCAGCAGCAGCTCGAGAGAATGAAGGAGATGGCAGAACAGGAGCGTCGACGAGTCGAAGACGAAACCCGCCGGGCTCGTCAACGCGAAGATGAACAGAACAAACTTGATCAGGAAGCGTACAACTCCTCTATCCCTAAGGCTCGTGTTCCCCTGGCCAAGCAGGAGCTTGGCGGCTATGGCGACGCCTCCATGGCCGATCGCTACAAGCCAAGCCGTCCCGCACCGCAAGCCCCCGGCTCGACTCGTCAAGATCCTTCTCGTCAATTGACTGCTCAGCGCCCAGCACCCGCTCCTCCCACTACTTCCAGCAATGGCAGCGCAAAGAATTCTCCCAACGCTCGTTACGCTCCAAATGATCCACGTTCTCAGGCCGCTCGCGCCCAAGGCAATGGCGCCAAAACGGCGCAGGGGCCCCCTCCATCCAAGCTTCCCGCGCCTGTGCAGGCTGTGAAACCACTGAATATTGCGAACAAGCAGACGACACAAAAAGGCAATGTTCCGGACAGTGTTCGTCAGGCCGAAGCTGCACTGACCAAGAAGGCTGAACCACGCCACAAGGAGGTCCGCATGTCAGCAATGTCTGAAAATGAGGTCATGGATCGACTGAGGTCCGTGGTCTCCAAGGATAATCCGAACGAGTCATACAGCAAGCAACGAAAGATTGGACAAGGAGCGTCAGGTTCGGTGTATGTCGCGCGTGTTAAGGAGCACGCTGTCTCCCCGTCGCACGGGAGCTATACCGGCAATATGGCCCACGGTGTCAGGTTGCTATCAAACAGATGGACCTGCGCAGCCAGCCCCGCAAAGAGCTCATCGTCAACGAGATTATCGTTATGAAGGACAGCCAGCATGCGAACATCGTCAACTTTCTTGACTCGTTCTTGCAGGAACAGAGTAACGAGCTGTGGGTTGTGATGGAGTTCATGGAGGGAGGCGCCCTCACGGATGTCATCGACAACAACCCTGTTATTCAGGAAGATCAAATTGCGACAATCTGCGCCGAGGTATGTTCATAACTCAAAAGTGCACAAATGTCGGCACCGGGTTGCTGGGATGCTGACTGTTACCCAGACTTGCAAGGGTCTGGCCCACCTTCATGGACAGAACATTATCCATCGCGATATCAAGAGTGATAATGTCCTTCTGGATCGCGCTGGTCATGTCAAGATCAGTAAGTCTGCTTCTCAGAGGCCTGGATCTTGCCCAGACTAACTGACTTGACCCTTGCAGCTGATTTCGGTTTCTGCGCCAAACTTACCGAATCAAAGAGCAAACGTGCAACAATGGTCGGTACTCCTTACTGGATGGCACCGGAAGTCGTCAAGCAAAAGGAATACGGGCCCAAAGTCGATTGTTGGTCATTGGGAATCATGGCCATTGAGATGATTGAGTCCGAGCCCCCTTATCTGAACGAGGAACCATTGAAGGCGTTGTACCTGATCGCCACGAACGGAACTCCTCGCTTGAAGAAGCCCGAAAAGCTGAGTAGGGAGCTGAAATCCTTCCTCAGTGTCTGCCTCTGTGTCGATGTCAACAGCCGTGCTACCGCCGACGAACTCTTGGACCATGACTTCCTCAAGATGGGCTGCAGTCTGGCAAGCCTAGCCGAACTTCTTCGTTGGAAGAAGAACAGCGGACAGTGATTGGTTCTTTGCGTAATCCACTGTGTCAGCTTGACTCGCGCTGGCACGTGTGAAAGCATTCGTGCTTCTTGTTTTCGCTTTACAATTTACCCGTTAGATCTTGTCTTGCGCATATATGGGTCTCATTTACACGCTCCAGCTTGATTCTGATACTCCCTTACGACCTGCATTGCCCATCAGATTACACGTGTGATATCCGAGCTGCAGAGCTTCTTTTTTTTTTTTTTTTCATTGCAGGCCTGGCGTATTACTCGGCGTTCACGTTTGATATTTCTTTTTTCAGAGCCATCCATCATCCTTTCTACCCCGTTGGGTCTCATGTTGTCTCGGTGGTTTCGCTGTATTGGCTTGACTTGAGTAAGTTTACTTCTTGACCATGCCGCCAGCCTGTTTTGTACGACGCAGCGCGAATGTTGGTCTCTTCCAATGTTGACATAAGGAAAACAGCATAGGAAAACGTTCTTTCGTCCGCCAGCTGAGGGATCAGTGGTGTAAAGAAGAGAAAAATTAATGAGGGAAGAGAAAAAATGAGTTGGGAACAGGACACATTGGTTGTTTGAAACGCTGGCTACGGATACTCTTTGTTGCGCATGTGTATTTCACTACATACATGTTTCTATGCTTCTGATCCACGAGTGATGATGAAAATTTTTGTTAATACCAAGCGAGTTCTCTCGGAGAGTAAGAAGTCCACAGATGGACATAGTATGCATTTCGTAATAACGAGTGTCACATCAAACCACGACACTTGCGGGAGAATTTCCTGGCTGAATGGCAGGAATTGAAATAGGTACTGCCCAATTTCTATAGCAATTTTTGTGCGTTAGGATTCAACCATCCAAGTGGTCTATATATATTTGTAGTCATGTGTCAAACTCGAACATTTCATACTATACGTGATGTCACAGCTCATGATCTTGCGCCATGCCAAATACGATCATCAATCTCTTGATATTCATCCCCCCCCTAAGACTGAAGCTTAGCTTGCACTTGGCTTCCCAGAAAGGCGGAACATTCGCCGAACAATACACCTTGGAGGATCGTCTCCCCCTCTTCGAGAGCCCAGTACCCGGCATCGATCAAGCGTTGCTTCCAGGCAGAACGCTCCTCCTCATTGAGGTCATCCCAGGATCGGGATGGCTGCTCTTCTACCTCTTCAGGAGTTGACGAGGACGAGCGGGAGGAGTGAGTGTCGAAGCTCTCGATGTAGATGTTGTTGGACTCAGGGAGACATCGGACCAAGACGGAGTTAGCTGGGGTTGTTGCGTCAGCGTCCGGGGCTGCATCGGGATCGTTGGCGCCGGCTGCGTGACGGGCATGAAGGATATCTCGGAGGGTCTGCTTCGGGGAATCGGTGAGGGCCGAGAGCGCGGATGCGGTTGGGAGAGGGTGAGGCGGGAGGGGGTGGTACGGGCGCGCAATGGCCGCGCGGATATCCGGGGGAAGCCACTCGGAGGCCCCCAGGTACGGGGGCATGAGACCTCTGATCTCCGTGAAGGCCTGGAGGAGGACGCAGACGGTGATAATGGAGAGCAGGGCGGCAAAGCCGCTGGCGAAGTTGGTCCAGATCTCCGACTCGCCGGGCATGACCAGGACGTACCGCGGGGTGCGGCTGGAGGGCGGTGATGGGGCGAGCGGGAAGGTGTGCACGACGACCGTGTTGCCCATGCTGATCGAGGCCAGCTTGACGTATTGAGGAGGGGTCTCTGGCGTGACGGGGTGCGCTGGGGGGATGAAGTTTGAGAAACAGATCTTGGTCATCGAGAACGGGTGGACGTCTCGTAGGGTTGTATACGACCGGAGTTTGCCGTGGCCCTTTCTTGCACTGAACTCAACTGTCAAGACCTCGATGGACTGGTCGCTACCAGACACCGCAATAACAGTCTGCTGCTGACCGTCTGGGTTCGTTCCTAAACCACAAGTGTCCAGACCTAGCCCAATCTTGATTGATCTGCGCAGCTTCTTGCGCCTTACAATGACCCCGGAAGGCTTATCTTTCGAAGACGGCCGTAGATTTAGAATCAAAAGCTCGCAACCGCTTCGGTTTGGTGCATTCTGCAGAAGCAACAGCGTTGTGGGGGAGAGGAAGCGCAGCGCTCGGAATTTAGGCCTTGTCCTCGGTCCCTTTTCGGGCAGAGGTGTGCTGTAGACGCACCGCACGTCTGGCGAGGTATTTGACCTTGTCTGTGATGATATTTCACAAATAAAAACATCATTCCCGTTTGTGTAGGCCACTTTGTATTTCCCATCGTCCTCCAGATCGATGATGTCCACATCCTCAGCTTCCTCCTCACTGTTCAGGCGAATCCTCCCAATGACATCAGCCTCGGTCGGCGTGGGAGTGACTTTGAAGAATACAATTTCCCCGAATGAGCCAGCCCGGTCGCAATGGCACCTACTCGGGGAGCATCTGCATCTTTCCATGGGGATAGTCGCAATATCCTCTGATAGGTATCGGAGCCGGCCTTGGATTCCTTGGACTCCTTTGTCCGGAACAATGATACGCGCGCAAGTGCTGTAGACTTTCCTGGACGGGGATGCTCTTTGACTGTCTCTACCTCTTGTCCGGAAGTGTTCGCCGATCTTCTTTTTCGCGGGGGATAGTCGATCTGGAAGGATCTCAAATGTTGATTGTTGTTTCTCTTCTGCTCGGCCACGGAGCTGTTGATACCGGCCAGAGCAATGACCGACGCATCGCTCGCTTGCGCAGCGGCTAGCGAAGTAACCGAATCCTCGTCGCGCGAAAGTTCAATATCGACTACCTCGGAGATTTCGCTGCGTTTTGAAGTGTCCAACAGCGCCTGTGGTTCCACGTCGGCTCTCAAAGTTAGCGCAATGCCTCGGTATACAAGAATCAACATCACGATCTGTGGGGATCGCATGACTCTACTAGTAGAATATAGGGGAACCTGCAATTTTATTTCCAACACCACTACGTCCTTCACCTCCACCGCCTCCCACGAGCAAAAAGCCATGATTGCGCGGATCGAAATCGGCCGCGAAGAGGGGACAAGACAGAGTCAACTTGGCTGAGGGAATAGTTGGTGCCATAGCGAAATGACGGAGTGGCCGTCACAGCTATGTAACCAAGAACACACCAGCGACAGCCGTGAAGAAGTAAAATAAGCAAATAGCGAAAGAGGTGAGATGGATTGAAGGAGAGAAAGCTGTCTGCGCAAGTTGGCCAGCTGGAGTGCCGCAATGACGCGGGCGTTGGCTCACTTTCCGCCCCGGATTCTTGGCAAAATATCAGGGGAATACGAGGCCAACTGCACGAGTATCTACCCTGTGCTCAGTACTTTGAACTGTTCTACGATGCTCATCGAGTGTCTTGGGTATTCGCAAATGGTAACCTCTGAAAGTGAGTTGGTATTTATTCATCACGTTTCTCTTCTTGAATTCCCTTTTACATGGACCACGTCTCCACAGAGTTTAATCAACCTCCTGACCAGTAAATTCAGGAAGGTCCTTGCGAATATCTTCCCATGTCTTCTCGCCGTCCACCAGGGACCTGATCGCCTGTAGAATCTCATCCTCACTGGCACGGACCTGCTTGGTTGTGTCACGGTCACGCAAAGTGAAGGTGTTGTCCTTCACCGACTGGAAGTCAACCGTGATGCCGAAAGGTGTGCCCAGTTCGTCATTACGCGCGTAGCGCTTACCGATACTGGCCGAGGAGTCATCGACGCGGTTGGAAATACCCATACGCCGCAACTTGGTCATCAGCTGCTGCAGGAGGGGGCGGAAGGATGCGTGTGTCGAGAGAGGAACAATCAGAACCTTGGTGGGAGCGATCACCGGGGGGAAAGAGAGGACCTAGATGGAAAATTAGCATAGTGTCAAACGCACTTCGACGGTGTAGGGATACGTACACCACGGGCTTCATCTTCTTCACGAGCCCAGTAGACATGCTCAATCATGCTGTACAGGATTCTACCAATGCCAAACGAAGGCTCGATGACATTGGGTGTGTACTCGCGAACGTTCTCCACACGAGTGCGTTTCTCGATCTTGACAATGTCCTGGTCAAGCTCCACCTTACCAGAGCCAACACCTTCCACATCCACCTCAATCTTCCCATTCTTCTCCAGATCGATGGCCAACTTCTCACGGAGCTCCTGAGAGAGGGCCTCGACGGCAGCCGCGACAGCCTTGCCGTCCTTCTTGAAACGAGGTCCAAACTTCTTCTTGTCAAGATCAACCTGCCACTCCTCGACCTTCAAAGGCTCGGCCCGGGGCTCGCGGACAACAAGAGGTGCACCGGTCTTGTTCTTGTGCACTGTCAAGTCGTAGGCACTCCGATCAGCGCAGCCAACACATTCAATCCATCCATAGCTGGTCAGCAATTCCGCATCCCAGCAATCAGCGGCGTAGTGAGCCATCTCGTTAGCCATGTGCTGACGGAAGCGGAGCTTGTTCGGGTCCACGCCGAGCTTGAGAAGGAACAGCTGGATGCGGGCAATGAAGTATCCAAGTGTCTCGTTGTCGACCATACCGGTCTCAACAGCCTTACCAATGGTCATCTTCTCAGTCTTGGTGCTTCCAGAGAGCTGAACGTTACGGTTGAGGAAAGACATTTCAATATCCTTAACTTCCTCGAACCGGTGATGCTTCTTGCCACCCTCAGGGTCCACGTAATGTTCAATCTCGGCCATGAGGAACTCACGCACGCGCAACAGACCCGCGCGAGGCGAAATCTCGTTACGAAAAGACTTGCCGATGGAGGCCGATGCGAAAGGCATGGATTGTTGGTTGAACTCCAGCAGCTTCTGGAAGTTCAGGAATTGACCCTGGGCGGTTTCAGGCCGCAGGTAACCCGGCATGTTGCTGCTGGGACCAATCGATGTCTGGAACATGAGGTTGAAAGCGACGGGAGGAAGGAGGTTGCCATCGGTCGTCGGGTTTCTGATGTCGTATTTGGCAATGATCTGTTCCAATTGAGGGCCATCGAAGTTATCAATCTGCGCCAAAATCTCCTCGTATTCCTTGACGAGGGCATCATCAAGCTTGACGGCCTTTGCGTCCTTTGCCTTCCTCTTCTTCTTTGCTTCCTTTTCCTCGTCCACGACCACCTTCTGGCCACGCGCCTCCTTGTCGCCCTTCAAGCGAGCCTCGAGAACTTCCTCTACCAAGTGATCCGCGCGGAAGATTTCTCCAGTCTTGGGGTCCTTGCACATCCAATCGGCGAACTTGTCGACGTGTCCGCTGGTCTTCAGAATCTCATGCGGGGTGAGCATGGTGCAGTCCACTTCCAGCATGTCTTCCTCTAGCACGAAATGCTTGCGCCACAGGTCCACAATGTTGTTCAGCAGGGCCGTACCGGGGGGACCGTAGTCGTAGAGACCGGAAACACCTCCGTAGATCTCGAAAGAGGGAGTGTAGAAAAGCCGGCGCCGGAGCATTGAGTCCAAGACCGTGCGGTCAACGACCTTGCCGGTCTTTGTGTTTACGGTCGCCATCGTGAGCTGATTCTTCTTGGAAGCCTGGGCAGCCTTGAGCGCGGCGGTGGTGTGGAAAAAGCTTCTGGCGGGGCTAAAGAGAGGAATTTGGCGGGGAAGAAAGAGTCGAAGAAATGGCAATTGAGTCATCCACCACGTGAGTCGACCCCAGAACCAGCGAACACTGAGGAACCGATGGTAATGAAAGACAAGGGGAACTGGTGGGCAGAGATGAAACGAATATGAGTCAGAGTAACTGAAAATCTCCCTTTTCCCTTGATCGTTTTCTTATTCTACTCGTTTTCCAAGGGTCGAATCACGTTGCCGCAATAGGCAATTCTGGGCTATCTGGTCGAATCTCCGCCGGCGAAACATTTGCCCGTCAAAATTATTCTGATTATTTGCTTCTCTTCCGCATCGGAACTGGTAGAGCAACATCAACGAGATTGGGCTGTTTCTCGTTTTCGGGGTCAAGATGGGTTCCAAAAAGTCGCAATCGAAGCCTCCCCCGAGCGCTGCTCTGGATTATAAGCCCGCGAACAAGTTGAGGCGTCAAATGCTTCATGTCAAGCGCAAGCAGGCCAAGGACTCAGAGCGACGAGCAGAACGATTTGGAAGAAAAAAGGAAGAAGCCAAAAACCCGAAATTGAGGGAGGAGCGTCTCAAGCGGAATATCCCGCTGACTCTGGACCGGAAACGTGTCTGGGACGAGGCCGGTAGTGACGTTGAAGATGCCCTCGGCCTCAGCGTTGATGTCGAGCGCATCAAGCGACAGAGGAAAGAAGAGGAGGACGAACTTAACAGACCCTTGGAAGACAGCCAGTCGGGCTCGGACGAATCTGAAGATGATGTCGACAGCATGCTAGCCACCAGCGACGAGGAAGAGGACGGCGACGACGACCATAACGATGAAGAAGGCGGAGCTGGGAAGGCTAAGAAGGATGATAATCGGGGGCGCAAAAAGTCCTCCCTTCCTTCTGCTACAGAACGAGCAACCAGTCCGAGCCAGTCGACTCGGAGTACGAACCTCAACCTAGCGCCAGAGGCTCTCGCCGCCAAATTCCCAACGCTGTTCACTTCAGAGCCTCCTCCGACACCCAAGATCCTCATCACCACCTCGCTCAACTCTACCCTTCATAACGAGGCGAAATCCCTTACCAATCTGTTTCCTAACAGCGTTTACATTCGTCGTACGGCCCATCGCTACTCCCACAAGTTCTCCATCCGCGAAATTGCTTCCTTCGCATCAAATCGGAACTATACCACCGTCGTGGTTCTCCAGGAGGATCAGAAACGACCTTCTGGTCTGACAATTGTCCACCTACCTCAGGGACCCACCTTTCATTTCACCATCAGCAGATGGATAGAGGGCAAAAAGCTTCCGGGACATGGAAATGCCACAGAGCACTGGCCGGAACTGATCCTGAACAACTTCCGGACTCCTCTTGGTCTGCTTACAGCCCATCTCTTCCGGAGCATGTTCCCACCACAACCGGACCTGGAAGGACGTCAAGTCGTCACAATTCACAACCAAAGAGACTACCTGTTTCTCCGGCGTCATCGTTATGTGTTCCGTGAGAAGCGCGAGACTGAGAAGAGTGTCGTTGGCACAGACGGCAAGGAGATTAAGGGTGTGGAAGGCATTCGTGCCGGCCTTCAAGAGCTCGGTCCCGCGATCAACTTCAAACTGCGGCGAGTTGACAAGGGCATCCAACGTGCTAGCGGACAGGAGTGGGAGTGGAAGGGAAGCATGGAGAAACAGCGTACCAAGTTCCAGCTGTAGCATGCTCTCATTTGGTTTTATACCTTTGTTACGTGTCTGGTTGCATCATTGGGTTTGCATGGAGTTCAGCTTTCAAAAATGGGTCTTGGATGGCTTTTTCGTGTGCGCTTATAGTTTCTTCTCTTCACTGTCCAGGTGCCTGTACCATCTGTAGATAATATACTGGCAAAACAGTATTCTGTCAAAGTGGCTTTTCGGCCGAAGGCGGCGTCTCATCTACTCTTGAATGCCAACATGCGACTAATCTATAGATAAAACGCTCAGATACAGTACAATCAGCAATCCGTAGATGGAAACTGAGATCTACTCAAGTCGACCTAGTCGACCGAGTCAAATGTTTCCTTGACAACGCAGAATAAGATCCAGTGATCTTTCTCTGACTAACGACATCAACCGTGAGACGCTCATGAAATCTTTCCACGGAGCTACAGAGTATGTACCTCTCTATGGTGAAGGCCCCGCAGTCATAATGGCGATCTCCCGCTCCACAGGAATCTTCTTTCATGTCCAATAACCAGTGAAGAATTCAAGCAACTGAGCTCCTGGTTCCCTCATTGCGTTACCTGATTTGGTTCTCTTTTGAGGTACATATTTACAAAAATTATTCCTCAATTGTTGTTCCCCACCTGATCTTCTGGAGGAAAGCCTACTTAATTCAGCAGCTCTTGCGGCGAACCTGCAAAATCAATCATCCTGAAGCCTTCGCAAATACCAATAGCCATACCACCAACCATTATCGCATGACGCCGTCTCACTTGCATCGCAATGGCAGCCGAAGGCCCGGTCCTCAAGACCCCCCGCCGGTTCCTGTTCATCGCCTCACTAGGCAATATGCGTCCGTACCGTCAAACACGGCACAGCGCCGGGCATATCCTCCTCGATGCGCTTGTCCCCCTCCTCCCCGGGCGAATGCCTCTGGTATCCTCCAAACAGCCATCCGCCGGGCCCATCTTCTACAAAACATGGTACAGCCCATCATACATGAACGAATCCGGGCCAAAGTTGGTCCGACAGCTCAGTAGCTGGTTATCAACAACGCAATCCGAGGTATTAGGGCGAGTAGTCCGCCAAGGGGACGTCGCTTTGCCCGCGAACTTCGGCGATGCATCTGCAGCGAACGCCGAATGGCAGCTCCGGGGCGTTGATCCCCGCTCGCTGAAGAATTTCCGACCGACGCTGGTAATCTTGCATGATGAACTTGAAGCTCCAATGGGCAAGGTGAGGGTGAAAAGGGGCGGGCCTGAGAAGGCAAGTCTGCGCGGTCATCGCGGGTTGATCAGTGTCATGGAGAGTCTGCGCGGCAAGGGCCTGTATCCGCCGCGGACAGGACAGGCGGCGCAAGGAGCAAATGCTGGTCTGTCCATTCTGCGTGTAGGCGTGGGCATTGGCCGTCCTTCGACGCGAACCCGAAACGATGTTGCGGACTATGTCCTGACTGAAATGAACGCCGCCGAACTGGCTGCAGTGCGTGCAGCTGCGGTCCCAGTCTTGGACATTCTGGCGGATGAGCTCTATCGAGATTCTAACGATGACTGATGTTCTCATCCACTGAAAAATATCCACGGGGGAAGTTCCCGGTCTGCGCAGTACGATATCACGATTCCTAGACAGATACCCACCTTGTGAACACTTTCCCGTTCGCACATCGCATTCGACTCCAGGGCGTTTCCATTGTGGAAAGCCTTGATTAACAAATTCACAATTCTGAATATGGAGGCAATCAGCCGGAGCAAACACAGAATACATCCGCAGGGGATTGATTGGTAAATATAGTGTATACTAATTTTGCATAGCCCAGTAACGGGGATAGAAGAGTAAGAATATCCATGAAAGTAAAGACGCAGGTGCGAATCAGACCAGCAAAGCGCGAGAATGGCAACGACTATGAAGAGGAAAGACAAAACCGGCCCGCTGACATAACGTATCATACAGTTCCCGCTATACTCAGGTCCCGGATCTCTTGCAGAACTTCTTCTACCCTGTTATCCAAATCGCCGCGAGCGTATTGATCTCTTGTTTCGGCGTCGAGATATTGCTGCACCTGAGCCATGCGCGAATACGCTTCGGCGCAAAAACGTAGTTGAATCTTGACCAAGGCTTCGAAACTTGGGTCCAAATATGGCACACGTAGATCGATGAGCTGTGGAAGTTCCGTGAACAGTTGTTCATTAAGCTGCTCGTATGCTTGCTTGGCCATCTCGGTCTCCTTCTCCGCGCGGGGCAGCTTGGTGGCATCCTTGTCTGGCTTCTCGACCAGCTTCTTCACTTTCGCTCTCATAGCGTCGTAGTCCAGCAATTTGTGGTTCCGCTTCTTAATGCACTCGTTGATATCGGGGAAGTACGCACAGAAGCGCGAAATGGGATCCAGTACGGTTGTTCTGTCAAGCGGATTAACTATGGTCAGTGTTTGCCTGCAGCAAGCATGATCATCCAGTCGTACCTGTACGGTCCGTCCAATGCTTTGATCGTCTCGGCGTCCAAGTCCTCCACAGCTTGCTTGTAGCTTCTGCTCACACCATCCCGGGTACCCGCCTCGCCATAGAATGCATCAATCGTCTCCGCAATGCGCATTTGAGAAGCCGTCATTGCTTGTGAGCGTGTCTCGGTCAGCACAATGCCCCGCCATATAAACGGTAGTGTTTCGAATCGTTGGCACACCTCGTAACGAATCCAGATATCCCTTCGCTTCCTTCTGCAGTCGATTTGCCGCAGCCTCCATGGTCCGATATCGTCTGGAAAGCGAAATGTCGATCAGTAGCTGATCTCAAATATGCATACCCAAGCCTGCTCATACCGCTCCTCGATTTCATAGTCCCGGTCATTCGTTCTCTCCACATGTCCTGTAAGATTGAAGGTCAGATGTTAGTCCGTGTAATTTACCACAGCGCTTTGTTCTCCGCGGAAGCTTTGCAGCCTGTTTCGCACAGTTGCGGGGAATCATACCTGTTTTCATCATCACCTGCGTTGTCGCACGGTTGACATTTTTCTTGAATCCTGCACAAAAAAGTACCCATGTCAGTGTGCGTTGAGCAAATAATCATTCGAAGAGAAATGGTCTCGCGAACCTGCCCAAGACATGATTACGGTGTAGGCAGAAACGGGGAGGTGGAAGCGAGCGAGAGTAGAGAATCGAGTAGGGAGTAACGAGTAGAGAGAAATAGGATTCGCAAAGAGCGTGTGTTGAAAGCAAGAAGGAAAGAATAATAAGAGTTCGAGCGTCGATATTACGATTGCACAGTGTTTACAGCGAAGGTCGATCGTCGCAGGGCTGGACCTGGATAAGATGCCCAAATGCGGGACGATGATGATGGCTTCGGGATGGTTCCAGGGTGGCTGTGTGTGGCTGTGGGCAGTTTTGTTACCTGACGAAATACGGGTGCCTGTTTCTTACAGAGCTGATACTGGAGTTAGCCACCCGTTGACAGATGTATGTGGTAAAATTACTTCATGGTGGTTTCTATCGGTAACGGATCCGACGGTATGGAACAGTAAGTACTGGACGGATTTCCCGCGTACGTCATTTAATATACCTCAAAAAAAAATCAACGATTTGGAGATGATGTCAACTGGGACATTAGACTCAATATGGGCCTCTGCATAATGGTCTAAGATCATGTGTATGCCACTTGATGGCGTACATTCTCAACCCAAAGCTCGGTAGACTTGCTGGCTTGATGAAGTTAGCAAGTAGCACAGCAAAATGTATGGAGAGCGTTCATGACTCCATAATTTTATACCACCCGTTCTTGCTTTCTCCGTACCATGGCACATGCAGAACCTCGCGCATCCTGCAAGGTCACGACACAGGCGCCAACGAACGACCCGGAAGGTCAATCTGTATTCACTTTCGGCTGTGTAGAATATCTCGCGATATGCTCAGGTATCGGCAAGCATGCGATAACCGAATCAACACCTTGCGGGTAGGTCGAAGTGGCCCAGCCATTGAAGCGGCCAGCATGAGGAGATCTTTCATCTGCTATACCATGTTGTCAAACTAAAGTGAAGTAACGGTCCACCACCTTACTCTTTTGGTCTTGAGGCAATGCGGTTGGGACGTCGCAGAAGCCATTCTAGATCCATGAAGCCTTAGGTATGCCTTCTACTAGACATGCTGCCATGTCGTATGCGTGAGTGCAGGTAAACAGATGATGAATATGGGTTGAGGCATGAAAAAGGAACAATTATCTATTTCTCATTGCGTGACGAGTGCTTTGCAGCGTTCATTCTATGAAAGATAGACACCCCAATGAGATAGTGTACATAACTGGGTGAGTATAAACCAGACCTACTTAACCAGCCCGCCTCCCAGTATACCTCACTATAGAAATACAGAACTGTTGAAAAATAGCACTTTAATAATTTGAAAGAGCCAAACCGCCGTCTTGGTAAGCCAGGGTAAAATCAATGCACGAGTAAGACCCGCTGAGTTCATGGAAAACCCCGTAGAGACTCCCAGTCATAATACCTTGGAAAAGAAAATAAGATATGAAAGGCGCAGGAGAGGAAATCGAAAATGTGAAAAAGGTCGAAAGAAGAAAGAAGAGCAAGAGATAAGCCAGCCTGTAGAATGCTTCGTTAGCCGAATCAAGAGGCAGTCGACATGAGAAAGTCATTAAACTTTGTACAGCCGGTATCAGAGCCCATCAGTGGTGAAGAAGAAAAAGTATCGAAGTAGGAAATGATGATAAGCTCAATAGTCATGACCGTTCGTTGCAATGGCATCAATTCATGACGATGAAACTAAGCCCATAAGCTAGTAGCAAGGAAAAGAGCAACACAAATATATGCGCCGGTAAGGGAAACAAAGATACCTCCTTCTACAGATCTAGTCAAAAGGAGGACAACCGCCTGGAAGGGGTAAAACATGAACCACCCTGTTTTTCATATGGACACAGGAGGCAATTGTGAAGCACATTTGCGAAGGAGGACAAGCCCAGGCAGATACCACGTAAGATGACTGAGACAATACCTCCCCGGATGTGCGAAAATCCGCCATTTGCCCGCGCGGATCAGATAACACGCCAGCTATTCATCAGAACCCTTCCTCGCCGGCCTTACACAGCTTGATCTCGCGGACCCACTCAGATTTGAGGACCTGCGAGGCGTTGATACGGCGAGATGGGTTGGGGTCAAGGATGGAATAGATCACATTGCGACAACGGGCCTGAGAAAATGTAAGCGCTGGAGACCCTTTGAGGCAAGCATGATGAGCTCTTACCCGATGCAGAGTTTCAATGGGAGCATAACCATCCTCGTGCTTGCGGCCTTCCAGATAACGCTGGTAGAATTCATCCTCGTCCTTGCGGGCAACTCTCCACAGATGCCTTCCTGTCCTCATAGCCATGTAGATGACACCTGTAGCCCAGACGTCAACCGCCCTTGGATCAAATTCCTTTTCCACATATTCCTCAGGCGCAATGTATGGAGCAGAGCCGCAGAGACCCGCAGTCATGTGCGCTTCCTTCTCCCACGCCATACGGAAACACTCGCCATTCCCGAAGTCTGTAATCTTGAGTGCACCGTGAGTGGTCAGGAGAAGATTCTCTGGTTTGAGGTCACGATGAGCGACGCCCATTTCGTGCATGTATTCTACACCACGCATGAGCTGTTTGAAGAAACAATCGGCCTCGGCAACTTCCAGTTTGCCAGCGGCCAACACGAGCGTGTAGAGGTCTCCGCCGGCACAGTATTCCATGACCTCACAATAGTCGCCTTTGGCGTCCTGTAACAGGTCGAGGGTGTGAATAACGTTAGGGTGGCGGAGGGACGAGGAAATGCAGAATTCCGAGGTCAACCGTTTCTGGTATTTCTTGGCGGTCTCCTGCGGCCGACGGCGGAATTCTTTGACAGCATAGAGCTGCTCAACTCTGGAGTCCTTCGGGTCCACTTTGTGAGAGATCCGGACAATGCCAAAGGCGCCGCGTCCAACAATCTCTTGGCATTTGCCATATTTATCAACGAGAGAGGCCGTGGCGTTCGGACCCCCCTTCTTGTCGGCGGCCAATTTGTCACGCTCAGTCTTGAATTGGTCGATCCAAGTAGACATTAGTGATAATTGCTGGTCATCCACGTGGTCGTCCTTTTTTCTGCTACCACCACCCAGCATGTCTCGCAGAAGATCGGTCAGCTTCTCCTGCCGTCTTGCACTCTTGAGATGATGACAGTGTGTGCCATCTGGAAACATTTCAAATCGCTTGTGGACGATAGAACCTTCCCTTTGGTCTTTTCCATTTGCAGGCTTCGCCTTCTTTTCTTTTTCGTTGTCACCTTTCGTCGACGTCTGTCGCGAGGGAGCTCGAGATGATGGTCTTGATGTGGGTCTAGATGGCGCTGCGCTGCCATTTGTAGGAGCCTTTATGCTTTCCGTACTGCTATCTGAGGAGTCTCTAGCGGAGTCTGGTTCTCTGCTCTCTTTGGGTTCTTTTGACGTCGTCTTCCCAGTATTTGAGAACATGCGGGTGAGGCGATTTGCCATAGTAGCTCTTGTAGTTGTCGCCTTTACGGGCTGGGGATGCACGGGGAGTACATCCCCGTTC